AAGCGGCATTTTATCTGTTAATATTATTGGATTTTATCTGGCCAGGGCGGCTTATTTTATACTGTATTTTTGTATTTTTAATTTAATATTTATATTTTTGATTTATATTATAATTATTTTAACTTAGTGTTGTAAGCCGCCACGAGGCTTCGGCGAATGGGGCGGCATAAAAATGTTTTAATAAATAAATAAATAAATAAATATATGTAAATTTCATGGCTGGAAGGAAACTCAGGGGAAATTTGTGCTCTGGCATAAACTGTTCCATTACTGCCACTACACACATTTCTTCCAGCCATTTAATTACCATATATTTCTGCCTTGTACTTAAACTGCTGTCAGGGAACTGCAGTAACTGAAGTAATATGTACTCCAAAAAGGAGCCATGACAAGGGAGGAAATTAAGCTCTCCCCTTCTAGAAATAGTTGGAGAAGTGCTGAAAAGATGGGGGGGGGTTCTGAATGCCGGCAGATCAACAATTAAAACTGAGGAATACATTGCTAAGGGGGAGACATTGCCATCCCTTTGGGTGCATGTCCTTAGCCACTGGTTTCCTTTTAACTGGTGCATTTCCATTGACATCTCAGCGGTTCGATCCTGGCCACTGCAAGTGAATGTTGTCTGGTCAATTCCTCTGCCTACCTCTACTCTCTTCGACAACTGAAGCATGCAAGGAAATTGACCGAGAAAGACTTCACACGTTGGACTGCCAAAGGAGTGCACTTGTACGAGACTGACAAATTGTCATTTGTTAATTATTATTAACATGGTTGCACAGTTTTCAAAGGCCAAACCAAAAGTGACCCCCAAGTGTGCTTTTCTGAGGCAAACAAAATGGTGGACAAAATGGGGTAGTGATCAAATCATGGAGTAGGGTTCTGCCACAAGGCATAGCGGGGCACATCGTGCCAGATCAGCTAGAAGACTGAGAGGAGAGGAGAGGAGAGGAGAGGAGAGAGCAACCCTGTTCATCTGTTAGAAGCATCATGGGTTGTTCACTGGGGTTTATTTGCAGGTGGCTTTGTGTGATGTGTGAATGCACCCACTGCTGTACCTTCTCTTGACTACATTTACTTGAGTAGAAGAGAAGCAGCAAAGCAACCAAATCCTACTGCAGGCATTGCCTTCCCACTGGAAACTACATATAACCAGCTTACATCAGCTCGTTTCAGAGCTCATTTATCGAAAAGAGTGGCAAATCATGGGTGTGCCCCAAGAACGATTCAGTGCTTCTCACTGTATTCTGGAATGCAACTAAATGCATAATGCTGGCTCCTGCTTGTCTCTAAATATGGAGAGTGTTTTGATATTGGAAACTGCAAAATAGCAGTGGCTTTTAGACACAGACAGCAGACAGATGGACTCACACATGCATCGCACTTCACTCCCCCCATTATGGTAGTAGGAAACATTAACTAAAAATGCCTATTTTATCCAAATGCAGATGAAATGCTGAACTATAGTTGTGGAAGACTTCCTGAGACAAGGGGAGTGAAGGGTTCTGTTTGCAGGTCAAAAGAGTCACTCACATTTGGGCATATTGTATTAAGCCAAGAAGCTAAGCCTCCAATTCTGGCCATGACTATGTCCCTGAAAATCATGTGCTGCTTGCTCATTTTACAGACAAGGGAGGCCATGAAGAAGATTTTGGAAGATCTTAATCCCGAAGACCATTTTAACTTCGTTGTCTTTAGCAGAGATGTTGACAAGTGGCAGCAGCATTTGTTGAAAGCCACAGAGGAGAATGTGGAACAGGCCAAACTATATGTTGAGACCATTCGTGCTCAAGGAGGTACATTTCTTGACTGAGCGGGATTCGCAGTAAATCTATTATCAGAAATGCCCACAGTAGATTGTTCTTAAAAATGCACATGCTACAGTTATCCTAGTTCTCATTTTCATTCTTTTTTGTCAGTTTTCATTCAGCTACTTGCTGTATGTTTGTCTATCCAGAAATATGTTCATATTCCTCCTTTATTACTTTTTCTAATGTATTCTTTTCTGTGTTCGGTGTTATTTTTTGCTATTAACCATGAATTGCATGTATTCACTCCTGCTTATTTTAAACCTTTACTTGCACTTTATTTTACTTGGAGTTCTTTGGGTTTTTTTCTTCCTTCTAAACCACCCCTCTGCTTGGTCTGTGCGTTCTCTGGCAGCATCTGTCTCTTCTCGTACCCTTGAAATATCCTGTATGGATCACGGAAGAACAACCCTATTCTGTGGACTATGGTCAAATCAATCATGGTGTTTGCTCTCCAATTACAGCAACAGATATCAATGCTGCTCTTCTGACTGCAATGAATTTGCTGGATGAAGCCACCACTGCTGAGTTATTGCCAGACAAAAGTGTTTCAATGATCATTTTGCTGACCGATGGCCAACCCACTTCTGGTAAGCTAGAAACAGCACAGGGGCTCTGTTTGCTGCTGTTTTAATTTATCTGTTATTAATTGCCAAACATACTATTAAACAATGCCATTTCTTTAAATAATGCACTGAGATCATTTTACAAGTCTTAAGAAATGGTACTTCCAACACAAGGATGCATTGCATCCTCTCTCCTACTCAGAGTCTCTCTTCAGGGTTTCAGTCAGCTGTTCACTCCCATCAGGGCTTTCCAACCAAAGGTTCAGCTCAGTTGAAGCTCTGTCAGAGGACTGCAGAAGGGGCATTCAAGAAACAAAGAGATGCAGGAACACATCTCCAATAAGTAGAACAAGAGTGAGGAGCATCATGGAAAGCATGCGGTAGAGCTGGAAGCTTCACAGCCTTAACTTGAACACTGCTCCAACAACTAGCAGATTCTGAATGAGCCTTAAGAAGGAGTTCTGTCTCCTTTACTTTGCTAACTGAATTAGGTCTTCACCCTTAAAAGGACCTTGCTCATCTAGAAGTCTTTGTCTGTGACCACAGGGAAGCAGTTGCCTTGTGGTGGTGGCACCGGAGGCAGAAGATGGCAGTGTGACTCTTCTGGCTGCAGGGCAGGCAGTGCCATGGACAGCACATCCAGTCCACACTGGACAGTCCCCTTCCCCTCAAGGCCTGTGTTCTTCATTTATGTCCTCAGTCTCAGGGTTCCCCCAGGCATGTTGTTATCTCCTGCTTCTTCCTGTGTAGCCCAGTTTCGGCTCCATTTCTGTCCGCCTAAGTGGGAGTGAAATGCCTTGAAATAGGCTTCTAAAGGTAACTGTTGTTGTGAGCTGAGCTTCTCCCTCCAAGCAATATCAGTCTCATCAGCATTTCTTTGTTAATACTCTGCTATTGTTAGATTCAAGCCTCTGAGCAGACACAAAGCAAAGTGTTGCACCCTTTCTGCCGTCCATGACCCAAACCTCTCTTTATGACCTGTTCTGTCTTGCCCGGTGAGGAGGGCACTGTGGAAGTGGACACGACCTCGCTTTTCCTATTGTGTCCCTAATCGGACCGCTCTCCAATGACTGCAACCGAGTCTACCTCTTCAGGAGGTGGGAGATCCCCATTGGAAAAATATCCAGTACAAAGTCTCCTCCCTCGGCCTGCAACGCCTCCTTGTTCCCACAGCTGATTAGACTGGTCCTTTCATCTGCCCTTGGGCTAATCTCCCCCACAGCTAATTAAGGACCTTAAACCACAGCTGGGGTTTGAACCATTTCAAAAACAATCTCATCTTCAGAAGCTGAGCTGTGAGACCCATCCAAAGGAGCAGTCCCCTGAAATGTGCGCGCCTGAAATCTGACAGAATGCACCTGCGCTACAACAGTACAGAAAGAATTGAATGATTTGCCAGGGGAATCAATCAAAGGAGGACATGTTTACTATTTGGAGGGTAAAATAGTGAGGGAGGACAGGAAGAAAGTCGTACTTCATGTGTTATGGTCTAAGTGAGGACCAGGGATCAAATCTGGCTGCCTGGAGCTCCAATAAAGTCCTCCATTTCCCAGATAGCAACACATCCTTTCCCACTTCTCGAGGTGATTGGCAATCCCTCCACAAACACACACACTGTGACCACCAATTATTCAGTGATTTCCTGGCTTTTGCACAATCTCTACCCTACCTCTCCTTCTAAATAATGTTACAACTGAATTCAGCCCTTGAGCTTAAAAAACACTGTGCAAGCGGTACAGTGTGGTCACCCAACGTTTCTGTAAAGTCCAATTGTTCTGTGGATACAGAAATGTTTTAACCCTTTCCCTTCCTTTTTTCATGCTGCCAAAGTTAAACTAGCTGTCCACAAATCCAAACAGTGAATCTACATTTTCATAAACCAAAATCATATATTTGAGAGCTAAAATGATAAGGGAGTTTTCCCCTCTCCAAATCATCCTTGGCCATACCAGCCCACCCCTCCCCACAGCATCCAACCCACCAAACTCTTCTCTAGAACAGTTCCCATTTAAGGAGACTGTGCCTAGTTCCAGTGAAGAGTCTCCTAAGGATAAAATAACATATTCCTGACCTGGATCCAGTCCTGAACCCACCAACTAGAGATCTAAAACATAGCACATTTGTCTCAGGATGTCAGAAATATGCATCTAAACTATCTCATATGCTTTACCTCTGAAAGGTTTTGTTGTTGCTGCTGCTGTTGTTGTTTTTGTTTTGCTTGAAAAGTCGAGAAGTCAAGTGCTTGGGATCTCATTAAAATTTTGCATACTCTCCAAATGTCTGCTTGTTTCTTCCAAAATGCAGCAGGTTTTGGTACTTAGCAGGCTTATTCACACACAGTTGGACCAGATTTCCTGTTGCTTTTATATCACAGGTGTTACAAATGTCAATGAGATTCAAGCAAACATAAAGAAGGCTAATGAAGGGAAATACTTCCTCTACTGCCTTGGCTTTGGCTATGATGTCAGCTACTCATTTCTGGAGAAGATGGCCTTAGAGAATAAGGGAATCGCTCGCCGTATCTATGAAGACTCAGATGCAGCCCTGCAGCTCCAGGTAAGGAAGCCGCGGGGTTAGACAGCAATATTAAAAGTGCATCAACTCATTTCTCAGTAATAGATCCAGTTATGCTGATAACTGTGTACAGCTGTACATAGACATTCATTTTAATCCACAGTCCCCTTTTCTGCCTGTCTCATTCAAGGGCTTTTATCATGAGGTTGCTACTCCCATCCTGAAGCAAATTGAAATGACATATCCTGACAATGCTGTACTGGATGTCACTCAGAATAGTTTCAATGTGCTCTTTGATGGCTCTGAAATTGTAGTAGCTGGAAAACTGGAAAATGAGATCAAAGAACTTCCTGTGGAGATTAAAGCTGAAACAGTGAGTGCTTAATCATCTTGGTTTCTGTTACTTTCCTAATCAAGTTTTAAGTATTAGACATATTTGAAATTTGCTTAAAATAGGATGAATAACTATTTATTAAGTCTGTCTAAACAGTATCATTGCACAAAAGTATGCATGGTTTGCAAATAACAATAAGTAAATAATGTATAAGAGATACTAAAACAGCACGAACAACACCATGGTAGTTGAAATAGGTCTGCAAAATCACTTCATGACTGAGGCTGATTCCAGACTGGGCTTCTGTCACGCAATTGCCCTGCCCCCATTCCCAGAATGTTGAGGGAGTCCAGACAACCACTGTTGCATTTTTTCTTTTTAGAAATAAATATGTTAAGAAGGGAAAGGCAAAATTCCATAGCACCCGGCAACTTCTATTCCAGAGTACCTGAGCCTATGGTACAGTGCATTTTATAACTAGAGATCAGAGCCCCTTAAACTCCTTTCCCTAGCAAAAGGGCCAGGAGTGCACACCATCTTGCAAAAAAGTAACAGAGAAAACAAGCCCAAAAGAGATCATGATCATGGCAGAGAGTGTGAAATTGCTTTTTCATCACACAATATCCCCTGGGATACCCAGGAAAGGACCAAGCTGAGTGGATGAGGCCAACAACCCATGGTGACCCATTAATTGTTGGGCTCATCATGGCTGGTCTGCATGACAAGCAATGCACAATAATTCATGGTTTGTTGCCAGTGCCTAGGGAAGGGCCTAACTGGAGAAGCTGCATGCTCACAGGGACCTAAGCAAGCCAGGCCCTCGTGTGTCATCCTGCACCCATTTCCTCAGCTGACACCTTAAGGGTTTCCTGCCCCAACCGTCCTCTCAGCACTTTGCCAGCTCTGCCTGAGTCCAATTCATTTAGACCCCCTTTTTCCCGATTCTGCAAAGCAGAAGTGAGAAAATAATTGAGAAACAGGTATGAACCAGGAAGTCTCTTCTCCAGGCAATGATGAGAGTCACTCTAGATTTTTCTAGTCTTTATGTTCTCAACATGCTCTACAAGTCCAGGGGTCAACACTTTCTCAAATTTTACAAGTCGGTTAAAATGGATCTTTCTTTTAACATCAGATTATGTAGTAAAGGACACCTGCTGCTTAGGTGTGGATATTACTACAAATAACCCACTTTCTCCCATTGCAGCATTCTAACGACCTGATCCTTAAAGAAATTGCAAACGTAACAGAAAAGGAGAACATATTTCAGGATCCGGAATACATCTTTGGTGATTTTATTGAGAGATTATGGGCCTACCTAACGATTCAACAAGAACTAGAAAAAGCGTAAGCTAATAACCCTTCCTATCTGTTACAGGCATGCAAGGTTCTTGAAGGCATATTACCATTCATTTCAAAGCAAGTTATATTCTCTCTTGTTGATGTAGTTTCAGAACAGAGATGGAGTAGTTTCTTGGTTTATACTGGTAACACCTTGATGTCCAGGATGTTTCACAATCTTTTTCAATGACAGACTGAATATACCCACTGCAACATCTGGAGTTCTTAAGCATGTCCATTTGTTTCTGGATAGATAGTACTAAAGTTGCTGTCAAATTTCAGGGTTTCAGCTGATGCGGAACAGCAGCAAGCCCTGAATGCCCATGTGCTGCAGCTCTCTTTGTCGTTTAGCTTTGTGACACCGCTCACTTCCATGGTGGTCACCAAGCCCGATGCTGAAGATGTGGCCAACAAACCTACAGAGGCAGGTAAATCTGCAGAAAGTATTTCATTGCCAAGGGAAGCAATACAATACATTGTATTGCAGTGTTTTATCATGTATAATGCACAGTGGCTGAGTTCTGACAATGTGGAAGCCTAGACTCAAGGGCTGCGTAAGATTTGATTGCAGGTTGTTGCTGAATCACAGATGGTTGTTCAAATGTGAATTGTGTTGTGCGAGCTCAGCCACTTTGAGAAACTGTGTTGGTTACCACAAATAACGCATCATTCACAGACCATGGGCTCCTTTCATGGGTTGTTCATGGTTAATCAAACATTGTCTCTTACATCAGCTGGGTTCCGACAACACAATAACCACTTTTCTCCCTGTCCTTTTCCAACCATTCCAGGGGACACTGCAAGAACCCAGTTGTCTCTCTACTCCCTGTCTTGACTGTGAGCCATTCTGGGCTTCCTGCAACTCCCCGTGCCGAACCACAGCTGCACCTGCCCTGTCTGTTGCAAAAGCCGGCCATCTGAAAAAGGCAGGAGGGAGATGCTGAGGCCCAAAATGGCTTGCAATCATGGCAAGGAAACAGGAATGTCCATTCTAGCTGCCCCAGTTGTCAATTTAGCACTTTCAGAGTGGTTTGCACTGTCCTGAGAGCAATGAAGCAAACCAGGAGAAGGCTTGAGAGCAAAGGAAGAGAAACTCCTAGTGCTGGCAATTGAGCCCTGGTATGTGCCTATAACCGGGGCAGTGAGAATGGCAAGAAACAGCACCTCACTGCTACTGTTCGGTCTTCTATTTGCCACCCAGCAGAGCGTTTTGGGGTCATCTGGGGCCTATTGCATACCGGCCCCAAGAACACTGTTGACCCACCTGAGGCCTGCGGTGACACACTTGCTAGGCACTTCCAGGGAAAATCTCTTGCATCCACCAGCAGTATTACAGCAGTTGTATCTGGTGAATTGGATGAATGTTAGTGGGCGCAGCTTGAGGATGCTGACAAGGTGCTTGGACAGTTTGGTGCAACTACCTCTGTTCTAGAGCCTTATGCCTCTTGGTTAATAAAAACCAGCGGAGATGGAACAACTGGCTGGGCCACGGAGGGTGTTAATGCTTCCTTGAGGGAGGGTGTGATCCCATGTTGCCTGAAGACCCAGAAGATCCTAACAACTTCAGCCCAATGGCAAATGTCCCATTTGGGCAAGGTTCTTGAGTGGGCAGTGGCCAACAGTTCCAGGCAGTCTTGGATGAGACTGTTTATCTGCGATCAGGCCTGGTTTCAGAATGGAAACAGCTTTGATCGCCCTGTATGATGACCTGTATCAGGAGTGTGGCGGGGCTGTTGCACTAAGCAAACCCAGCTCTGTCTTACAAGGCGACAGTGCAACAAACAACGCCAAAGGCATTATCCACGGAGTGGAAGCAACAGCAAACTGCAGGGGGCACTGAAAATGGGGTTTATGCTCCAACAAAGCTGACATTAGTTCTTTCATTGTCTCTTTGTCCAGATAACGAGAACCTCAGGGGAGGCTCTTTTTCGTCTTCACGTATGTAGCAATTTGATATCAGCAAGTTATTCATAAGAATTTGTACTACCTGAAAAACTATCTAACCATGAGAATCCCGCATAGGTTTGGTACAGTCCCAGAGCAGAGACGTACAATTTTGGAGAACAGACAGAGCTCGGGGGAAAGGACTGCCTGGACCTCCAGGACCTCCAGGACAACCTGCACCAGCAGAAGCTTTTCTGGTAGATAACCCGATGGTCCGTTTTGCAGGTATTCCAATCTTCTCCTTCTCGCAAAGAAGCACTATCGAGCAAATGTATGCTCAAACAAGAGGTTCTTTTTTCTAGGAAATGTTGCTCCAAACCTTTCTCATTTTTGAGCAATCTTTACCCGAGCCTGGATTCCATAAGGGGAAGACACTACCCATGCTTTCCCTTTCCAAAGGGGAGCTGCTGTGCATGTGTATTTTCTGTGCTGGAACAGATCTAGAATAAATGGCACTGTGATATCTTTTGATAAACAGAAAATAGCCACGAATGTACAACTAAGCATGTTTATGCGGGGGGGGGGGGGGACACAAAAGTGTCTGTGGATGGCAGAATCCCTCAGGTGACCTGAGATCTTGAGAGATGCCCCAAGTCCACTGCTCTGTTCTTGATACCTGTCTGACATATTTTGGGAATACAGCCTCATTCTGTGTTGCTCCCCTTGCAGGGGAGTGGGTGGCTGCTGTCATCAGGTGAGACAGGACTTAAGCTGTGCGGTTCTGTGCCTGGACACCTGGCAGCCAGCTAGCCAGCCCTCCTCCGAAGCCACAGACTGGCCCTGGTTTTCATTCAGCTTTCTGTGCTGCAGGGCCACAGTTTGCTGGCTGGAGTTTGAGAGCATATCGCTCCCCTGAAGGGTCACGGGCCAGAAGTTCTAGCCATTTAAGGGCAATTCTGTGCATGTCTCCTTGGCCCCATTAAGGCCAGTGAGACTCACTTCTGAGCATTGCAAGTATAAGGCGCTTCCAAAGGCAGTGCGATGAGTGCCAGCAACTGAGAAGCGCTGCACAGCTCTCCCGCCTTTCCCTCCCTAGTAGGAAAAAGGATAGAAGCAACAGTGAGAAAATGCGTGCAAAGCAGCAGCAGATAAAAATGGCCATGCTGGTCAGTGGCTGGGTTCAAACATCAACACAAGCAATGCCACATGGTTTCCACATGCTGTATTTTGCACAGATGTGCCTGAAAGACAATTGGCCTCCTCAGTGTAACTCTCCTTCCACCCGCTGTCCTCCTCCCCCTTGGTCCACGCTGGCTTGTTTAAGCTGCGCCACATGCCAGGTGTGATTTGCATGAGCACTCGGTCAAGCCACAGCTTGTTGCTTCACCTGAACCCAGGCAGCGTGGCTTCTCTGAAGGGAAGCACCTCTCCGATAAGAGCAACCTGTTGTGACCAGGGATGTGCAAAGAATCTATTTGGGGGTGGGAAACTGTTGGAAATCCTCTGGCTCCTCTCCTGAGACTCCAGCCCACTTGGAAGAAACCCAAGTCCAAGCTGCTGGTGAGCCCTCCCAGGGTGTGTGGGGTGCTCTGCAAGAAGCATGCCCCACATGCGGTGCAGGAAGGCCAGCAGCAGGCAGGGAAAATGGGGTGTCCGGGAAGAGTGCCTTTCTGTTACCAGCAGCAGGGGGAAGGACAGCAGGCTGGTCCTTGGGAAAGGCACCAGGGCGCTTGCAGTCCACGCTTGTGTGCTGCCACGGCTGCCTGGAGCAGCAGGCGAGGAAGAAGTTGGGCCCCAGGAACGATGCCTGTCGGCAGGCCTGAAGCACTGCTTTTCTGCACTGCCACCGCCAGCTGCAGAGGGTGGGGAAGGTCGCTGGTTGCGCAACTGGGGCCCGTGAGCATTCGCAGACCCCCCCGACCCCTTGGTGTAACTCGCTTTGCAGGCCCACCCTGAGCACAAGAGGAAGCCTCTGGATCCTGGAGGGGCAGATTTCAAAAGGGTTTGTCCCAACCCCACTTGTGTGATTGTCAGGCATCACAATACTTCTCCACTCCCTTCTTTGGAAGGGTTTTTTGCCTTGAAGTTCTAGTTGTGCATTTTTAAAAATTATGTTCTGTATCACACATTACAAATACTTCTGTATTTTATTATTGTAGGGTTATTCCAATAAGGCACATTATAAATATATATATACTGAATTGGGAGACAAGTTATTCAGATAAACATTTAAGTTGATTCACACATACAGTTTAAAAGACTAATGTTAATTCTTTTGTTGTAGAACCTGCTCTCCCTGATTTTTCCATAAGTGAGTATGAATAACTGTTTGTTCAAATAGGAATCAAATACTTTTAAGCCATACCCTGCTTTATTTACTTCTAACAAGTTTGATTTTTAAAAACATTGTGTTTGTAGCAGCATACATTACCAGGATGTGCAATACAGGACAAACTGCATGGCATGAATTGAGCTCCACGGGACCCATAATGTGCTCAGCTTATTTATTTTTTCGCCAGGGCTGTGTACAGGTATACAAAGCTGTGGATGCAAGCATCTGGTGTACATTCTCAGTCCCACTTTTTAGGATCCCTTCAGTGGTCCCATAAGGGACCCAACATGACCAAACAGGGACCATGAAAACTGTTTCGGCAGCTGAACCTTTGCAGTCTCCATCCCTGTCCCAAGGCATAGAAAACCCCATGGAGCTCACAGGAGTTGGGGGCCCTTTTGAGGCAGCCCTCAAGGGCAGCCACACGCTAGGCAACTGACAAGAGGGGCAAGGGTTCTCTTATAGGGCTGCCTGCTTAAGGCTGGGCTTGATCCATCTCAACGTATTATGGGTCAAACAAATCCTGTGACAAGCCATGGACTGGAAGGGTTGCATCTGAATCAAACTTAAGCCACCCTGTCAAACCCATCCTGAATTCACTCAGCACATGTGTGAAAATTAGATCGTCGAAAGGTAGTGTATTGCTTTGGAACATCGAGCAGTATCTCTTCTAGATCAATCTTTCCCTCCCCTCTCCTCTCCTCTTTTATGGACTTGCCACTACATTCTGTGAATGAGAAAGGATGATGGTGTGATAAAAGCCCTATCTGAAAGTACCCACTTTGCTTGTTTCCAGATGCGAACAATACAGAATTGCCACGTCTTGGTTCACTTGGATTTTACACATGGCAGCACAGTCCATAAACATCCCATATTTTCTCAGTGAAATTCCTTCTGTTTTTTAGATGCCCTGACTAACATTTTATCATTTTTCAGAGGTTCAGTTTTGATGTGGCCTGTGAAACACCGATAGCTGAGCACACAATAGTTGCCCCTTTACCAACCATGGGCTATTTTATTTTTAACTGATGTTTTTGGTATGGCAGAGCACTTTTCTGGCCAGGCTTTGAAATATATATTCACTCTATAATGCTTTAATGCAATGTATATAAAACCTTTTCAGCCATTACCAATTCAGCAAGGTGCTTAATGGTTCTGACCATCCTGCCTTAAAGGAAGGACAGAACCTTGCCTAGTTGTGCTTTATAAGAATTAGGCAAATTTGCTATGAAGTCCAGTTGAACAACATCTATCCTTTTTATATTTTTAGGGGGAGTTCTCAATTCTGGTAAGTAGCACATTTATTTTTCTGTTAGTATATTCAACGCCCTGACATGTTTTAGACGTGGGTACACATGTTTGAAGCCCTGTGGCTGGGGAGAAGAAGCAAGGATTGGGCCTGAGAAGCAATAGCTACTGAGCTGAGGAAAAGCTTAAGCACCCCATGGCTGCGCCTCACCTCAGAGAAAATCGAGACCTTCTGAGCCTGCTGTCCAGGCTCTATAAAGGGATGCCCATAACCATATAAAACTTAATTCTTCCTAAATTAACTTTATAAAGGTATGGCTCTGTGGAGAGGGGCCATCCCTTCTGTGCTGCAGTCTGCTCAAATTCTGAGGAGGGGGCAGCAGGGCAGAGGTGGGGTGGATGGCGTGGCAGTTTCAGGGTCACCGGGGGAAGATTCTCAGGCAAAGCATGAGAACCAGCCGGCCTTGGAAAGGGCAGGAGATGCTGCAAAACCAGGTGGGAGGAGAGGGAGGGGAGTGCCTTGACCCAACCAGAAGATGGGGCCAAAGCAAGCAGGCCAAGGGAGAAGTGTCCAATGATCCCATGTCAAGCCGTCAAGCAGTGGGAGCCTCCCTGAAGGTGGAGTCAGACTCTCTTGAGAGGGAGGGATGCTTCAGTTTGGAGTCAGCCCTTCACATGGGCAGATGCTTCTCCCACCTCTCAAGGACCTCACCACTTTGATATATGCTGTTTTATAACCTGTCAAGCTCTGATTAAGGATGGGTTTTCCAAGGTTTCACATAAATTGGCTGGAGAGGGGAAATGAGTAGAGACCAGCTCTCAACAAGCGCTGTAGCCCTATAATGCTGCATTAAAGAACAGACCCTTGCCTAGTAGAGCTGTGGAAGGATTAGGCAAATGTTCCAGTCCAGTTGGAGAACACCAATCATGCCTATATTTTTAGGTAAAAGCACCATTTTCGGTAAGCAACATATAACATCTTCTACATATCTGAGGTCCTGTGGGGGTGTGGTGGCGGGGGGGGGGGGGGGCTGTTTATAGGATCGAGTCTGAGGAGAAATACCTGCTTTGCTGAGGAAAAATTGAAGTACCCCACAGCTGTGCAGTTCCTCAAACATAGCCCAAAAGCTCTGAGGTTGCTCGTCATTAAAAATACAACACCCTTGAGCTTTGTTACCCCATAAGTGGCTCAGCATCTGCATCGCAAGCACTCATGGAGGGACCTGCCTAGCTTAGCCTCCCACTCCACCCCAACCCAACCTCTTCCAATGTTTCATTTACTTATTTATTGCAAGCATTTGTATCCCGTCCTTCCACACAAGTGCTCAGGGTGGCTTACATAGTATCAAATTCTGATAATACAATAATAAAACCACAATTATTAAAACATTGAAAATTGAACATTATCAATTAAAAAATAAAAAGGAAAAATAAAATAGGAAGTGCAACTGTGAAAACAAAAAGGAAACAAAAAATCTTAAAATGTCTGAAACCCTTAATTGTTAAAATGATGGTTAAATAACAAGGTCTTTACCTGGTGCCAGCAGGAGTATAATGTCAGTGCCAGGCAGACCTCTGTCCTCACAATTCTGTGGACATCGGATGGAGTTTGACATGCGAATGGCTATTTGTGCGGCATATTTATGCAGCAAATGTAGAGCAGCAGGAGTCCCAAAAATGGCAGTAGGAAGTACAGTACAATAATGTAGAGAGCATATGACTGAGGAAAACTGGTGCGGAGAGTTCCATCTTAGCTATTGCTGCTGCTGCTGTTATTGCAAGCCCTGTATGTACCTTTGGGGAAGAGACCTCCAACTTGCGGAAGCTCTATGAAAGTGTTTAAGACTTTCCACCAAACCAAGTGGAAAGATGCTGAAAGGGCCCTGAAATCACAGTTACTTTTGAATAACTTGAAAATGCTGTAGAACTGTTTGTTTAATTCAGGACCATATAAAACGGGTTTGGTAGGGGGCCATGCATCGGTGGAGACAAAACAGTACTGGTAAAACTTGGAATGCTCTCCTTCCAGATATGTGTTTCTCTTGTTTATTTAATTGTTTGTTCACATATATGAGCTGCCTCTTGGGAATCAAGCCCTCTCAACAAAAACAGTAAAAACATAATTCACCCAAGAGACCTACTACAGATCTGATGTTCACTTTGACAGTGGAAAAGACAACAGATTGTCTTCCAAAATCTAATAGTCTCCTTCATAAGCTACAGCAAAGAGGATCTCTAGTAAAAATGGGTTAGCTGCTCTGTCCCATCTGATACGGTGCTTTGTCTATACCATAAGTGGTGCAGGGACCAGGTAATATTGTGTATGTTTGAACCTTTTGTACCTTCCATTTGCTTGCATTTTGTCTCTCTTAAATATTAATAAATATGGATAGAATCAGCCCCTTGCAGCTAGGCGAAATCTGGCTATATCACAAATCAGAAGCACAACCAAAGATCCAACTATTATATCTTTCTTTTTTCCCCTCCACAGGCAGCAGTACTGAATATCCACTGCAAATCTTACACATACCTGGTGAAGAGGGTTTGATTTGTCTAAGACTCCACCAGCCACCACAAACTTCCATAAACCTGCTATCTGATCCAGAGAAAGGTAGATACTGCGTAATGTTCATCCACGTCTGACTTTTTGTTTCCATATGGGACCGGCTGGGCTTAATTGCTCAAAGCCCTATGGAAATGCTTTTTCTCTCCCAACATATGAATGAAAGATTCTGGCTGGGATGTCCCTGATAATCCAGCACTACTGGTCCTAAAGGTGGAGACAGGATTTGTAATGAAATCTGTTATTACATTACTTCTGCAATTAATATCATACATTGATCATTATACTTAGTCATGCACATAGTCCATTATATAGTCCAACATGCTTCAGTCACATAATTTCAGGGATGCAAATTGCAACACTGTGTTGCAGTTTCAACATCTTTATGGTAATGCTTTCTTAATCCATAGGTAAATCAGTGATATTTCTTCTAAAAAAATGAGGACCCAATCTCTGAATTTCTTCTTTTATGCCTGTCTACCTCATCTCTTTATCTATCATCACAAAAGAACCTAAGTAGAGTATATAGCACGGGTCCTCAAACTACGGCCCATGGGCTGGATCCAGCCCGCCATGCCCATTTATCTGGCCCGCCTCAGAGGTTTTGGATCCCCCTGCCTGCTGCCACCCACCTCCTGCGCACTCTCCGCCATCTCGCCGTGCGGGGGGTGGGGAGGCGGTGGCTTGCTCGCTCAGAGATGGTTTTGGACTCACTGGGAGATCTTCAAGTGAGTTAGCCACCACCGTGCACGCCCGGCGCCACCTCACCGGCCCGCACCCCTACGGACCCCCACCTCGCCAGCCCACGCCTATCACTGTCGCCTTTCAACTGCCCCCCTGTTGAAAAAGTTTGAGGACCCCTGGTAAATAGGATCAGATCAAAGGGCCACCTAGTCCAGCATGCTGCTCATACAGGGGCCACCCAGCTGCCTGCGGGTAGTCCCCAAGTGGTGGCATGGCTTTGCCCAGCTCATGTTTCCCAGCAACTGTCATACAGAAGCTGCCGCACAGAAATGGCCTTCAGTCCTGGAGACAACACACAGCCATCATGACTACCAGCCATTTGATAGCCTCATACACCAAGCCTGAGCTGTCATGCATAAATACCAATGCTAATCTCAACGCGTTGATTGGATGGAGGGATGGATGAAAATTCTGGCTGGCCACCACTTCTAGTTCTAACGCTTTCTCTTGCAATGTCAGCCTCAGCACCCTTGTGTGGTGTGATTCTGCAAATGTCAACAGGCAAATTTCAATAGGCAATCAATAGATAGAGATCAGTACTGGTAACATGCAGATTTTCTTGCTTTTACTATGTTTTTCCTGGGCTTATATCTATATCAAATTATTGCTTGGCAAACAGTGATATGTATCCTGTGCATAACCCTCCGTTCTTTGGGAAATCTCTTTTCAGGGATCCAAGTGAATGGCATGTTACGGGGTAACAGTCACTTTCTGGAGTTTGAAGTAACCTATGCGATACCTCACGTACACATAAGAGTGACAAGAAGTGGAATTGTACTACGTCATCAGAACTCTGTACATTCTTTCCCATGGACAAAGACTGCATCTTTAACACTTGAAGGGTACAAATTCCTCTTCTAAGTTTCCTTTCATAGATAGTGGACACTGGGTCTATCCCTTATATAAAGAGGCTTTTTAATATTCTCAGTCTCTTAGATTATATCATTCTGAGAATGCCTGTAAGATTGAGATCCACTGCATGTCTTTTGGATTCTCACCCATCCTGGCTATTTAAAGAAAACAAACAGAGCTGGACTATCTGCTTTGATGTTGGATATTAGGCTGCCTTGAAAGAGGTAGTAGTTTGACCTCTCTCAAAGAGAGCCAGTCTAGATCTGGCTGACATAAACAATGTTCATTCAGTAGCTGATTGTCCATTTCTTACCAAGGTGGAAAAGCTGGGAGCAACTTATCTCCCAAGAGGTTTGGATGATACTGACAACCTTGATGTTTTCAGTCTTGTTTCTGGCCTTGTTATGAGGCAAAACTGGCTTACTGGCAGAACTACTTCCAGACTTGGAACATGAACTGTGGTATGCCATAGATGCAACCAGATGGACTCTGCTGCATTCAATATCCAGCAGCTTTCAATATCATTAACCACAGCATCCTTTTGGAAAAGTCCACCAAGGTCTCTCAGGATACTTTTTAGCAGCTTAAATGAAGCCATTTAAATTAAACCCAGGAGAAGTCTGGAATTGATGCCTGGAAGTAGTTCTGATCAAGATGAGGTCAAAAAAATATTTATTTCACATACTTATATACTGCTTCCCAACGAAACTATCAAGACAGTGAACATAACAAATCAATATTAAAATATAATAATGAAACAGCAATAAAATAATCACTGATCAAAAAATAAAACTATGCCTTTAAATAACTGGATTATACCTCTGGAAAGGGGGCCAGAAAGTCACATGTGTTTAGAATACATTTCAAATCAAAACTATGGAAGCCTGTCTGGGACAATTTGGAGCACATTCCAGAAGATGGGTGCTGCTGCATTAAATTCTCCGTTAGTGCTCAGCACCATTGGAAGTGCTCCTCCCAAGGATTGCAAAGCCCAGGCAGGGACATAAGGGGTGAAGTGTTCCCTCAGGTAACCTGGACCCAAGTTTTGAAGGGCTTTCCATGTTGATAACACAATCATAAATTCAGGCTTGTAGATTATTGGCAAGCAGTACATTTTTTCCCTTTTTCTTTAGCAAAGGTGTAACATGCTTTCCAAAGGAGGCCCTTGCTAGTGGCCTCATGCTCAGTGCTTGCACCAATTGCAGCTTCTGGACTAACCGAAAGGCAACGCCACATGGACTGTTTATGACCCGGCTATGCTGGCTTAGATATGACTAAGCTGGTGAAGCTTCTGAGTGGCTGAGGCCACCTGAGCCTTTGATGACCAGCTGCACACCAGTTCCTTCATGGGAAGTGTGCCTGGCCCATTTTCTGGACACTTCCCCACAGTGTTTCCATCTTCCAGACTCAAATTCACTGTCCCTCGTCCAGACCCCACTGTGTCTGAGCACCACTGCAGGGTCAGCACGACCATTTCTGATTCTGAGGTTCTAGTGAATTAAAGCAGAAGGTGATTCACAAGCCCAGTGGCTTCATATGTTTAAATCAATGGGGACAGCACGGTGCCTGGCAGCACCCCAGAGCCTAAATGCCAGGGGTCGAAGCACACCCCGTCAGTGCCACTCTCTGAGACCCACCCTGCAGGTAGGAGCAGGACGACTGAAGTGCAGTGCCTGCAACGCCATCGCAGCAACCTGCCCCAGGGGACAGCATCTCCAGAAGTGTCAGCTGAGAGGAGCACGTCCACCCCTGCTCTTTCCCTTCCTCCCTAGAGGTCACCCCGCATGGTGACCCAGGCTGAGCCAGAGGAGGTGGAAGCGACCTTCCAGCCTGAAGGAGGCGTGTGCTTGCACCGTGCTCCGGACGAGGTTGCGCTCCTCTGGGGAATGAGGTGTGCAGCTGAGGTGATCTCCTGGGCCTGGTGCTGTCCAGGAAGGTGCTGCAGCCAGGAGTAGCTTCTACCAACTTAGCAACTGCTGAGAAAATGTGGCTTATCCACATAAGGGAGATCTGGCTTCTGTTACTCTCATGCTGAACGCATCCAGACCACACTACTGCGATGCTGTCCAACCGTTTGGGATCTCCATCTGGGACAGATCTTATCTTCCAGGTCCAGGGTATGAGTGCCAATTACATTAATCCTGCTTTGCATTGGCTACCACTTTTTCCTGGGCTCAATTTAAGGAATTTTTTTTGGACATCCTATTGTACATAAGCTTCCCTGAGTTGGTTTTGCATTGTTTTGCTGTTTTACCTGATACCCAGTTGACTTTCCCTTGCTGGCGGAAGGAAACAGTGAGCAGGAGGGAAAGAGGGTGATTTTGGGCTACTCCTGCTGAAGCCCTTCACATCTGCTTTGGAGGCTTGGGGGGACCTTTGCAACAGGAAGAAGTGGAAATCGCTGTCCATCACCCTATTTTCATTCCATTGGCAGACACTTTCCATCAGCAGAGGGATTCCCATAGTGCTTTACTTTCAATTTGTATTTTCTGTTTGTATTGCAATTTTTTGCACCTGTTTCTGGAAGATGCCTGGTGAGGACATTATTCTAAAGAGAAGGTACAGAACCTTCAAAGAGATGGTTGTGTGTGTGTGAGTAATAATAACTGGATGAAGAAATGCCCAGTAAAATATGCTACTTTAAAATTACAGTTGCAGATCAATGTATAATATATGCAATATGTTTTTATAACAGAATACTAAGTATTTGAAGAGTTATATCACTGTGTATATATAAAGGCATGTATGCTTTTTTTTAGACTGGGAATTATAGTTGAAAAGGAAAAGAGTCTCTCTCTCTCAGGACCAGAGAACATCACAATAAACATCTACTATATGAAGCCCCCGCTTGACTTTCTTGGGCTGTACTTCCAAAATAGCGAAAACTTTTCTGACAGAGTTACTGGACTTGTTGGTATGTATTAAGATGTTGGAATGGACGAATAACAGCCTTTATTACTAAGCACATCTTTTTATGCAGCACCATGGTAGGGTTCCTTTACCTTGGGGGTACTCAAACTTTTTCAACAGGGGGCCAGTTGCCAGGGGCCAGCGGGGGCCGCGGGCCGCCAAGGTGTGGGGGCAGGGCACATGCACACGTGCACACGCGAGGCGAGGCGAGGACGGGGTGGGGGCAATTGTGGGGCGAGGCGCCGGCTTCCTTGTGAGGAGATCGTTTTCTCCAAGCGAGTCCAAAATGACCTCCTCGCGAGTAAGCCACTGCTGGGCGCGCGCATGGCAAGGCACCGATTTGCTCATGAGGAGATCATTTCTCCAATCGAGTCTAAAATGAACTCCCTACGAGCAAGCCGCAAGCCCAAGTGCGCTCCCAGCAAATGAAAAGCCTGTGGGGCGGCAGGTTAAAAGGGCACGGCAGCCCGGATCCGGCCCGCGGACCTTAGGCTTAGGACCCATGCTTTACATTATCTCAGTAATGACCACCTATGGGCTATGATGGTTACATCAGTACTGCAGCTGGAATATGGTGGGAGAGGGAGCTCTGAGAGATTAGCTTTCCTAAGCAGCCCTGTTGTTGTTCAGGCGCACAGTCATGCCCGACTCTTCACTGCCCCACCGACCGCCAGGCCGTCCTGTCCTCCGTTGCCTCCTGGAGTTCACCAAAATTCACGTTCATTGCAATGACCCTTTCTACCACCTCAGCCTCTGCCGCCCCCTCCTCCTTTTGCCTTCAATCATTCCCAGCATCAGGGCCTTTCCAATGAGTCCTTCCTTCTCATTGGGTGGCCAAAGTATTTGAGCCCCAGCTTCAGTATCCGTCCATCTAAAGAACAGCCTGGGTTGATTTTTGAATGTGGAAAGTGGATGGGTTGGAAGGTTTAAACTGAGAATGGGCCGCTTGGAGTATATTTCATGTAATGTCTTGTTCATCCCTTAATCTGGATCTGTAATTGGCAGAGCTAACTGGGACCATTAACACAAATTGCCAAGTAGGGAGTTTGATGCACAAGCTGTTGTCTAAAATATCCATCTCTTTTTAACTTTATCCCCCCCCCCTCAAAAAAGAAAAGAAAAGCTGCTGCCTGTGGTACAGAAGAGGGACGCGGCTTGAGGCTTGATTCCTGGCGAGCACGCCACATATGTGGGGAGTGTTCACCAGGAACTCGGACTCGGGGCTGCTGCAAAGTGGCCTGGAGTCTGGGGAGCCAGGCCAGTGGGTCCCCGGCCCCAGATGGACTCAGTACGCTCCCCTAGTCCAGGCCAACCTGAAGAAGAGTCACACACAAAATACAGTCCCCAACTGTGTCCCAGAATCAGGTAGTTTTCAGGGCAGAATGGTTAATCTGGCATAACTGAGATGATTTTGTGTTTTTTCTCTGTATCCATCAGGTCAGTTTTTCTTTAATACACAGTCTGGAGGAAGCCTTGCCCAAAACCTTTCAGGGAAGAAAACCTTCCTTGTTCAAGGACAGCCGCACAATGCCACAAGGTAAAAGGCACCAAAGAACACTCAGTGTAGATGCTTATTGGGTCTCTAGTATGCATATTTGAAACTTGTTAGGACAGGCCTACTCGCACTTTGGCTTTTTCTTTCATCTAAAATGTCCTGAGGAGAACCTTGTAAGCCATTCTGAGCTCCTTGCAAAAATAAGAAAGGCGAGGTATAAATGTAAGACAATAACAATGATGATGACAAAGCACAGTCCTTTCAAACTTCCTTTCGATCCCAGCCCTCTCCCTCTTTGTGAGAACTGCTTCTTTACAGGGAAAAGAATTTTGAAAGTACTGGATCAATAACAGTCATAATCTGGAATATATATATATATGCAAATACAACCCATTTTATGCTGGATTTTTAAATTGGCAAAGTATCTCTGGATATGAAGGGCCTGTGGAGGATAGTTTGCCTGCTTCCTAAATTTGTTTCAATTTGTTTGTCATGAACTTGCCATCTACTGCCCACTAAGTGGCTTGTTTGCCATGGATTTCTTCAGAAGGTCAGAAGGACCAAGTGCTTCTTAAAAGTTAAAATCTGAATTGGCTAAAATATTGCCAAGAAAACATCCAGAGTTGGTGATGAGTGTGTTGGGGGCAGAATTCAGCTTCCCTCTAGCATTCCCATGAATGCTACAGGTTCTTCCTGCCTTGCAAAGGAAGGGGGTTTTCTAGCAAGAGACCAGGACTGGCATGGGAAGGGGCTGCTCTTGGCACTCCATGCAGACACCTGAAAGACCTAAAAGGTTTTCGAGCAGTGGAGCTCTATGTCGAGCTTTTCGGATGACGGTCCTCTGTTTGAAGAGGAACCATGTCCAAGTGTCCTCTGTTTGAAGAATGGTCATGTCCAAAAAAAAAAAGAGAGAGAACAGGAAGTCAAGACAGTTGAAACTGCCCACCAGCTGCCAGCACCTGGGCAACAGACTGACAAGGCAGTCCCATGGTCACTGTCTCCCACACTATGAGTTTGTATTTTGATTATAGTGATAGATTTGCACATGTAATTTAGCACGTGCAAATTTTATGCAAATTGGGGGCCCTCTTTTGATTGCTCTTTGGTGCTACATTTCTTCTTTTTCGGGGATGCACGAGTAGCCACACTACTTTCAAGGGACAGGCGATTGTCACATACCCATCCTTACTGTTCCTTTTCTTCTGGTTTTCAGGGAAACCTCAAGGGATTACAGGGTGAGATCACCTGACAACACTGTTACTTGCTGGTCACTGAACCTAACTTCCTGAAGAAATTGAAAAGCAATAAAAATGTTATTTTAGGGTTTTCCAAAAGCTGACCTAAACATCTTTGAAATAAATAAAATAATGCAAAACATGGACTAGTGTGTACTTTATTTTTAAGTGAAATGATTACAACTATTCACTATATTAAATGTTATTTAAAGGAGAATTTGCAGTTGTTGCATTTTAATTTGGACAAATTTGAGCGCAAGAATTTTCATGACAGTCCCTGCAGCCAGCCATGTAGGTCCACAGTTCAGTTGTGTTGCTTCATATCAACAATACCACTCCAGCAGTTTCCATCTCTGCAGAAGGGGTCTTTTGTAAAGCTAATGGGCTTTAATTACCCATTCAAAACCAGGCCTCCCCAAAATACTTTGCATTACAACAGGGACTGTTGCTGGGAAAATCCATTTCCCCTCTTGCAAATGCAGGGTCTGGAGCTAAGCTCAGAGGGAAGCAGACAACATCATGGTCCCTGCTAATCCAAAAGACCTCGTGCTTCAGTCCTGGGAGCCCTGCTTCCACTACAACACAGCCCTCTCTCCTGGGCAACCAGCTCAGACCTCCACACGTCCATGACTAGTTAGAACTGGGCAAGCCATGAGTGGACCCTGCTCTGAGGAGTCATCACTGTCCCTCCAGGGAGCAAAACTTATTAACAGTTTTATTAAGACTCTGTAAAGGGCAAGCAGATCAAACAACCTGCAACTTACTTCCTAGGAGGATCTGCTTAGGGCAGAGGTCGGCACCCTTTAACACTCAAAGAGCCATTTGGACTCGTTTCCCACACACCGGGAAACACCAGGAGCCACAAAACCCTTTTGACATCTAAAATGAAGATGACACTGCATATATCGTTTTTTTTACCTTAATGCTATGTATATCTTCATTATGATTTAGCTGCAGCTCTTATTCAGTCACTAAAAACTGTTATTTTTAATCTTACATTAGAAACTAGTAGGACTCCTTTCATATATTTTGAATAGGAGAACAGCTTTCTGCAGTCAAAGAACTGCATGCATTAAACAGCAAACCCCATAAGTTCGTCAGCAGTAAAAGCAAATGACTCTACCCACGTACCATTAAATGTTCGGTTTTCTACACAAATTTTTCTTCAATTTACCTATGGTTGGCCTGTGGGGGCTGGGGAAGCTCAGTAAATCGGTGTCACAGATATAGGTGTGTTTAGTGACTGATTAGCAGATAAACAGTCAAGTGATGTGAATTGTGACAGGTCCCAAGTGCAGCTTTTAACATTCAGATGGAGGAGATTACACTGGGACAAAGAGAACCTTTTCAACAGGGTTTGAGTAACATAAGAGCCTGCAGGAAGCTTGTTACACTCTTTCCCTGCACAATAGCAGAGGAATGTAGCAATTTACTTAACCAGCCTCTGTCGCAGATCGCAGATCGGAGGCTGTGCCGGCGCGTGTTTTAAGCGATGGAGCTGCAGCAGAGAGATTCAAGAGCCATGTGTGGCTCTGGAGCCGTGGGTTGCCGACCCCTGACTTAGGGAATCAAATTATCACTGTCATGTCGATACACTCTTTTAATGTATTTTGAATTCTGCTGATCAGCTTTGAGCACAGAAAGGGAAGAAAGGCAGTGTCAAGTCCAGCCCTTATTCTTCTCTTCCTGTACAGCAGAACATTAAACTTTTTGGAAGGGCTTTATCCACATAGTCCCAGCTTGATAACTGTGTTAGTCAATGACCAGTCAAATTACATACATATACACACACAAAATCATTGTTATATAAAGGACCAAAGGGGAGGAACAAAGAGGGGTTTCCAGTAGCCGTGCTTCTGGCACATGACCTCCCTGCACCAATCAGCTAGACCCAGCAAGGGGACGGCTAGGCTGGAGAACTGGCTGGGTCTCTGCAAACTCCGCCCACAGCCTGAAGATGCTCAGCTGACTTTGTAGCCTAGCTGAGAGGCACCAGGCCACATGAACCCTTTTCTGGGGGATTGGGTTGGCCATCTGAGTGCCTCACCCCAGAGGGTAGCAACAAAGACTATCTTCTCCTGCTGGGCTTTACCTTGCCTAATCCTTCCCCATCCTGTATCTATGTTCCTAACCAGCTGCCTGGAGAGGTGGTGGGCTCTCCCACACTAGAGACATTCAAAAAGAAACTGGACAGCCATCCGAGTGGGATAGTGTAACGTGTTGTCCTGCAACAACAGGGGGTTGGACTTGATGGCCTTCATGGCCCCTTCCAACTCTATTATTCTATGATTCCTTGCCTTTCTTTCCTGGCATTTAGCTTCACTACTCACACATTCACAACCAAGTCCCTGTTGCTGCCCTATATGAGGTCTGGGCCCCATGGGAGACTGGGCAAGGTAGAACCCAATCTATCATTAGTTAATCACACTTTTCCATATGCTTTAACAGCAGTAATGATGATAGAGGTCCCCTTTTTACACTACGCTGGGGTCAGAGAAATGGGCTGTCACACAGCTCTTCCCATGCCACTGGGAAGCTGCGGGAAGCCCTGGGACATGAGGGGCAAGGCCATGCTGAAGTTCATCATCTGACAGCTTTCCTCCCATTTCACCTGCCACTTCGAATAACTCCTGTTCTCCATTTCTAGCGTGAGATGTTAAATGCTTATGCATCAGTCCATTGAACTTGAATAAGATTCCAGTCTCCAGTGTGACAAGGTCATTTTACTCGGTCCAGTACTGGGGAGCACCATATCACCACGGACCACTTTTTGACACCAAACTTAATGGGATGATCTCTCGCATAAGATGGGCCCCTGGGTACACATGGGAATAGATTGGATTGTGGCTCTGGGTGGTTAGATACCAATCCTTGTTTAAAATGATGTGCTATTTTGTAACTAGACCAAAACCTTTTTGTTTGTGGTGCCAGACTAAAACTATTTTATTTACCCAACATTTTAATGGATGAATGATTTCTTGCTTGTACTCCATATTTTTATATATTGAAATTATGCTTTAACATACTGTTATATTTCCAGTTTTGTAAGCTGGCTTGAGACCCATTTCGGATACAGAGGAGATAAAACATTGAAATGTTTTGGATATATAAATAACTAAACCATTCAAGGCTGAACCAAATGAGGGGATGAGTTTATGTAAAACATCTTGCCTGCACCCAACATGCAAGGCACCCCCATATAATTGACTGGTGGAAGGGACAAAAAGGTTCACTCATTCACAGAAAGTGCAAGAAGTGCTGACTTTCCTTTATTTTGCTGCATAGCAACATAAAAGCACAGCCAAAGTTGATTGGCTGAGTGACATGATTACGAAGTGTATTGAGACTGTGGGAAAATGTCACTGGAAAACATTTCACTTACATGGAACACTTTATACCTCCTTTATCAAGCACCAGACTATTCCCAAATAGTTTGAAGGTAAGTTGATAAAAATGAACATTTTCACATGACAAATGTAACCATTTCTTGTAAAAGAAGGAAAAAACATGTCTTATCAAACTACAAGTATTGGCACATCCAGAAGGCATTGTATCATATGGTTAGGAGCAATGCTGAATCTTCATTTGCTTCCACGAGGCTCTGTGTGAAAAGAGATAATTGTGCCTTGCATCTGTGTGTAAATATTAGGATTACTGATTCCCCAAATTCTCCCAATTCCTAGTTATTCATTAATGTTTTCCAATAAATTAACTCTCCTCCATGGTTCTATGATTTCCAAAATGGGAAGACAAGTTTTCATTCTGTTTCTCGTGTTTTCTTCGCAGATAGTACCAGGAGATCCAGCTGTGCATCAGGTATTTGCTTTCTTTCCATGGTATCTAATTTTTCATTAAAATATGAGACAAATGTGTGATTTAGTAATTGAATTAAACTAATGTTAATGAGAGAGCCTCAGCTATTCAGTAGTGATTTAAATAAATTACAAGTGGGATTCTGATAGAAATGGGAGCATTTTATTAGACACAGATTTATGGGAAAGGTCACATCACTGAATTATATTTGTAGGAATGTTAAATATATATTTGTGATAGTTCCAGAAGCAAGAGTTTAAGGACAATATATATATTTAGTTAACATCCAAGTCAAGGGTTCACAAGACACAGTAAACACCCCGCACTGTCGCCACAATGATAGCTTTTTGCCCAAACTGACTGATCAGATGATCGTGTAGTTCAGAGCACAACACAGTTTCCATGTTCCCCACACTACCTTCTCCACCTTGCCACATCCCAGCAGCCCCCACAAGTGAAATGCCTGTCCTTACCCTATTGTTGCCTACCGACCACAGCAGCCCCGCCGATTGGTCTACTTCATTTCCAAGGTGAGTTCTCCCTTCCCCCTCCTGAGTGTACCTGAATGCCTGTAACACTTCTCAGCCACTTCAGCTCCCCCAACACTGGCTGAGATTTTTATTAAATGAAAATAAACAATTTCACCATGATTTCCCCATTTTCCTGCCATATATTTTTGTACTATCTCCATGTTTCCAAAGGTTAAACGGAGAGATGAACACATCACTCCGTTAAAGGAAATAAAATGAGCAATGATGCATCTATTGCTAGGGTGCTAGGAGCAGTAGAGTCTGAAGACTAGAACTGGCCACTTTCCAGGCTGCTCTTTCCAGGGGACTCTTTGGTATTTCCATATCAGCAATGATAAAATGGTGACCCTCGATCCAAACAACTGAAGAAGCTGTAGTGATGCATGGTAACCTTTAAACAGACCATAAATTCTCTCCATGGTTTCAGAAAACTAACCCTACTACACAGGGCCTCCGGAACTGGGTCTGGATGACACAACAGACCCAAACCAGTAAGATTTCACCATGGCTGTTCATGGCATGGGAACCCACCAAATCAGTAAGGAAGCTCTGGGGGTTCAGCTGATCTCTACCTGCCAAGCCAAGAGGTTAGTGCTGGATCCACTGGGTCTGGGCAGCAGAAAGGAGACAGAAGGAAGTGGGTTTGACCTGGTTTGCATGAAATGATAAGCCAAAGTGAGTTGTCATGCTGGGCTGTTTCAGAATAACCTTCATGACATCTGAACCCAAAGCAGTTTTTTAGGTGTTTTCTATGAACAAGCCATGCTGAGAAGTCATGTTAGGTTGTTCCAGACAGCTTACTTTCAGGTTGGCTTGTTGCAATGTCTGGACCTAGTGAATCAACTTCATCATGGGTCCTTCAGAATGGAAACGGAGCACACGACATGAATGGCCAAGTTCCCTTCCTCTCCCTGCAGTCTTGCTCATGCCACCGTTGCCCTTGTCAGTGCCTCGTGCCTCATGCTCCATGAAGACCTGGCGTGCTGGTAAAATTCCCCAGATTATCACGCATTCCTGCTTTAGTGAAACATAAATGCACTCTGTTAATGTGATTAGAATCCATTAGTCAGTATTATTTTGCTTTTGTTCACATTAATATTCAAAATGGAGGTAGTCCAAGGTCACTGGTTGTTTGGGCAAGGAGCACTCCTGTCCCACAGGATATTCACCTCCCAAAGTAAGCCAGAAACCGTATCGCAACATGCAAGATAAAAATGCCATTCAGTTCATGCTGGCGATGAGTCTAGCCATCTCTTTTTTCAGGTGACCTGTAATCTACCTCCCCTTCCACTGACCTGCCTTACCCTCGCCTTTTTGTATTGTGGGTGGAGGGGCGGGAGATCAGCCAAAGTTTCAATAGGGAGGCATTTTATAGTGGCAAAGCCTGATACTGAAATAGCATCTTCATCTCATATATACTAAGTACATGAATTCTGTCAAGCTTTTAAACGAATAAATTGACATTTTCATGACCTTGAATTCTAGTAGTTGAAGTAGATGGTTGTTGCTGATGTCTCTGCCGCTACACAGTTGTTGACCTTGTTCATTAAAACCAGAGAAGAGGCACAAGGGCACGTACAGTCCAAGAACTATTTGGTTTCTTCACGCACCAGAAAAACGCCATACATCTAAAGTAGCCGAAGCAAGACTGACCGCAAGGAACATGGGGTACATGGAGGAGGGGATTATGCACTGCAGTCACGAACGCAGTGTGGGGAAAGGGTTTGGAAGATCACGCGCACCTGGGAGGCTTATCACAAAATGACGAAGAAAGTCATAGAAGCTGGGCAAAGAATGCACTGGGAATGTGCACACACAAAATAATAGGGAGGCGTTAGGAAAAGAATGAGCTGGGGACATACACAACCAGGAAGGATGACTTCTGCCCATACAGATTCTGAAATTTCTATAGGCGCAGTAACAGACAGAAGGTTGGCTAGGTGAAGATCATTTCTTTCTTACACCGAAGCACCAGGCATGGGAAACGCACCCATCTACACTGAAGCTTTTTCTTAACACGCTGTCAATCAGGATTACTATACCTATTTCTTTGCTCTAGTGTAAATATGCTGGCCTGAATTGGCTTTTGCTAGGGTGTGATGGCTTATTGGACCAGAGAATACTTTTGGGTGTGAGGACTTGTTTTCTCCCAAAAAGGGAGCTGGCTTAGACTGTAGGAAATGGTCTAAGCCAGGAAAAGGTAGCACTTTATGTCCGTTAGAATCCTGACAACCTATAATTGCAAACGGTGCATGGAAGGCCCGCTGGGTGCTACCATGGGAAAAGCAGCCCACCCGCGGACTGAGTCAAACTCTTGGGAAGGCTCAGGTTGCTCACACGGGGCATGGGACACCCCTGCCGGCTGCGCCCAAGCCAATGTGCCCACCCACACCTTCTGATCAGGTTTTGAGGGCTGTATGTGCACACTGGCCTGTCCCAGCTAGAGCACTATGTCACACTGCAGCGTGGCACATGGGTGCCACTACTAAGTCTCCCACCCGCCTGCCCTGCCTCCTCAAGGCTGCCTGAAATCGCTTTGCCTCAAAGACAGAGCAAAATCACCAACTGGGGGGGAGTATAGGGCAGCTTGTCCTGCACACCAGCAGGCTGTCCAGCCCAAAACTCAGCCAGTGAATCAGTAATGCGGATCAGTTTGTCGTGTCCACAATGTTGTTGTCTAAACCTGGGGTGCCACATGCTGAAGAGGAGATGCTAGCCAACAAACACACCGGTACGAACTTGTGGAACCCCAAGGTTCTGAGCCAGTTCTTGAAATGCTTTTGGGTATTCTTTGAAGGTGTTGAGAGATGGGCAATACAGGAGCAGCTCGCTCTGAGAATGTGCCAGAATGTGCCAAAAGCAGTGCAAGCAAGAGTGCATCCCATTTCCCTTGCTCTGTCTACATGCCGCATGTTGTTATTGAACTCCACCCATTCCAAGTCCTTCTGGTGGAAGGGCATCAGCTTCAAGGCCAAGTGGATGTCGCACTTCCATAAGGATATCCGAGCCATGTACCCCGATCAAACTGACAGCATGGCCAAATGATGCACAACACACTGTTGTGGGCTTAGGCAGGATGGTGTTCTGACAAATGGGGTGTGACAAATGGTGGACACATCTACATTCAGCTGGAGCTTTCTTTGGCATTCCTAGTGGAGAGGTTCGGAGGCTGGGAAGGGGTAGGCCAGCCCCACTTGGAATAAGTTGACAAACTAATCCTCATGCAAGTTTAGCTCTTTGGTCAATTGCTGAATGTCTATGTGGTTTCATCCTTCCTGTCTACTACCTCTTCTTTCCTTGCTTTCCCCCTTCCTTCCTGTACCTCCAGTTTAAAAAGGGAGAAGACAGCTATATAATATCCATCTAAGATCCTCTCCCTGATTTTCCCTAGGAAGATTATACTTGGGGGTCATACTCATCCTCAAATGTGGAGGAGTTGGCTCCTTGTCATTGCCAACTTAGCTGTGACACCAGACTTCTCCTGGATCCAAGCCAGCTGGGGGATTTTCTAGCCCTTTTCCTTAGGACCCACCTGGGTAGGTCTGCGATGTGGGCATCACACAACCCATAATATATTGCTGGCTTGGAGGATTCCCCCCTCTGATGAGGAGTTCTCACCTGAAGACGCCCCCACTGCCTGATTCCTCTTCAGACTTGAGTGCAGCCAGTCTGGTGCATCATTTTGCCTTGCTCTCCTCTCGGCCAAGCAGCTTTCCTTGACTTCTAGGTACTTCTGTTGGCTGCTTGACTCGCTACTGCTGCTCCATGAATGGGCTGAAGTGCCCCATTGCGCTCTCTTCGTCCTGGTCATGCATGCTTTCACCCTGGCTTGCCCAAGTCTGAGTTTGTGGATTCACTGCTCTGCTGCCAGCCTTGGGCTTTCTGATGCTGGCTGATCCCACAGGCTCCATGCCTTCGACTGCCTGGATGAGCTTATCTACCCATCAGCATTATGTGCATCGCCGCTTCAGTGCTGGCTTCTCCGCAGCGGGAGCTCTATGTTGCAGCTCTTGGCCTGAAAGCCTCCTTGCCTACCACCTGCGGGCAACACCACCCACAGTGTTCTGGGTTGGCCAGCCTGACCACAAGTACGTGGTGGGGAGGTCACCTGGTGTGGCTCCGTGCTTGTGCTTTTCCTCTTGGGTGACATTCCTTCCCTGGCGTGCCATTCCTTAGCCATAGTTCCCCGACCCGTAGAACCAAGTCATCGGTTCCTGGCAGGTGCTATAGTGGCCCTTCCTTTTCAAGACTGCAAGTTCTGCGAGACGGATGGGTGCTCCCCTGCCAGCTGAGGCCTGTCCAGGAAATGCCCCAGGCTGTCCCAAGAAAACCTGTCTCCAAAATCTCCGTCCCTGCGGGGAGCACGCACCCTTCCATGTCCATTCCTCCCTGACCTGTCTTCCACATCCCGCCACTGGGCTGCCATAAGGCATGTCTTCCTCGTGGCGATTCTTCCTTCACCAGCCTGGTGCTAAGATGGAGCTCTTTCAGTGGAGGGGTGGAAATGAGAGCCCCTTTTTGCCCTGAGTAGACGCACCGGACAAGACCAGGCTGCAGCCCTGCTTGGATGGTCTGCCTACCTCTGAAGCGGCAGCCTGCTTTGGAGGACTGCTTTTTCCTTTGGGGTGGCGGCAGGGGAGCGGACATCCTCCACCTGTCCTTCCTGTGGGTTCCCAGGCTGAGGACAAGTGGCTCAGATGACTAACAGAGGCCATGCTGGATGACTATCTAGAAAGGGGAGGGTTCTGGAAATAAGGGAGTCCTTGTGGGGAGGGGGGTGTTGCTGGTGAGCCCCTCTTTTTGCAATACCAGGAAGGTGTTTGTGCATCCGCTCTGGCCTCTCCAGAAGAACCATCCCTGCCCCTCGCCCCGTGCGGCACCTCTGCCCATTCCTGGTGGGCTGCCACCCTCACACCCCACCTGTTCTTTCCTGGTGTCCTGCTTTTTCTCTTCATGAATGTTCATGGTGGGAATATGTGGGGAATATGTAAAGAGGCCAGCCCACTATATGGATGAGGAGTGGATCAGAGGGAGGACTTCCACCAAAGGCCTGCTCCTGAAGGTCTCTGCACTCTTCTACTCCATGGAAAGCACAACTAGGAGTCCCATGGCTGGGACTCAGCTGTTCCCCACGAGCAACCGGTGTGCCCTGAAACCGACCGCCCGTCCCTTCACAGGACGGTGCCAGGGCACAAACGAGACCTGGGAACCTGGGATTGAGCTGTATGAGAACTTTGACTAAGAACTGAATGACTCAAATGTGACCACAGCAGGCAGGAATGTTTGCCTGTTTGTGAATTTGTTAGATACTGAAATTATATGTTATACTTGCGAAATATTCCTTGGCATCCAATTTCCTATGCATTTTCCCCTCGTGTCTAATGTATCTATGAAAATAAATACATAATTTAAAAATATCTGGGAACCTAGGCTTGGCAGTAAATGAATTCATAGCACCAAATTCATATATCCCTTTTCTCCTCCTCTTTCCCAGAATGCCATTGAAATCCTCAGCCTGCATGTGGACTGCAAAGTTACATCACGGTTTGCCCACACAGTCATCACCAGCGGTGCTGTCAACAGAGCCAATGAATCCAAGGAGGCCCTTTTTGAAGTAGAATTACCCAAGACAGCCTTCATCACAAAATTCAGCATGTAAGCTCATCTCCTGCAGTATTCCTGAATCTTTTGGGCAGCTCAGACGAGCTGTCAGGATGAACGACTGACAAAAACAATTGCCAGCTTGTGAGAGCAGATGATTTTGCAGAAGTTGTTTCTCAAGTAGATCTCCTCAAGTGTTCAAATGTAGGACAAAAGGGGTGGATATATTTGTCCACCACAATGAAGTCTAAAATAATTTTTTGCAGAAATGTTAACACGGCTTGGAGTTTTAGCTCTAGAATTTCTAATGTGTGGATAAAATCTGATTGGCAGAGGTCATACTAGGAGCATGGAAAGTTTAGTTTTCTTGTTGTTTGTGCCAGTGATCAAGAGTCTCGTACGTATCACTCACCCTCTGGTTTCCCTGCCTCTTTCTGGACCTGTGCCTGTTCCTCCTCCAAATGACTTTACATGTTTGAAATGTTGATTTTTAAGGACCATAGATGGAGAAAGATATCCTGGAGTAATCAAAGAGAAGAAATCTGCACAAGACCAGTATGATGCTGCCGTTTCACGAGGGCAAAGTGCTGGATTAGTCAAGTAAGACACAGATATTTTCCTGGCTTTTTGTTTTACATGTATTCCTCTCCACTAGAAGAACCTTCCAGTTCAGTAGAACTGCTGAACTGGAAGGCCAGCAACTCTAAGCTACTCAGAGCCCAAGTGTGGGCTATGTAATGGCATATAAATGGAAGGAAGGAAGGAAGGAAGGAAGGAAGGAAGGAAGGAAGGAAGGAAGGAAGGGACAGAAAAACAACGAACGGCTGAACAGCCAAACAAACAGACACGGCTCAGACTATGTCTGTCCCACAAAAAGAAAGAAATAGGAATTATAGCAGTGTAGGAAAAGGAATTTCAACCCATTTAGCTTCCCTCAGCAGTACATGATAAGCAGCTAATCTACCAATCTTCCTTCCACACAACTAGGGACCCCCCAGTGCCTGATTTTACATCTGCCCCCTGTCTCAACCATGTGTGAGTTCATACCCGCATGGTTACTCCAGTCCACAGTTTCTTACCTTGTCGTATGCAACAAACGATCAAGAGGTTTCTGTGTTTACCTGGTTTCCATCCTTACCACTCAAGCCCACTTCTGCTTCCTTTCTCTCAGCTCCATTCCTGGCACCAACCCTTCCCTGGCTGCCCTCCTTCCTCCTTCCCATCGCCTCCCTCCTATGGGAAACTCCCCTCCCGTCCATGTCAGTCTCAGCTTTGAATTTTTCCTCCAGAGATGGCAGCTCGCCCCTCCTTTGCCACCCACCAGTCCACATGCCAGCTGTCTGATTCGGCTCCTGTCCACATCTCCTCCCATTCCTTTGGGTCATCTTCAAGAACAGTCCCCCTTCCCTCTCTCTTGCTAGAATATGCATCTCCATGGAAATGCCCCACCGTCCCAACACTCACGTGCCCAGATCCTCATACCCCCACACAAAACCCTCCCCACAAGGAAGATCCATCTGTAGCAAAGCAGATCTTCATTCCAGGAGCATCAAAGGGGGGGGGGGGTCTCATGTTATGAAAAAGAGTTATTCAGATAGAAACTACGCTCCTCAAAAATGCCTTAAAACTCTTCTGATGTCTTCTAAGCTCTGCTACCCTCAAGCGATGCCCAGACCCTAATCACCGCCCCCCCCCCCCCCCATATAGCGTTCTCCCCCACGCTATCGTGCATCCAGCAACTGGATACCGGTCTGCTACTCCCGCCTCATACTAGACCCTTCCCGTTTCCTAACCTCATAGAAATCTGCCTGTACATCTGCATCTTGCTAAGGGCACCGAGAGCTGCCTGCAGGCCTGCTTTGGGGGAAACGGCGGGGACGGGACACGTTGGGATCACAGCTGCATCCACCACCTGTACATGGAAGCCCTGCTAGGACACGCTGCCAGGACCACTGCTGGTGGCTGCCTTGCATCCATGGCAGAACAGAGGTTTGGAGCGACTGTGGCACCTCCAAGGGCAGTCCGCTCAGATCCATGGAGAAAGCGACGCATGCATCTCCTGCACCTCACGTCTGGCTGCAGCGAGCGAAGAGGAGTTCGGAGGGCAGGGGGCTGGTTGGGGCCCTCGGCCGGCGTGGCATCGTGCCCAGCGCCCAGCCAGGCAGTCCTGGGTTCTCCTCCAGCAGCACTTCTCCCCACGTCTCATGCACGGTGTGCAGGATGTAACACTCCGTCATCACAGCCGGGTGCTGTCCTCCTCTGCGTCGGGCAGGGAGCACCACCACACCTTCAGCTGCCCAAAGGCATCTCCACGGGGAGCCTTGTGGAGCTCCTAGTGCTTGAAGTCCTTCTGCTCGGCTGGCCTGGGGAAGCAGGAGGGTGCCCTTAGCCACGACTGCAAAGCAAGCCTCAGGGGCCAGATGGGCTCCCTGTGAACACACACAGGGGAGGGGGCTTCTGAAGAAGACGCCCCTGTCCAGAATGTCCACCAAGGGGGAATTCCAGAATATGGCTGTAGAGTGTCTCCGCCCAGTACTGTGTCTCCTCCCTTTTGAATAACAGCAGTCTGGTTTTCCTGCTCATTTGTGTGCTGGAATAGTTCACAGTTCCATTCCCCAGCCAGTTCTGTGAATTTGGCAAGATCCCTAGCCCATGGCACTCTACCTGCACAATGCACTGATCATTTGTAATGAGAGGTTCCTCTGATGGGGAGGGAGGCTGAGTCGGGCTCCTCTGGCTGGCCTGCCCATGGACCCAGCTCCTCCATTTCCAAACAAGTGTCCACCTGCTGTGGTGCCTCCTCCCATTTCTGGGCTTCAGAGCTGTCTTCTCCTGGCTCATCTCCTGCCAAAGAGAGGCTCGTCTTGAGGTGCCCCACTGCCAGAAGGTGAGAAATGCGAGAGGAGGGCTCTTTCAATCAGGGTTGGGATGAGCCCTAGAGGAATCCGCACCTCGAGCATCCAGGGGCTTCCTGCCGTGCTTGACCTGGTCCTGCCCAGTGAGCTGAGCTGAGAGGAAGTCCACAGATGCTCACAAAATGAAGGCTCTGCATCCAGCAACCTTCTTCTGTGCCAGAGAAACAGGGAAAGCTGCCTTGGTGGGCCGGGCCTCCCCTTCCCTGCTCCAGCTCCAGCTCCAGTCCAGCCTGCATTTCCCTGGGAAACGTACTCCGCACTGTTTCCTGGGGGCACACCTGCCGCAGCCCAGGATGCTCCTCCTTTGGCTCCAAGCAGAGCACTTCCCAGCCACATGCCTCCTTGGGGGCACATAGGTGGACTCGCACTTTGGCTGTTGCCTGCACTACATGAGTAGATTGATTTTGCCTGAAATCTAAGGAAAACAAATTTCAGCAATGCTTGTTCTATTGCCTAAGTTCTGCTCAGAATCTCCTTTTTACATCATTGCAAAACTGATTTGTGCGGCATGAATGTGAACAACCATTGCACAGCCATGGTTTTTGTCATCTTGAGGTTTAGCTGATTCTTTGCAGAGAATATCTATGTTAGTGACACATGTGTAAAGACGCATCCCTTATATGAATGACAGGACGCATCCCTTTGGAACCTTATGATGAGGGAGGATCCATTGATAGACCTACACTCCACCCACAATGGAAAAATAAAGGTGAACTGGCCAGTGGTTATATAAATAAGCCTAAATTATACTTCCTCATTTTCAGATCAAGTGGAAGAAAGTTAGAGCAGTTTCAAGTTTCAGTCAATGTTGCAGCAGCTGCAAAAGTCAACTTCGAGTTGATCTATGAAGAGCTACTAAAGCGGAAGCTGGGAAAATATGAATTACTGATTAAGGTCAAGCCCAAACAGTTGGTTAAGGACTTTCAGGTACATTCTTGGAAGAGGATTTTGTCCTAAGTGTCATTTTACAGCTGCAAGAGATGACCCTGTGCCATTTCTTTAAAATTTCTTCAGATTGATACCCACATCTTTGAACCCCAAGGCATAAGTTTCTTGGAAACTGAAAGCACTTTCATCACCAATGAACTGAGCGATGCCCTCACAAAAGTGCAGGATGAGACCAAGGTATATGAGACAAGTGGAAACTCTTACTGTTCTTAAAGGAATAAATCACATCTTGTCCTGCTACCTCAGCTCCAGTGCTCTTATCTCTGTATCTAATTTTCAGGCTCACATTTCATTTAAACCAACCATCACTCAACAAAGAAAAAGCCCCCAACTGGAGGAAACTCTGCTGGATGGAGATTTTCTCATACGTTATGATGTTAAAAGGAGTGCCACTGCCGGAGATATACAGGTGAAAAATAACCAGCTGATATAAATCACTAACTTTGGAAAATGGCCTTTTACAAATTGTTTGGCTGAAGTTTCAGGCATTGTCCCCTAAACTTCCTGTGAGTTCAGCATAATGAAGGGTGAGACTATCAAGTGAAAAACTGCCTGCTGTTTCTTCACTATTGCAATCTAAGCTTTGTCCAAAAGTTTGGACATACTAGTTCATTTCACAGGTTCTTTAGGAAGAGACAAGGAAGAGCTTCCCTTAAAAAAATGACACATACTTATATCAGTTTTCATGGGAGCCGAGGAAATTCCTATGATTTCACCACATTTGACTGCAAAGAGAAAGGACTTCTAATATCCATTAGAACAGCAGGAAATGTCTATTTCATGTTATGTCCTTTACTAAGGTAAATCTCAAGTGTAGCTTCATTATGTACTCTACCTAATGTAGGTTCCATTAATTTGTACATAGTCGTATTTAAATATGTACATGCAGCATATTAATACTACCTTTGTTTATTTCAGATTGTGAATGGGTATTTTGTCCATTATTTTGCACCCAGTCAAATGTCGGCATTTCCCAAAAATATCATCTTGGTAATAGATAAAAGTGGATCCATGTTTGGGAAGAAAATCAAACAGGTAATTTGTCACAGAGTAGAACATTTTCTGGAGTTTCCTCATGATGGTTTTCTCATGGTGATTTAGGTGCATGCTAAATTCCAATGACAACACAGTGTGATATGTCTATTTAAGAAATCATAATGAAGTGTTATTACTTCTCATGTGTCTGGCATCCCTCAGCTGGTCCCAGCATCCTCGATCTTTGAGAACTGAGAATTAGCTAAGAACTGTGGGCAATTTCAGTCTAGGGGTCTGCTTCAGTCACAGTAATCTGCCACTCTATATTTCAAGTTCAGGTTTGCTAGGATTTCCAATGGACACCTTCCTAAGCATACACCAGACTTTCTGCCCATTCTCGGTTTTATTCCCCTCTAGAGTCTTAAAAATCCATATTCACACACGCACCCAGGAGACTGGCATGCTGCCAAGCAACCCACAGTCTCCAGAGCGACGTTTACTTTCAGTCGTGCCTCTGTGCCCCACATTTGAAGACCCAGCTGCCTACAGAAAATATCAAAGGGTTCGGCGCGGGGGGGCAACCCTCCCAGTGGGCTGGGTCTGGTTGGTCCTTTGCCATGTGTGCATCACCAATTTGGCTTTTACTGCACCTTGCAAAAGCAAAAATGTGATTTGTTATTTGCAATTCAGATCTCATCGCTACCTTGTGTTCAGATTTTTGGCCAAGTTTCTTAAGTCCAAGGGGTTCTGGATCTCAGATCTCACTTTTGCCATGGATTTATATAACCCTCTGCAACACTCTGACAAGCAGCTAAAACTTTTTGACCCAGATGAGCCAGTGGGAGACTTTTAAAAGCAAGTGAGAAAAAGCAACAGGGAATTTCAAGACGGCTCCGAGGAGACAGAGAGAGACAGAAGTTATGAAAGAAAATTCTAAGGAAACTGTAAAGATACAGAGACAGAAAGGAGGTGACCTGATGACTTTTGGAGAAGATCTGGAACGAGAGCAAGAGAAGCCTTCTGCCTTTCCCACAGTAACCAGTCATTTGAGGCTTGGCATCCAACAATCAGCCAAGGCCTAGAGCACCTTCTGCATTCTGAACTCCATGGCTAGAAAGAGGCTCTGATCCACACAACTATGGGACTCCCCCCTCCCCCTTCTGTTCTGCGGTCGAGCCACTTCAAATCCTCCCCTCTCCCCTTTCTCCCCTCCTGTTCAAAAAATCCTACATTTCCTTTCATAAATCTTTGAAATTTGGTCCATGCATAATGGAACTAAATGGAGGAACTTAGGATCTAGTAAGAGAACAGGAAGTGCTTGACCAGGAAGTCTTCGGAAGGACTCTTTACCAGTCTGCCTAAAATGGACTGGTTGAGCACACATATAAATGAGTAAATCATTTTTTTTTCTAATTTAAAGCCTGTGGAGTGATTTTTGCTAATGAAATGTGGCAGCAGTTCCACAGTGTGATTTCTACCACAAGCAGTTATGGCACATGCTCTGAAACCTTCAGAAAGCCTGGATTTTGCAGACAAGAGCCAAGGAATGGATCCAAAGAAACAGAGCTTGGCATGCCTGAAAAAGGAGAGAACAGGAAAATAAATGCTTTACTGTCTATTACTGGAGATCAGAGAAGAAAGATATGTGCTAACCTACAGCTAAGCATGACCTCAATTTTTTAAATAGTATTTTTATTATTTTATTGATTTAAAATACAGAAAAAAGATAGGGGTGTGTGTGTGTGTGTACACACACACACACACGCGCGCGCAAAGTAAAATAAAATTGGCAAGGGATTTTGAACAAATATAGCCAATACATTGAAGCCCATAAATTTCAAAGAGACCAAAAATATTTATCTTTCCCTCATTCAGTTCTCTGTGGAAGTTCAGAAAAAAAGGGAATTATTATTCTTTATACCAACACATTTTCCAATTGCTTCAAATCAATTAGAAATCATCAACTATTTTTAAAGAGCTTCCTTTTACATCCTATTAATTGCACTGGGTAAAATAGAATTTCCATTTGTCATTATATTCTTCAATTGGTCTTCAATTTATATAATTAGCTATTTTTGTCATCACTGCATTCACTGCCAACTTATTTTTCCAGTCCTCAAATGTTGGGGATTTTGGTGTTTTCCATTTAGAGGCAATTGTAATTCTTGCTTCAGTAGCATGACCTCAATGTTGTCAGTATTGCTGGCAGCTTCACGGGGCTGCTGTTCTCCAAAGTGCTCCAGAGGAGAAATATAAATTCTTTACAGGAAATCACCATGAAGGAGAGGATTAGTTTGCCATGCCCCAGTGCTGTGACCTTTAGCAAGCACATGTCATTTGCAGAGCTGGAAAATTCTCTGACAAGGGGCAGAATTGTGAGTACTTACCAGGTCACCACTTCCAAGGACACCTGCTCCACCATAGTGACCTTCCTGTAGGCAAGGTGCCATAAACGGACCACCTTCCCAGCACTTCCTGTTCTCTTACAATATCCTGGGATTCACTAGCTCCATTAGTTGTATAACACACCCCTTTTCAGGGCACAGGTAGCCTGAGGGCTGGAAAACTGCACCTTAATTTGGAATGCCTTCGTATCTCATCCATCACTGCGTTACTTCATCGTTTTCCAGTGCCCATGAAAATTAATGGCTGGGAAAGTGAGATTTAATGTAGGTCTTTGGGCAAGTCCTTTTTTTAAAATATATTTGACCAGTTTGGGTTGGGGCTTAGTCTGAGGAAATGAGAATTTTGTGAGTAGCAATGCTCTCACCATGGCACCACCTCACACACTCCTGACGACCAGCTTGTGAGAACAGCCCACTATGCTTAAAACATAAAATAAAATAAAACTGGAGCAAAAGAGGAAGGCTGTGACCCGAAGAGGAATGGATTCTGGGGTCCATCGTCATAATGATGGTGTCAGCGGCTCCCAAAAGTTGAGGACTCTGCACTGTTTAGACTACATCGCTTTTGAATGAATGGAAAGCAGCACTGTAGAACCATTATTGTCTGGGATATGCACACTAATTTGTTCTACACTCCGTTGCAGCTGGGATTTGCAACACTTTAAGTGGTCTTACAGGGAAAGCTAAGCAAATCTTAGGGATGGAAAGGGTGGGGTCTGTGTGGAGGTAAACACCGGCAATGTGTTGACCCCTTCGCTACAACCCAAGAGTGAAGCAGTGTTTCTCAGACATATCCTTCCCCCAAAGCTGGTCCATTCTGCTGCTTCATACATGACATTTTTTCAACACAAAAATTATTTCCATTGAGGAATATTGCAATATAGCATGTGGCTTTTAGACACATGGATTGTATTCATATCAATGCAAGATCAATGTTCTTTCTACTCATCCCCTCATGATGGGAAAAAAATAAGCCTTGCAAAATTTCCATTTTGTCCAATCTGAGAATTTAGGGTTGGTAGCTTCAGAACAAGCCAAGACATTAAACCCCCTACAATTCATTACTTTTGTGGTTGGACACAAGAGAAATCCAGCTCACAGTTTGTTTTGAAGCTAATATGCAAGGAGGTACAAGAGGGCTGCGTGCCTGCCCAACAGACTCATTTGTATCTCGGTTTATTAAGCCAAGATATGCTTGCATGTATTTATTTTAGGTTTCCAATTCTGGCCATGACTATGTCCCTGAACATCATGTGCTGCTTGCTCATTTTACAGACAAAGGAGGCCCTGCAGAAGATTTTAGAAGATCTTAATCCCGAAGACCATTTTAACTTGGTTGTTTTTAGTGGACAAGTTGAGAAGTGGCAACCATCTTTGTTGCAAGCCACAGAGCAGAATGTGAAACTGGCCAAGCAGTATGTTCAGACCATTCATGAGCAAGGAGGTTCGTATCTTGATTGAGCGGGCTCCACAAGCTTTGCAGAAGAGTTGCAATCAGAAATGCTCATGGCAGACTATTCCTTAAACTGTACATGGCATGGTTATCCTAGTTCTCACTTTCAACCCCTTTCCCAGTTTTTCATTCAAGTAATTAAGTTTGTTGGTTTGATTTTTGTACGCTCCCCCCAGGCCCCATAGGCAAAGCTATCTACCTCCACCTCCACCTCCACCATGTCAGATATATGATCACATTCCTCCTTGATTTCTTTTTCTTACTTGGCCCTTTTAGATGTGACCACCAATTTAGATTTTGCTATTCAAGGGGTGCTCTTTGGCCCCTAGACATGCAGATTCCCAGATCTGAGGTCCATGGCCTGATCCCACTGCCCAGTGCCTTGCCAATGTTGAGAATTCATTCTTGAAGAGATGGTAAAGGGGGCATTCTGGAGCCTGGGCAAGGGAGATGACTGCAGAGGCTGGGGTATGAGCTGCTCTGTCCCTTCCGAGGCTTCCTCCTCCTCCTCCTCCTCCTCCTCCTCCTCCTTCTTCTTCTTCTTCTGAAGCGCTCCAGCTAGATGGCCTGGAAGGGCCGCCAAGGGCAAACGCAAAGTGTGGAGAGGTGCAGATCACTTCTGCTGCTCCTCCTGTTCTGCACAGGATGCTCATAAGCCTCCAAGGGTGGGCGCTTGGGTGCAGCACAGAGGACCAAGCCCCCTGTGCTTTTATTCACTCCTGCATGACTTGAATCTTTAAGCCTTAGTTCTACTTGCCTGACACATCCACGTGCATTTTCCCCACATCCTATGCCTTGACATCTGATTCAGTAGCACCTTTAAGCATGAGACACGTGCCGAATTAGACCAAAGGTCCACCTGGTGTACAATTCTGTCCATAAAGGAACCAACCAGCTGCCTGTAGGAAAGTCAGGACTAGGACATGAGTGCCATCATTCTCTCCCCTTTGCCTTCCCCAGGAAATGAGGACATAAATATACTGGTGGTTGTTCACGTCACACTAAGCCATCCTGTCATGTTTGCTTTGCTGTTATAGTAACAGATATCAATGCTGCTCTTCTGACTGCAATGAATTTGCTGGATGAAGCCACCACTGCTGAGTTATTGCCAGACAAAAATGTTTCAATGATCATTTTGCTGACTGATGGCCAACCCACTTCTGGTATGTTATGAACAGCATGACAAACAAGTTTGTTGTTTATATTCTATTAACAGCAATGTGTACTTAGCAACAATATGTCATATGCATAACAATATGTCAAATCCATACTTAACAACTTTAGTCCTATGCCTATGTTTTTCTTCCCCAAACTCTCTCTACTACTTCCTTTCAAAAAATTTCAATTTTCAAACCTTCCTCAAAAGTTTATCCTGATTAAAATTGTAGGATTTCCCCCAAAATGTCTTACACATCAAATGTTCTTTTCGGAATCTATACAGTATCTATCTATCTTCTGTATCTATCGACCTTACGTATATATTACTCCAACAATTAGCAGACTCTGCATGATCCTTAAGAAGGATTTAGGCTGTTAGCTCAACACTTCTTTAAGAGACGCTTGGTTTGACTGTGATAACACAAAGGCCACTGCAGTGTGATGCTGGCACAGAGGTTAAATCTTTCGTGGTCCTAAATGATTGTGTTCTGGGGCAGTCAGCTGTAGAACCAAGTGGAGGGGAGGCAATCCTGGATTGAGTCATAGGTGGGGCTGATCAGGATACAGTACAGGATGTACATGCTACTGAAACATTAGGTCATAGCTACCACGCTGGCATCAGATTTAATATACAGTTAGGCAGAAGACTGTCTGAAAGGTTGAATACATTTGCATTTGATTTCAAAAGAGGAAATTTCCAGAGACTAAGGGAACTGGTTAAGCAGAAGCTGAGAAAGGGAACCAAGAAAATGAATTCACCTCCTCAGCACCTGGGGATTACTCAAAAGTACTATAGTAGAGGCATAGAAAATATGCATGCCACAAGTGAGTAAAGGCAATGCAAAGTTCAAGAAATCACCAGCTTGGTTAATGAGTAGTCAAGGAAGTCATTAGGGAGAAAAAAGCGTCCTTTGAGAGACGGAAGTCTTGTCCAAATGAAGAGAACAGCAAGGACCACAAGATTGCCCAAGGGAGATGTAAGCAGACAATCAGAGAAGCAAGGAACCATTTGAGGAGCATACTGCTAATTACATCCAGCCCAATAATAAGGAATTCCCTATGTGCCCTCCCACCCCTTGAGATCTGAGGTGGAGGCCCTACTCTGGGAGCCTTCCTTGAAGGAGATTAGGAGGAAGAGTACCCGGAGGAGGGCCTTCTCTGCAGTGGTAGCTCAACTATGGAATATGCTCCCCAGCGAGGTTCGCTTGGCACCGACGTTAAATTCTTTTCAGCGTCATGCAAAATCCTTTTTATTTTCCCGTTATTTTAATGTTTAATTGATTTTAACTGGGGTTTAGTATATTCTGATCGGATGCTGTGGGGCTGTTGTATTCTATTTATTTATTGTAAGCTATTGAGACGCTCTGTAGAGGATGGGATAGAAAAGCTTTTAATTAATTAATAAATTATATATAAAAGCAACTAGAGAAGTGATTGGACCATTGGACAATAATAGAATTCAAGGAGCACTGGGGAGCGGGGTTGAAGATAGTGCAGAGAAGCTGAATGAATTCTTTGCATCAATCTTCACAGTGGAGCATGCAGAGCATATATCTGTCCATGAGCTTATGCATTCTGGAAGGGAGTCTGAAGAATTAAGGCAGAGAGTAGTGACCAAGGAAGAAGTTTTCAACTTTATTGATAAACTGAATGCCAGCAAATCACCTGCTCCAGATCATATCCAGTCTAGAGTCCTTAAAGAACTAGAACATGGAATTGCTGGCCTTCTTACCAAATATTTAATAAGTTTCTAAAAAGAACCCTTGTGCCAGAGGTTTGGAAAATGACCAGTGTGACACCAAATGTTAAAAAGGGATCCAGGGGGATCTGGGAATTTCAGGCCAGTTAATTTAACATTCCTTCTGGGTTAACTGCTTGAAAGCATCAGTAAAGAAGTAATCAGTAAACATACGGAGGGATAATCCCTGATGAGAAAAAGTCAGCATGGCTTCCACAAGGAGAAGTCTTGTCCCACAAAGAAACATACATTTATGTTTTATTACAAAATCAACAGTCATGCATATAAGAACTGCAAGTTAACTACACAAGTTTGCATGAACATCTACTACTTAGTATCTATACAGAAATAAGCACATAGAGGGACAAGCCCTGCTGAAGAAATATCAGCATGGCTTCTGCAAGGAGAAGTCTTGTCTCACTGACCTGTTGAAGTTCCTTGAGAGTGTCAATAAGCACACAGAAGGGGGCAATCCAGCAGCAATGGTTTACCTGGGCTTTTTAAAGGTTTCACCAAAAGCTCCTGAGCTAAGTAAGCAGTCATGGGTGTGGGGAGGTCCTCTTATGGATCGCCAACTCGCCTTCTGCCCATTTCTTCCAAATTGCTGCATATTTAGGCATGTACACACGCATCTTGGCCCAAGTTTTAAATGTATTTTCTAAATATGCCCAAAAGGTGTTACTAATGTCAATGAGATTCAAGCAAACATAAAGAAGGCTAATGAAGGGAAATACTTCCTCTACTGCCTTGGCTTTGGCTTTGATGTCAGTTACTCGTTTCTGGAGAAGATGGCCTTAGAGAATGGGGGAATCGCTCGCCGTATCTATGAGGACTCAGATGCAGCCCTGCAACTCCAGGTAAGGAAGCTGTGGGGTTGGGCAGAAATATTAAAAGCACACCAACTCATTTCTCAGTAATAGATCCAATTATGCTGATGACTGTGTGAAGCTGTACATAGACATTCATTTTAATCCACAGTCCCCTTTTCTGTCTGTCTCATTCAAGGGCTTTTATCATGAGGTTGCTACTCCCATCCTGAAGCAAATTGAAATGACATATCCCAACAATACTGCACTGGACATCACTCAGAATAGTTTCAATGTGCTCTTTGATGGCTCTGAAATTGTAGTAGCTGGAAAACTAGGAAATGAATTCAAGGTTTTCGCTGTGGAAATTAAAGCTAAAACAGTGAGTGCCTAATAAATTTGTCTTCTGTTGCTACTCTAATCATTTTTAAATGTTTGAGATTTTTGAAACTTGAATAGCTATTTGTTTATTAAGACCCACACTTTGCAATTAATAAAAAGTAAATAACATATGAGGGATACTAAAACAGAAACACAGATGAAGTAAATCATGGAATAGAATCAGTGCCGTGCTGGAATAAGAACAGCCAAAGGAGAAGAGGAAAGGCAGCTATTCTCTGGCAGGGCTCCTCTTTTACCTGCAGAAGGCCCAGGTTGAATCCCCAAGATCTCCAGGTAGTGCTGAAGCAAGCACACTTCCTGAAAGCCTGGAGCGCCACTGCCACTCCGGGTTGATGGACCAGTCTTCACCTGGTGCCAGAAGGATAGCAAAGTCTGTTCTGAGAATCTTATCTGGCTTCAAAGATGGTGTGTCACATCCTTTGGCTGGAAGTTCTGCCTCCTTGCTAACGGTGCTTTTAAAAATAAGAAAGAAAGGATTCATGGTGACCAGCTACAGCTGTGTTGGGCCCTAACTTGTTCATGGAGGCCCAAGTCCTGATTTTGCCTCTCTCTTTATGGCCATTTGCTGCCACCACCCCCAAATGGTGGGGCTCTAGGAATTGTTCTGAGGTCCAGCCCTAGTTGCACAACTAGGAGGGCAGATACAATTGCAGAGAAGGTGAAATCCACCCACTTGTTATTAGCTGACCATCCCTGTCAAATACATTTATTCATAATGTGGACAGCACTACACCTGTATATTTAAGCCAGAGCAGGACAGGTTTGGAGGTTCGTGTCACAGGAATCATGACTTTAACCTGTTTTCCCAGATACTATTAATCCGGCTGAGTTCAGAATCAAAAGAAGACGGCCTTAGTCTCTGGAACATCTTGATACTGTCCATTTATGATTATCAATCAATAAATGGATAAAATAACATTCAATCACCCGAATTCAGTCACTGAAAGTATCAGTTGTGGAATTTTAGATTGCAATGCTGATGGCTTGCAACAACTTAAAATTCCCCCCAAGTGTATGATTTAATGATTCATTATATTTACTATCTACTTTATTTAAAATGTCTTGGAATAGATGTTTCCTGTGACATCAGTTTAAGTAGAAAAGGAAACAGGAATCTCTGAAAGAACATCAGTTGCTGTTATCAAGATTGAGGATTACTTTGAATAACTCACACATTTTTGCTCCTTGCAGCATTCAAGTGACCTGATCCTTAATGAAAATTCACACGTGATGGAAAAGGAGCAAGTATTTCAGGATCAGGAATACATTTTTGGAGATTTCATTGAGAGATTATGGGCCTACTTAACCATCAAACAACTGTTAGAACAAATGTAAGATAATATGTTAAGGATAAGAATGTGGTTTGTCACTTGAGGCACAAAGCAGATCCATTATAACTCCACTGCTATGACTGATCCAAGCATGTAGAAGGCATGGTATAGTCTTCACACAGGTCTATACCATGCTCAGAACAATTGCTCCAAAGATAGATTGATTGATTGATTGATTGATTGATTTATATCCTGCCTTTTTCCTACAAAGGGCTCAAGGCAGCTTACATCATTCTCCTCCTCCATCTTATCCTCACAACAACCCTGTGAGGTAGGTTGGACTGAGGGTCTGTGACTGGCCCAAAGTCACCCAGTTGGCTCCATGGCTGAGCGGGGACTCGAACCCGGACCGCCTGAGTCCCAGTCCCATGCTCCTACGCACTGCACCACACTGGCTCTCCTAGATAAGGATTATTGTTCAATACATCACTTATTTAAAATCTCCCTGCATGTGGAAAGGGAGATTTCCCACTGGCGTGCTAGCCTTCCATGCAAAGAAACAGATAAGGTTGCCAGTAGACCAGAGACTGGTGGAGGATCCCTCAGAACCACTGTCTATTATCTCAGAGAAATCATGGGTGACAGGGAAATACCAAATGACTGGAAAAAGGCTAATGTTGCCCACAAGCTTCAAGAACAGAAAAGAAGAAGATCCTGGGAACCACAGACCAATCAGTCTGACATCAATCCCTGGGAAAATTCTGGAGCAGATTATAAAGCCGTCAGTCTGCAAACACCTTGAGAACAATGCCGGAATTACCAGAAGCCCACATGGATTTGTCAAGGACAAATCCTGCCAGACTGACTCACTGACTCACAAGCAATCCCATTTTGGCATTATCAGGATCTGAGAGAAGCCTCCAGGGCCCACAGCACCCCGCTTCCCTACGCCCCATTCAGAGGTGGGCCAAATGGCTGGATCCTGCCTGCCTCGAGAGGAAAGCAAGCACCGCAGCTGGGCGCACCCAGCCCCATTCCCCTTCCCACTGTCTGCCCCATGTGCCTTTTCCTTCCCAAGGGGAGGTGCATGGGACAAGCAGTGGCACCACCTTCCCAAGCCCCAGTTGGAACTTGGGAATGGGCGCAGGCCGCGTACCACCTGCTACTGTCACCACGGCTGGGGTGGTGGACAGGAAAGAGAGGCTCTGTTTGCCTTCTTCTACAGGAGGGGAAATCGAGCAGCTCAGCAGAGAAAGGGGGAAACAGAGCTGGAGGCATCCCTTCCTGCCCCCTGCCCCTCCTCCTTTCCAAGCAAGAGGTGCTCAAATTGTGCAGTGGCAGTGACTGCCCTCACCACCATCCCAGGCTCCAAGCCAGGCCTGGAAGGGCGTGTGGCTCCTGCCGCCCGGCTAGTGGTGCACTTGTGGGTGACACCTCGCCTTGAGGTGGGAGGCTGCAGGCCAGGCCTGCATGGTCAGCCGGGGCTCCTTCCAGAAAGGCTACCTGTGCCCTCCACACATGATCTGCGGTGCTCCGCAACCGACAGGTGAGCAAGGGGTACAGGTAGCCTCCAGGTAGCAGGGTGCCACAGCTGAGCAATGGGTCAGCTCGTGCTGGGCTTCCGAGCCCTTCCTTTCTCGCTGCCCTGCCAGTTTGCCCCCCGGTGCTCCTTGAGAGCGATCCCATTCTGCCAGCATTGGCAGGCACGCTGGATGGGGAAGTGGATGAGTGCCATCCTGCTCTTCTCAGGACTTCTGCAGTGCCCCCTGGGATACTGCGGGAGGACTCATGGGAAAAGGGCAGGGACACAGGCTCCTGCTGTGCCCAAGCATCTGTCAGTGTGTGGGTGCCACTACCCAGTGTGTGGGTAAACTTCCCGGGGTGAGGGGTTAATGTGCTGTGCAATTGCACCCATTATATCCTCCCTTCTGTTCTAGGGTTTTTCCTTCTGTGTAAGGGAAGCACTGTCTCCAAACTATATTTTAGGGTTGGAAGCACCTCATATTTTACTAAGAGGTGAAACAACGCCCTCACATCCTGACGACCCTATTGTATTGTCAATGTCCTGATGTGTGGTGTTTAATAATCTCCCTTGATGAGAGGGATTGAAACCCCCAATACAAAGCATGTTATTCCCTCCATTAAGCTTCTTTGAATCATGTGGGGAAATAGGGAGTGCTGACTTTACCTCTGCATTTCAGTGTTCTGGCTGAAGGAGAACAGCGGACAAACATTGAGGCCCAAGCTTTGAACCTCTCCTTGAAGTTTAGCTTTGTAACGCCACTCACTTCCATGGTGGTCACCAAGCCTGATGCTCAAGATGTGGCAAACAAACCTACTGAAGCAGGTAAATCAGCACAAAGTTCAGATGGAAGCAATCCAAAATGTTATATCTCCACCCTTTCTGAATAATGTTAGAAGAATGAAGGATTCTCTGTGTGCGCATGTGCATGTGCATGCATGCCCGTGTGTGTGTGTGTGCGTGCAAGCATGTGCATGATTCAAAGCAGCAGCAGCAGCGACAACGCATTTTATAACTGCATGGGAAGACACAGTCACTCACACTGAAAGGCAGACGTGTTATTGCTGGGGCAGGCAGAGGATTCGTACAATAGAACCTGGTTGTGTCTTTTCTTATACTGAGAAGACACATCATATTCTTTTCTTGCATAAGCACAACATGGCATTTGGTACATTTATTTGGAATGATGTAAGGAAAGCATAGTCTGCACCCAGAATTATGTAAAAGGGTTAAAAAAAAAAAGTAAAAGTAATTCTAGCCAATGACAGCAGCCCAGGAGTGCCCAAGTTGCAAGTGGGGCCGCTTCTGGTTGACGGCTGGTTGCGGGAGCCCAGGGAGCCTCAAGCAGCTGCCCCCAAGTGCCACTTGGGCGACAGCTGCTTGGGCAGAGTGGCTAGCTTTGTGTGCCACTCTGGCCAAACAACTCTGTAGGGGTTTTGGCACTCCTGGGTTTAAAGTGCGAACCAGGTTTGGGCAACTCTTTAAGCCCAGAGGAGGCTGATAAACTGCTTACAAGCTATGTCTTAACAGGGTGGCCTAAAGCCCAGGAGCTAGGTTTGGAAAACACCCCAAATAAACCACGGCAGGTTTGGTCAACATACTAAGCCACCTCGATTTATAAGCTCAGTGGCTTAGTGTGTCATATGAACTGGGTCAATGCATTTCAGCCACCCCAATCCATCTACTGAACCTTTACTATGGAGCTTTCAGCCCCAGTGGAAGCAGCCAGCATTCCAGGACTCATGTGCCCCAACAGGATCCACTGGGCTGCTGTCTTGCCTGGACACCTCTTCTGCCACTGATGCCACCTTCTGCTTGGGCATCATGATGATGACATGGCCTCACAGGATCAATCAGGGACTTACTGGTTGGAAGACCACCTGTAATGGGCTCGCAACCCATGAGGTCTGAGCAGCTGGTTCTGCAAGGGATTGTGCAACCGGTTGCATAAGTGGACAATGGCAGATACAACAGGAAGCACAAACACAATGCACAACTGCTTGTACACCCTTGCCTGGGTGTGGAATGGGCTTCCACGGGAGGTGGCTGAGGCCCCATCAGTGCAGGTGTCCAAGGATAGGCTGGACGCACATGGTAGGCATGTCATGAGCGGAGCCGGCTGAAGCCGGGGGTCAGACTAGATAGCCCAGGAGGAGGCCCCTTCTGACTCGCTCTATGTTTCTACTTGCAGAAATGTAATTTCAGTTGGATTCTTGGCATAGTTCCAAACCTAGTTTCTGCTAAGGCAACTTCCTTTGCATGGAATGCACGGGTGGATACTTCCTTTGCTTTATAGTGAACATAAGAACCGAGGCCCTTTCGTGCTGAATGGATGCACACTCACGGATCCTTCTGGGGAAATGCGGCTGTAGCCGAGGGGAGATCTCTGCGGCATGAGCTGCCTGCAGAGATCTTGCTGAGCACATCCTCTACAGCACCGGGAAGACGAGCAGCAGCACCCGCACTCGCGAACCCAATTGCAGTGACTGAAAGAGCCATGCACTTGCTGGCAGGGCATTGCTATAAAAATAGGCGTTGTCACCATGCCAGTGGTTTGCTTGAAAGAAAGATGTCGCAAACCAGCTGGCAAGCAAGATGGCAGCAGCTTCCTCATGGTGTTGCAGCAGATTTGCATTCTTCCCCTATGTGTTTCTTTATGGCTCATATGAATGACCACAGTTTTCAACAAGTATTTCACAAACATCTCAGCAAAGGATACGAGGAAGGAAAGAAGGTAGAAAGACAGGAAGGACAAAGGATGGAAACAATCTTCATTTTGTGCAGTCCAGTTTCCATTTTTTCTGGATCCCTTATTTGACTGGTCCTATGGTGTTAATTCTTTTCTTGCCTTTTCTTTTTTTGGTCCAGATAATGAGAACTTCCCACAACCTCTGAGACTTCGAGGTAAGTAATCTATTTCAGCAACTTAATCTTTAATACAGTCTTCTCCAACCTGGCATTGTCCAGATGTTTTAGACTCTGATCGTTTCTGACCCTTGGTCATGCTGGCTGTGGCCAATGGAAGTTGTAGCTCAAAGCATCTGGAGACAGAGGACTGCTTTAACACTATCTCTTGTACAAGGATTGCTTTAACAATGAGAAATGTTTCATAGGTATGAACCTGCTTCCTGTCAGAAAACAACAGCACCTGTATGATGACAGCACAAATTACTTCATGGCAAGCCCACACATCCGTTATTTTCACGGAAAAGGTATTCTTATTTTTCCTTTCCTTTCCTTTCCTTGTTTTTCCCAATGGAATGCCAGGGCCAATTTATGCATGAGGGTGCAATCATGCATGTTCAGACAGAAACTACAGGTCCCTACACAACTTTGTTGTTTACCAGTAATACATTGGTCTTCCATCAAACTGGCACCCTTAGAATGTGTTGGATTATACTTTCCATCATCTTCATCAAGTCAATGGGAGCGATGGGGACTGTGGTCCAATACCTTTGGAGGGTGCCAGACTGGGGAAAGCTGATCGTATCTCTGATAGTATGACAAAGAGATATGATAGTAAATAGTATTGCGCAATACAACAGCCAATGTGCAATTAAGGGCATTTTTAAAGAGGGAACAAGATTGCTTGTGTTTTGCTGGGCTCTGAGATCTTACCAATTCTGCCAATTCACCCATTCTGGAAGCACCTGCCCCCCATTTCATCTCACATGTTTCTCCAGAGTTTCCTGGAACAGAGAAAAGCTCCATTGCCCAGGTGGGCTTCTATTTGTATTACTCTGAAACCAACCCATAGGATTTTTCTTATTGTGGGCTCATCATTCCCCATTCATGGTTGTTTACAGGTTCTTTAGACAATGTGGCAACCCTTCAGTCTCTCTTTTGTGTCCACAGCACACTTCCACTGAATTTTTTTAGTGAGAAAAAATGGTACATAACTGAAAAAACAAAAGAAACCATTTTTTCACATTTATTTATTTATTTATTAAGACATTTTTATGCCGCCCCATTCGCCGAAGCCTCGGGGTGGCTTACAACACATAAATAAAAATTAAAATATATATATTAGAATAATAATAATAATGTGATATATATATATATATATATATATATATAGAGAGAGAGAGAGAGAGAGAGAGAGAGAGAGAGAGAGGCGGCCTATAAATATAAAAATAAATAAAATAAAAGCATGTACTTTTATGAAGTATTTTTGTTCAAAAAGGCTCTACCTGAGAAAGCAACCTTCATTCTTCCACCAAGGTGGGTGGGGAGAAGTACAGTGCTCTTTAGTGGTGAAGTTGAAGAGAAATCTGAGGACACGAGGTAAATCATTTGACATCGCATGAACCCACAACTGCACAAAATATATGTGGAATACCCCACACTGGTGACTATAGTAAGGACCAGAAACCTTTTCACACTGCTTTCACTGCTGGCTGCAGATTTCGAGATACACCTCTGCTGCGGTTCTCAGCTTTGGTTGGCCCAAGGCATTGTGCTGGATGAAGCAAAGTCCAAGAGTTTTAAAAAAATCACTTTGCACCACTGAGACACCACTCCGTACCATCATTACTACACACACAAGTACACACACTCATGGAGCCTATTGCTAAACAACAGGGCCAGCCCTGTTCTCAACTGAGCCACGTTCTCATGTTGACACCCGCCATTCTTCTTGGACAGCTCTGACTGTGACGTTAACTTCATTACTACTTTTTTTGTCACTGTAATGGCCTGTTCCAGGAAGATGGCATTCAAGGTACAGAATTTATTCCAGCAACATATTCCTTGGCACTTTATACTACCAGAAAATAACTGAGGAGCAATGAGAATTTCTTACAGTTTTCAGGAGTCGTGTGTCCAGTGAGCCAATAGGATTAAAATCCATTCGTCAATTTCCGAAACAACATGGGAATTCCAGTCATCAAAAAGGTATTCTATTTCGTTTTCCTACCTCAGGCAGTGATTACTGTCCAATTATGCATAAGTATTGGTTCAAATTTGAGAAAGGAGTTCGACAAGGCTGTATACTGTCGCCCTGCCTATTTAACTTATATGCAGAGCACATCATGAGAAAGGTGGGGCTGGATGAATCAGCAGCTGGAATTAAGATTGCTGGGAGAAATATCAACAACCTCAGATATGCAGATGATACCACTCTCTTAATGAAAACTAAGATCATGGCATCCGGTCCTCTCACTTCCTGGCAAATAGATGGGGAACAAATGGAGATAGTGACAGATTTTATTTTCCTGGGCTCCAAGATCACTGCAGATGGGGACTGCAGCCAAGAAATTAAAAGACACTTGCTCCTGAGGAGGAAAGCTATGGCCAATCTAGACAGCATACTAAAAAGCAGAGACATCACCCTGCCAACAAAAGTGCGTATAGTCAAGGCTATGGTTTTCCCAGTGGCAATGTATGGCTGTGAAAACTGGACCATAAGGAAGGCTGAGCGCCAAAGGATTGAGGCCTTTGAATTGTGGTTCTGGAGGAGACTCCTGCGAGTTCCTTGGACCGCAAGGCAATCAAACCAGTCAGTCCTAGAGGAGATCAACCCTGACTGATCTTTAGAAGGCCAGATCCTGAAGATGAAACTCAAATAGTTTGGCCACCTGATGAGAAGGAAGGACTCCCTAGAGAAGAGCCTAATGCTGGGAACAATAGGTGGCAAAAGAAGAAGGGGACGGCAGAGGATGAGGTGGCCAGATGGAGCCACTGAAGCAGTCGGTGTGAACTTAAGTGGACTCCGGGGGACGGTGGAGGACAGGAAGGCCTGGAGGAATGTTGTCCATGGGGCCGCGATGGGTCGGACATGACTTCGCGACTAACAACAACAATCTCTGAGAGAACATCTGCCCCATCACCCTGCTGGGTCTCAGTTGCATCTGATCCCCTTGGATTTTTTTCTTTTTTGTCCACATCTGCTTCATCTCCCTGAATCTTTCTACCTGAATCCCCCCCGCCAAAAAAAATTAAATGTCCTTTTCTGGCTATGTATCCCCTTTTATAAATGGGCAGGGCCATTTAAAGACACTTCAAGCACATAGGTGAGTCATCATATGCAAATGTGTGCATTTCAGTGTTTTGTCCTGTGGGCCTGACCTCTGGGTCTTTTCAGTACCCAGCACAGCCCCTTCCTCTGTCTTGGTCCAGCACAGTCCCTCCAGCAGCCTCCCTTCCACTGTCCCTCCATCTCGGAGGAGAGGGACCCAGCCTGCCCCCAAAGACCGAGGACTCACACGGTGACCGCCCAATGCTCCTTGGATGTCCCGCCTCGCCTGGCTGGCTCCTCCTCCTCAGCCCATCCCTAGCCCACCTACAGGCCCACGCTAGGTTTGAAGCCTGGCCTTCCTCTTGGGATGCTAAGCTTCCATGTGGAGATACTTCTGGTTTTATAGTGAAGCATTCGCACCTGTTAGCCCCATTCCCAACTTCTCTCAAAAGTAATGCAGTCCAGGCACAGGTTTACCATGTCAGGTTGGCAGATGATGCAATGTGGGGTGAGCTATGTCTGTTGAGACCCCACAACCATGATCCTGGAGCCCTTTTCCTCTCCCACTAAGAACAAGAGAGGAATCCCTTGACCTGGGAAACAGGATAAAGCAACACGTGATAAATTTTATTTTATTTATTTATTAAAAGCTTTTGTATGCCATCCTATTGTACAAAAATCTCTGGACGGCCTACAATATTTAAAAGAATAATTAAAACAACAATTTGTAATAAATAATAGAAACAGAACAAACAATAAATTGCAAAACAAACAGAGCGACTGAAAGTTAAAGTTGTTAAATTTTAAAATACTGTTTAAATAAAAAGGTTTTGGCCTGGCACTAAAAAGAGTAAAAACTTGGCACCAGGCATACCTCTCTGGGAAGTACATTCCAGAGTCTGGGCACCACAGCAGAGAAGGCCCTACTCCAAGTTGATGACCTTTTTACCTCTCTTAGAGAGGGTTCCCATAGCAGGGCTTCTCCCACAGATCTTAAGGGGGGGTGAGGGTGTATAAGGAAGAAGATGTTCCTTCAGGTATCCTGGTCCCAAGCCGTTTAGGGCTTTATAGGTCAAAACCAGCACCTTGAATTGGGCCCGGACTTCAACAGTGGAGCTGGTAGAGGACCAGCGTTATGTGAGAGTAACGGCCAGTCCCCATCAGCATCCTGGCCGCTCTATTCTGTACCAGTTGCAGTATCCAAACCATTTTCAAGGGCAGCCCCACATAGAGCGTGTTGCAGTAATCCAAGCGGGAAGTTACCAGAGCATGTATCACTGTTGCTAGGGAGTGCTCATCCAGGTAAGGATGCAGCTGATGGATCAGTTGGAGTTGTAGGAAAGCACCCCTTGCCACCGCCGCCACCTGCAGTGACAGCTCTGGGTCAAGGAGTACCCTCAAGCTGTGGACCCTGTCCTTTAGAGGGAGTTCTACCCCATCCAGAACTGGGTCAAAAATCACTTATCTAGAGACCCGAACCGCCCACCAACAGGACTTCTGTCTTATTGGAGTGAGGCTCAGCTTATTGGCCCTCATCCAGCTTATTAAAGTGTCATTATACTAGGAGTCCCCAGCGCAGCACCTAGGGGGACCTCAGCATCTACAAAGCCAGCCTGCCCTGCCTGCCCTGGGTGCACACCCCCAAACACACACACACACACACACGCACACACACTTTTTGCTTATCTATACAACAATTCTTCATAAGAACAGGATAGTCACAAAAAAGCCCTTGAATCAAAAGAAGGCTGTGGAGGTGAAATCTACCCCAGCCATACAAGTTAGAAATCCTTGCATTAGAGCAGAGGTCGTCAAGCCATGGCATCCTTCAGGACCCACATTTTATTTATTTATTTATATTTAAAACTTTTCTAGTTCTTCCCATTACTGAAGTCTTGGGACGGTTTGACAATACAAAATGTAAACAAACAAACAAACAAAAAACCTGCCTCACACAGCGTCCTAAAAATGCAACTAATAATAAAACCCCAATTAAAACAGTCAGGTGTAGAACATTGGGAAAATAAAAAGGTTTTGGCCTGGCGCCAACAAGAATAAAGTGATGTTGCCAGGTGAACCTCTCTGGGGAACTAATTCCACAATTGGGGTGCCACTGCAGAGAAGGCCCTTCTCCGGGTAATCACCCTCCTGATCTCCTTCAGGGAGGGCACCCAGAGAAGGGCCTCTGCCCCAGATCTTAAGGGGCAGGCATATGCCTCCCCTTACTCACCTGTGTCTGCCGTTGCTTCTGCATTTCTTCCTGCCCCCACGCTCAGCAGGGAGGGAGTGGGAAACTTCCTGCTTTCTTGCTCCTGAGGGAAGCACAGCAGCAAGCACAGCACAGCAACGGAAGACAGGTGGGCAGGCAGGGGGGTTAGGGGCTGGCAGAACGGGCAAGATGCAGGGGTGGAGATGCAGGGGTGGAGTTCTGGTGGAGTTTCTGGTGGATTCTGGTGGAGTTTCCACTGTTCTGTAAATCAGGGTTTAGATCCCATTGGTATTCCATGACTTTCTTCCATATGAACCTGCTTAGTTTTAGAGAAATAGGTGCTTCTCAGCATGATATTAATTCTTACACATTCATTAGAACTCTTTGCATGATATATTTGAATTTCGCCAATTCTGTATGCCAGTAAAAGGTTCTGCTATTACAAGGTAACAAGAGGAGACCTGGTGCTTCCTTTTTTCCAGGCAGTGCATCATATCCGCATTTCATCTTGCAATTGCCTGGTGAAAATGATACCATTTGTTTAATGATCACTGGACTGCCGCAAACACGCAGAATCCTGCTGTCTGACCCAGATAAAGGTAAGCCTTATATAAACTGTTTTCCAAGCTTCATATCAGGCTATTATACATTATCTGGTGCCTATATGAAATTAAAACTCAAAGCCTGGGGGAACATGCCCTGTGTGACACCGTAGAATAGCTAATTTAATGCTGTAAGCCATCCATAGACGACAGTGACGGACAGCCTATGAATTTCTTAAAGATATAAATAAAAAATCAATCCCTCATGAAAACCTGTTATCTGAGAGATGGCGGTTAACTTAAGAACTTAAGAAGAGCCTTGTGGGATCAGGCCAAGGGCCATCTAGCCCAGCATTGAGTTTGCAGACCAGCTGCCCGCAGGACACTCCTAGGCAGAACATGAGTGCAACAGGGGTGTCCTCTCCAAGCTCCTCAGACACTGGGTACTTCCTGTGATCCTGAAGGTAGCCAAAACCCATCAGGACCATTCATAGCCTTCTCCAATCTCCTCTTAAACCAGTCCAAATCGGTGCCCATCACTACATCCTGGGGAAGTGAATTGCATAGTTTAAGCATGAGCTGGACAAGGAAGGACCTCCTTTTATCAGTTCTGAATTTCCCACCAGCTTCATGGGATGACCCCACTGGGTTTTAGTACAGAGAGAGGAGAGGGAGGCAGGGAGGGAGAGAGCAATGTCTCCCTGTCTACTTTCTCCACACCGTGCATCATTTTGTATACCTCTATCATGGCTCCCCTTATTCGCCTTACTTGATCAAATCTAAGATCGCTGTTCTGCTAGCAGAAAGACCACTGCTGGTGGAACAGGACTTCTCAGGGGCTGCAGTGGAGAGGAGAGGGCAGGTCAGCTAAATCCTGTTCCACTGGCTGGGTCTGTTCTGCTGGAGGATATAATAAACCTGAATCCAGCCTACTTTTATTCTTAATAGTACCTTTCTGAAGAAGCCTTTCACTGCCATTATGCTGGTTTGGTACTATGTGATCAAAGAATAATAGTGCTGATACATCCAGCAGACTGACACTGATACTGGACATTTTTGCAATTCTTCTAGCCACTGCGTGCTCTTATGTGTGATTTCTAACATTTTGAGTAGGTGTGCCATCTTCATTCTCATTCTGTCCATATTTCTGCTATATTTGTTTCTCATGTTTCTAGGAATCCAGTTGACGGGCACTCTGGGGGAAGAAGGGCAATTTGTACAGTTTGACATAGTCTATCAGACACCTAATATGCAAGTCAATATCTCAGAAGACAAAGTTATCCTGAATCTCAGTGGAAACGCAACCATGCTCCCCTGGCAAACCAGCTTCTCCTTGACAGTGGAAGGGTAAAATTCCTTTTCTGCATTTTCCTTCACAAAGAGTGGGGCTGAATTGAATCTCTCACTGAATCAAACTTTCTTTCATCTCTTTGTTGTTGTTGTTAGTCGCGAAGTCGTGTCCGACCCATTGCGACCCCATTGACAACATTCCTCCAGGCCTTTCTGTTCTCCACCATCTCCCGGAGTCCACCCAAGCTCACACCGACTGCTTCAGTGGCTCCATCTGGCCACCTCATCCTCTGCCGCCCCCTTCTTTTATTGTTCCCAGCATTAGGCTCTTCTCCAGGGAGTCCTTCCTTCTCATTAGGTGGCCAAAGTATTTGAGTTTCATCTTCACTATCTGGCCTTCTAAAGAGCAGTCAGGGTTCATCTCTTTATTTATATCTATTCTCAGTGTCCTGTGGTCACATAATGTTCAAGACACACATGATGTATCTCAATTGCCCCAATTAAAGGGAGCACATGAAATGTTAGGATTTATTTACAATGTTTCTATCCCACCTTTTTACTTTTGCAAGGAACCCAAGATGGCTGACATAGTCCTCCTTCTTTCCATTTTGTCCTCATAACACCCCTGTGAGGTCGGCTAGACTGAGAGTCAGCCACTGGCCCAAAGTCACCCAGTGACTTTTATGGTCTAGTGGGGACTACAGATCTTCCAAGTCCCAGTCCAGTGTTCTCACCTTTACACCACACTGGCTTGTTCACTTAATGTCGACTACAAGGTCATAGGTGTTTTGGCCACCCTCACCCCCCTCTGTCCTGCGCGGGCATGAGCGGTTGCCAAACTGTGGTGTCAGAGGAGAGGGAAGAAGGCCATTTTTGATGGAAAATAGGAAGAGGCCCAAAACATTCCTTGCCACTCTCTCCCACAATGCCTTGGCTGCAAAAGTGCAGGCCTTAACTCTGGGGCCTGTGAGGGAGTGGTAAGGAACCATGTCAGCCTACAGAAAGATTGAGGGCAGCTTGCTAGGACTTACTGGGGGAGCATCCTGGGGTAGTTAACTTTGGGGCTGGAGCTTGTCTGAGTGATCCCGCCAATGGGTTGTGCAGCAGAGGGCTAAGGGACTCAGGTGAAATGATGGGGCACGGCCTCCGCTGCTGACATCCGCTCCAGCACTCGCGTTGAGGGTACGGCTCAGCTGAGCCCTGTCATCAAGGTGAAGAGCAGACCTGTGTTTGCTGTCAGTGCTGGGGGCAGCAGTGATGTTCTGTCTACAAAACCCGTCTCCTTTTGCTCGAATGCCTCTCTCTCCCACTCTGACTGTGAGACAGGCAGGCTGGTTCCATTCAGGTATGGAAATGCCATCTTCCTTCTGCCTCTCTTTCCTTTTCTTTGCAATTCCTTGCAGGTCTCTTCTCATTAAGTATATTTTCATTCCTTCATTTAAGATTTAGAATGATTTGTCTTTCCAGTCTTCTTCTGATTTTACCTACCTACATATAGAATTATTTTGTGCACTGCAAACTGAGCCAAATGCTTTGTGTGTGTGTGATGATAGAATACAGTGAAAGGTTATCCGACCTGTGATGGCAGATCTGCGTAACAAATTTTGGTGGGCAGATCAAAATGTTGTTTAGGACACAGTCTAAGCAAGACATCCATTCCCCTCTGAACTCAGGGGGTTCCAAGCATCCTCTGGAGAGAGCAATTCAGAGCTGAGCATCACATGCCCACTCCTCCCACCTAGAAAGCCACCCACCTGATCAGAGAGGGTGGAAAAGAGGCCGCGGCACTACCAGAATGGCTCATGTCTTGGCAGCACCTCTCTTCTCCCTGCTCACTTTGAAATGCCACCTGATTGTCACCTCTGAAGTTGCTCTTGCAGCACCTTTCTATAAGAGGATGCCTTCTACAAACCAAGTGGACATCATCTAAAAACAAAGAACTAATTCTTCTTGCTTCAGAAATATTGTTTTTATTGATATGCCATTTTAATTTAACATTAACTGATTTATAGATGAGGAGTTGCATAAGTATTTGATTAAAATGTCTCTTACTGGGCTGCAGCCCTACTATGCCTGTTTTCAGATCTTTTGTACAGTGTTTAGCCATTTCTGGTGTTATATAAAATATAAGTTGCTCTTTTTTTAGGTTGAAGATTGTACTTGAAGAAGGAAAGAGTCTTTCATTAACAGGGGTCAGCAACATCACAATAAAAATATCCTATGTGATATTCCCTGAATACTTTCTTGGATTATACATCATTGATGGCGACCATTTTTCTGACCAAGTCACTGGTCTTCTTGGTATGTAATAGACCAGAAAAATGATATTGGTGTGTGTCTGTCTGTTTTTCAGCATTCATGCTGCTGCTCTATAGCAAGACAGAAAGCAAATTAAAAATAAAAATGAGTGGCCAAAATAAAACAGAGTCAAGCTGAAAAGGACTTAAATGCTAGGGAAAATTAAAAAGTCTTGTCAGTTTGGCGTATTGGGAAGGCATTTCATTATGGAACGCAATCATAGGAAAAGACCTTTCCCCAGAAGTTACTTGCCAAACCTCATTTAGCATCAGCACCCAAAAAGGGGCCTTAGATAAACACCATTACACTGTGCCTATATAGGAGACAGGCAATCCTTCATGCATCCTGGTTCGAACCATGAAGGACTGGAAAGCTCAGATCCAAGCAAGTGGGCTTTGGAACAGACAAGAAGCCAACAGAATGGAAAAACATCCTATGTTCATACAGTTGAGTCCCAGACTATCTTCAAATGTACCTCCACAAATGGTAGGCATGTCATGAGCAGAGCCGGCTGGAGCTGTAGGTCAGACTAGATGGCCTAGGAGGCCCCTTCTGACTCACTCAGTTTCTAAGTTTCTAAATAACAAGTTGTAGTCATCCAGACAGGAGATTAGTTGGACACAGATAACTGATGCCTGTCCAAGAAGGGTTTGCTCCTAGGGATGATGGAGAAATCCACATTAGATTCAAATGATATTGGATTTCTGCTAATCCAGCATGGGGATTTCACAGCAGACTTGCTTTTTTGAGAGATACGGATTCCACAGATTTGCAGACAGGTTTTCTTTTTTCTTTTTAACTGGGAGAGGGGCAGTTGCACGAAAGCACATTTCCACAAAACTCAACAGGGTGGTTTCCCCTTTAAAGCTCTCTCAGAAAGGTTTTCCCATTGGGTCTCCCATCATTCCTTTTGTACTTAAAAGTGTAAGTCTGGTCTTGGTTGAATAAAGTAGCTTGAAGGTAGGAAGCTGATGTATCTAGGGGGCGCTACAGGTCCCAGATTTTCATTAAGACTCCCCAAAACATCAGCTGCTACCTTTTGATTTATTAAGTACAGGAGGCCTCTCCTCTTTCTATCTTTTGCTGTCTACGTCAAAGCCAGAATGTGGGGCTTCATATGCCACACTTTACATCCACCCAGAGCAGAACATAGGTATTTAAAAGAATCAACGTATATTTATTTATGTAACAGAACCATATCAGGAAGAACAGTGATCTGAGAAGCTCTGTAAAATCCTAACATCATACTTCTGCTTTCAATATTTTCTTTCTCCTCACAACCCCATGTATGATTTTACTCCCCAGCTTATTTCATATTAGTTTTACTTTTCTTATTTCTTCACTTGCTATTATTAATAATAATTTGAGATTCAGAAGCTACTCTGAAAACGTTGGTTTATAAGGAAGTTTAGGACAGATAAAAGGAAGTACTTCTCCACACAACGTATAGTTGATCTGTGGAATTAACTGCCATGGGAAGTGGTCATGGCTGCCAATCTGGATGGCTTTAAAAGGCATGGGACAGATTCGTGAGGGAGGAGGCCATCAGTGGCCACTAGTCTGGCTGGCCGTGAGCTCCCTCCTTCACCAGAGGTGGCCTGCCTGTGCACACCAATTGCTGAGGAGCCTGGGCAGGAGGAGGCCTTGCACCCGTCCTGCTTGGGGGAGCCTGTGGGCAGCCAGTTTGCCACCATGTGTGCAGAGTGCTGGATTAAATGGACCTTTGGTCTGATCCAGCATGGCTTTTCTTGTGTTCTTATGTATTAATTCTTTTCCTCTCTCTCCCCTGTTTCGTCAGGACAATTTTATTTTAATACACATTTCAAAGGAAATTCAAACCACAACAGGAGGAGATCAATAATTGTCCAAGGGAAAAGGTACCATACCAGCAGGTAAAAAATACCATCACTTTATTGGAGAATTCTTTAGTCCTGAAATTTCCAATTTTGTTTCTTCTGAAGTACTAAACATACCCACATTTTCTAACTTCTCTTTTAGCATGCATTCCACCCCTTCCTTTAATTTTAGACTTACTTATACGACAAATGGATACATGTGAGAGAATGTATCGCTGTTTAAACATAAAATATGTTCATCATGGCAGCCTTTTGATGACATATATAATATATTCCATATTTGTAAATCTCTATATGAGAGGATGAAATATGAAAATGAAATTGTTGTGAACTTAATTTTCCATGCATACGTACATAGTCACACAGTCCCTCAGACAAAGACACACACACACACACTGGTAGGGGACGAAGTGCAAAGTGGTTCACTTCAGACACAAGCAGAAGCAGAAGCAAGATTTGGTGCTGCATGAAGAAGCTGGTATGGACCTTCAGGCTAACATGTTCCCACATATTCTTGGAACTGCTATTTTCTCCATTTCTTACTGGTTTCTGCCATTTGCTGGTTCCATTTGCCATGTAATGTTACAGCCAAGCTAAACAAATAAGAAATGCCTAACTACATTTCAGATCTCCTGTTTTAATTACAAATAGGAAGTGTGCGTGTGTGTTTGTGGGGGGGGGGGGGATTTGCCCAAGGGAAGGAGGGCCTAGCTCTTTCCCCTGTGTCATGAACCTGATAGAAAATCAGAGTTCCTGCCTGATCCATCCCTGCCCCTCACTCCACTATTCACCATGGAAAAAAGCTGCCCCTGGCACTAAGGAAATAATAAGTTTGGGCCAGTGTGAGATTGGAGTGGAGAGACTTCCTGCACACCTGAATGGGACTTCCTGTGGCTGCTGTTTTCTATATGCTTATTTGTTTTTTTCTTAGAAAAGTTGGCACGTGAAAAGAAATCCTATATAGCTGATGTAAGATGGAGATATGAAGAACTTTGTTCTCAGAGTCTTGCTTTTCTTTTTTCAGACAAAACAAGAAAGATTACAGGGTGGAATCCTTGGATAATGTTATTTCCTGTTGGTCACTGGATATGCTTCTTTAAGGAAAGTTTTCTGCAGCAGTAAAAATTTCACTTCCCTGTGTATGAATTGCACCAACTGTCTCATTCTTCTTTGATTTTAATTTTAATGTTTAAATATGAAATGTCATTTCATGATCACAATAAATAAAGTCATATGTGTAATTGTAGGTGCTACTTGTAGATCTTTTTTCAATTTAAACATGAATAGGATTGTGCTTATAATAGTTAACCATTAATCAGCTGCATTAGTTCAGCAACACTAAAGGGAAAATGCTACTTCTTACCCCATTACGACATGGCTAATAATAAAAGATTTCTAAAATTGATTGCACTGTTGTTATCAATGTCACAAACACTTGAAGCCCTAAAGCGCTCCGCAGCCAAAACAATGAACCCTAAATGCAGTTTAACACCTGGATTTGCAACATCATTCTTTGCAATTCTGTGCATATCTGCACAGAAGTGAACTCCACTGAATTTAACAGAGCTCATTTTCAGGCAGGAATCTATATGTTTCCAGCCTTAGAGAGCAGTCTTATGGCCCTTAGGATGCTGCAAATTTCCCGCTCTGAATCAGAATACATACTGCTGACCACAGAGGAGATCCAACCCTCATGGACTCCAGTCCTAGGGAGGCAGGGAATGCCTAAATTGGGAAGGGCCAATGGGCTGGGAGAGGAGACACCATAATCTGTCAATCCACCACATCCACTTCCAGTTTTGTTACACAAAGAGCTTTTCCTTTCCTGCCTTTCCATCCTTTCCAGGGCATAACCTCTTGGCAGCAAGTGACTCTGAAGGGTCACAACCTCGTCTAGCACACAATTAAAGCCTCATGTAAGAAATGCCCATGCGGATCCACAGATGGCAACTTGCTTCATGCAGCCTTACGGACATGCATGAATACAAAGTTCAGTATCTTCCTGGATCACAGAAATATATTTCTGACAATGGTGGTGGCTGTACATTGGATTTTACAAAGTATATCAGGTGTATTTCTTATGTCGTACTGAATATTTACTTTGTGTAAGTATAAACTCATTTTCTGGGAAGAAAGGCCTTTCAAGGCAGTTTACAAAATTAAAAGCATAAATATTTACAAAAATAAAATAGTGATATAAAAAAGTCAAGTACCAGCAATAAAATATCAGTAACCTTTGAAATTCTCCAGCATCAAGCCAGCATTAGTCAGTGAAATAAAAACAGTTTCAATTAAAAGCAGATTCACAGAACCAAGGCTTAAGCCCTGTTCAGAAATGAAGTGCACTCACTGAGGGAACCAGCTGCAAATTACGGAAGGAAGGAGTTCCACAATGATGGGGCCACCACAAAAAGTGCCTGTCTCTCACGCATGTCAACTTGCATCTGACCAGTAGGCATAAGAGCAAGGGCTGCAGGAAAGCCTGTGCAGTTTCATCTACATGTAGGTAGCCCCTCAAATAACTTAGTCCCAAGCCACTAAGGAGTTTAAAGGTAACAAACAGGACATTGATTTGAGCCCAGAAATATACTGAGAATTATTGTTGCTGGTACACAGTCAGTGTTACACGCTCTGATTGCCTTGTCTCCACAAGTGACTGCATTCTGCACTAGATGAATGAATTAAACTGTTTAAACATTTAACTCAAACCATTCATCCCCACAGAGTGCATTCTAAACACGGCATATGTAACAGCCATGAAGGGGAAGATGCTGTTGTATTCATGTCCAACTTGTCAGGGTCCCCTGGGCAACTGGCTGCTCACGGTGAGAAGAGAAGGCTGGACTGGACAGGCCTTTGCTTTGATCTAGCAGGCAGATTCTCTGATGCTCGTATTAGGTATCCAAGTTTGCTTTTTAAGAATTGGCACTGGGCATTGCAAGGCACTTGAGACATTCAGAGTACAGGCCCATAGGAACTGCTTCTAAACATTACCATCTTCAGATTTTATTTATTTAGCATATGGCTTGTCATACATGGACTTGTGATATATTTTTTCATTTCCATCTCCATGTATTTTGAGAGCCAGGAAGTCTACAGAGTAGTCTGGCTGCCAACAGATCTAACATCTTCAGAATATCAGTTTCATGTTGGGTCTCTAATCCAACCCTCTGTCTTCACAGCCCACATTCTCTCTCCACCCCATCACACACCCCAGATGAACCCTTCCTAGTTAAAATGTCTTAGCCTTCCTCTTGTGAATCAAAAAAGGTCATTTTTTTATTTTAAAAATGGAAGAGGCACTGGAAAGACTTAGCCTACAGATACTAGGATGATCTGGATAGAACAGAAATCCCCTCCAAGATCAGAGATGGGGAAGAAGTGGGAGAAAACTCATTCAGGAGCCAAAGTATGTTTGAAAAGAACACTTCAATGGAAAGAGAGAGAGAAAACCCAACAAAGTCAGCCCAGCAGGTCTACACACAACTGCCACCTCCCCATTTTATGCCTCTCCCCCAGAAACTCCAGGGAGACCTTCCAGCAAGACAGTTTTCCAAGGCCCCAAGCAGAATTCTGCTTCTGCCATGCTGAAAAGCATGAATAAACCTACAGCAAAACTGCAAGGCTGCACTGAGAACCTAAGTTTCCCTCAACCCCCCGAAAGCAGCTACGTTTCTTGTTCCTTACATCTGTGATTGCTGAGCCAACTTCATTAAGGGAACATATTTTGAAGTGGGGCTGGGATAGAGAGTGGGAGTGTGGGAAGGGTAGACAGGGGAGGAATAAGGGAAAAGCATCTCAGAATACATGTAATCCACAGGAAAATGTTTTCTGGAGAATCATCAGGAATGTCAGAAATGCATGTTGAGGCATTTGTTAGCTCTTTCCCATGACCCCCTATTTTTTAGTTCACCACCTCCTCAAAGGCAAAGGCTGCAACCCGCATTGCCGAATTACACTTCCTACTTTCTAAACTTCACAATCAACCACTGGCTAGGATTTACTTGGATGTAAACATGATTATACTTGCTTTACAGCAGATGTTAGTAGGGGCCGCTTAGACAAAAACTTGGGCAGAAAAGAGGACATGGAATATCTCCAGGTTTGACTCATGTTTTGAAGGGAAAGAGAGGCTTTGCTAGCTTGCCTCTCTGGATCAGAGCTTCTAAGAAATAGCCTGTGGATTGTGTGAGCTTCCATGTGGATTGTGCGAGCTGTCAGCCCAGGCTTTTGGGGCTGCATCCCTAAGAGCCAGGGCTTTGGCCCCTTTCTGCCCACCACTACTATACCCATAACATTGTTATCCCATTCCCATGAGTCTCACACTTTGGGATGATGAAGACCTGGCAATTCTAGACACGGCTATCAACAAAAGTCTTGCATAAATATTTGGTAGCTTTGTCTAGTTACTAATTAATAGTATGCAAGACTGATTATAAGACTGAGCATCCCTTTCTGTACGCTTGTTCATTCTTTCACCATGGGGAGGCATTTACTCTGTTATGCTCTGCTGGCACTGATCCCTGCTTTAGGATCCTCTGATTTTATAATATCCAATATCAAGAATATCAAGGTAAGTGTATGAAGAAGCAACTATAGAAATTATATGAATCATTTGGCATAAAGAATTCTGGGGTAGGGCTTTCAACTTTAAAGTTAGCTTTTTATTTCTTCCAATCCATAAATATTTCCAATAATAGAAAACGATTGATTGATAAAATCTGTCTTCTTGAAATCAAAGCATACTTTTACATTGATGGAAAGAATTGGTTTTATCTCTTGTGTTCCAAGGACTGGTCGATGCCAGGTGTGTCCTTTAGCAATATAACCATCTTGGTTACAATTCAGAGAATAAATGTGGCAGATCAGTGGAAGTATGAGCCTTGCCAAATGTTTTGAGATGCTAATGCACTCCCCCTAGAACCATCCAGTACACTTGCAAATTACCCTTGTATAGAATTTTCCCTGGTAAGAGTGTTCCTGAAGAGAAGTCAATGCATTCAGAATTATCCCTTGGTTCGTTTACTATTTGCTAATGTGCAAGTACAAGTTGTTGCAGCTTTTAGCGTATCCATATCCATCACCAATGTGCTTTTCAGAAAGCAAAACAAAACCTGCCAGAAAAAAAGACAGTCTTGATGCATTTTTATGGTTGCATCAATATTATTTCCGTACGTTGTTTTCCTGATGTGCATGTGTGCGTGCACACACACTCACGCACACTCCTTTATGCTTAAACAATATGCACAAAGACTCTTGATAATTCACTCGTGTAGTCATATCAAGATTGCTTTTTTGTAGTGTTGGATCCATTCACTGATGCATCAATAGCAAGGAGAGGAGGAAAAACTCTTCTTTGTGAGCCGCCCCGAGGCTTTTTTGCGATGGGGACGGCATAGAAATGTTTTAAATGAAATGAAATGAAAAACTGCAAATTTTCTGAAGGAACAGAAAGCAGTGGCAAATCATGCATGCTCTCGTTCTAAAATTCAGGAGAAGTTGCATTCCCCCCTGTGGCAGACACAGTGGAAGAACAGGACATAAGTCTCTGAGTGTGGGAACCATCTTCTCTGTAATGCAACATCTCCAAGTTCTACTTGTAGCCCAGGTTGTTATGAAGGAGGAAGGATCTCCACAACTGGGCAAGCAGATGCACTGGAGCCCAAACCACATATGGCATTTATCATGCAGTTTAGCTTCAGGCTTGGGCTGGTGCTGAGATAGGGAGCGTGCCATGGAAGAAGAGGGCATTCGCCTTTTGTACCTATGGCAGTCGCCATTCCTGCTAGTTGCAGTAACGGAAGCAGGGAGAATATTCATCCTATTGCAAGTAGCTTGTGAGAAGTCAATTACAATTGGAACTGTGGCTGAGCAAAGCCGCTCCCTTGCTGCAGGGTCCTCATCCGGCTCATGGCCCCTTCACTCACTGATTCACAAACATCCGCTACATAGTCCCATGCTACGTGGCTGAAGACTCCCATGTTTCTCAGCTCCAGACTCTTCTGAATGATGCAGGTAATCCTGCTCCAGTGCAATCAGGCATTAGGTCTGGTTAGGGACAGAGACTGCTTTGGTCACCTTGGTGGGCCATCTGTGCCAGGGACTGGACAGGGCAAATGGGCCCCTGTTAGTTCTGCTGGTCCTTCTGGTGGCTCCCAGTATCATTGGCCACAGATAGGGTTGAGGTGACCCCTAGAAGAAGCTGTCCCTAGGACTTCCTTTCATGCTTGGCCTAGACTTGCAAAGTGAGCTGAACTGAGAGAAAGTCCACAGATGCTCCTGGAATGAAGATTACAAACCGGGCAGCCTTTTCCTACATTGGGTGCAGCAGAAAGAGGGCAGTTGCCATTTGGGTGGCTGTACCTGATGCAGAAGAAGGCTGGTTGCGTGGGCCTCACCAGGAACTGAGCCCCATGTGAGCAGGAGCAGCATCCCTTTCCACACCTTGCACAGTCACCATTTGGACTGCTGCAGGTGGCAAGGAAGCGAGATGCTGCTTGGACAAAAGGTGGGGCTTGAATGCTGGGTGTGCACACCAGGAACCTGGACTCTGGGCAGCTGCAGATTGGAGTTCAGAGAGCTGAGCCCAGGGGACCCAGGGGATGCCTGCCCCAACTGGGTTCCTCACACATCCCTACGTTTCCTTCAAAGCATTTGTCTGAGATGGCACTGGGAGGCACTGTTATACAGTGGCTCTTCCCCTTCTTAAAGGAGTAGGTGCTGGGGCATTGCTGTCTGACAACATGGCACCCTCCGAGTTCCATCTGATCCCTCGAGCTAAGCAACCTATACATGAAACTGCCAGAAGGACTGATTTTCCAGAGTTTGGCAGTTCTCTGATGACACACTTCCAAATCCAAGGAAGCTGCACTAGTTCTAAACTGATGTCTGATATCAGTCATGGACAGAGGGTAAACCAACTGAAGCTGACAGACAAGTCAGAAGTGCGCCGTGTTAGCCAACAAGCAGATCAAGGAGCAGAGATCTGGCCGGTGCTGGGTGGGTTTACACTGCCCCAGAAACCTCAGGCTCAAAGCTTGGCTGCACCTCTGGTTGCCCGGGTTTTGGCAGTGGCAGTTCGGGCTAGTGTGCCAACTGCAGCCATTCCTAGAAATGTCTGGTCTGGCCAGGGCAAATGTGCCTTAGTCACTGTTTGGACTAGTGTAATACACATTGGGGGCTGCCTTTAAAAATGCTTCAGGAACTTCAGCTGGTCCAGCAGACCATGCCCAGTGGCAGGGATCACACAACTCCCTTGTTACAACAGCTCCAGTGGCTACTGACGGGAGTGAAATAAACACCTTTTATGAGCCTGTACAATCAAAAGAACATCTACAGTTATGCGGACACACAGGAAATGCATTCGACATGTAGACAGCCCGCAGAAGGGTAGATGGGGTCTGTACAAGAAGCTTTTATAACCTATCAGGTTACATAGGCTGTAAAGGTTGTATAACCTATCAGTTACATGGATTGTGAAGAGGGGAATCACCATAAGCTAAAGGCACATTGGAACAGAACAAAGGGGACCAAGACGACACAATACAGAAAGGACCTTCAGGACAGGCAAGCGTTAGCATCTCTAAAGTGTATGGAAGACTTGTAGCATGGTTTCCTGATCAGATCAGGGATCCCAGCTTAAGTCTAAAGCTGTTCTTACAGTGTCAGGCTTTTAGCAGACATATTATGGCAGAGCTTTTGCTCATTTTGTCCAGACATTACCTCTCTGTTTCTGAGCAGAATTTAAGTGCTGGTTATGACTTCACTGAAAGACCACTTCTCCCACTGAGCCTGCCCAGTTTTAATGTGAACATGTTCTATTTATTATTGGATTGATAATGTTTTGTTCACGATTTGTAAATAAAATGAGTTGAAGCAAAAGTTACAAAATAACACATAGGAAGCTTTTAAGACTCTCCTTCTGGCTGGGCATCAAATTAAACCAAAACGGCAAAAGTGAGGGTGGTTGCGGGGCTGTACAAAAGGCCCTGTCTGAGCTGTGAAGTGCCTTCCAAACTAGAGCTTGCAGAGTTAAAACAGACAGGTTTGCTTCGTGATTAATGAGACCATATGTTTCTGGTGGGATTTCAAGGGCTGGATCCAGATTTACTTGTGTGCGACTGAACTGACAGAAGCTAACACCCCACCCCTTCCCCTGCTCCCCCTGCCAGTGCCACACAGGTGGGAGAGCTGTAGAATGGGGTGAGCTGTGGGGGTCGGAGCAAGATCCTCCAAATTCAGGAAGCAGTCGCTTCCAAGAGTGAGGTCCTTCCCTTGATGGCAGGCACATCCTGGATCCAACACCATACCTGTAGAAGAGGAGGCCATGTGCTGGCCCCTGGTCCTCCAGAAGGATGCTTGTGCTCTAACTCTGCACCTGCACTGAGCACTTTTTCTCCACTTCGATTGCTCCCAGTGCACTCACATGCATGTCCCTCCTGCAAAGGGACAATCTTCCTATTTGCCACAGTTTCCCATCTTTTGGGAACACCCAGGCTGGACGGCTGCAGTGCATGGGGCTGCCTTTGCGCACATGCAGAAGTTTCAGCCGGCTAAAAACATGGGCAGCAAGCCGGGCTGCATTCCCCTGTACCGAACCTATGCTGAATTGCACTGGCTGCTTTCCAGTGTATTTCCACTTTCTTGCACAATAGTGAAATATTTGCTTTGCTTTTTTCTTTACAGAAAAGAGATGCTGCCGATGTTGTAAGTACTTTTCTTATGTATAAGCCTAAACTGTTGCACAAGCACTGCCCATATTCTGTGGAACTCAGTGGCAATCCCCCCTACCACCACTTCATAATGGTTTGAGATGGAATCTTATTACCCTGATATGTTCTCATGCACACACAATTCTTGCAAATTACCATGCCCAAAAGAGCTCCACCGTTCACTTGACAGTAGGGATGTAGAAGAAGCCTGCAAGAGATTCAAATAAAATTGGTGTTCTGTGATTCTGACCTTCAGATCCAGCAACAGACTAGCTTTTTCCAAGCTGCACAAATTCTGCAGATTTTCAAAAAGAGTTTTGTAATATTCTGGAATATTATGCAAATTCAGCTGCTAAAAATTAGGGAGAAAAACACTAACTCAAAATGTGCATTTGCCTCCATAGGCTCAAGTGCCAAAATATACATTTGGGGAGGGATTTGCACATTTTTGGAAATCTGGGGCATGGAACAAACTCGGACAACATCCTCGAGCAGGCAACAGAATGAAAGAGACTTGACAGTCTGCACAAAGAAGACAGAAAGGGTTTCACCAAATGTGTATATTCGTGTTTGGCAGTGAGGGTGGAGCTGCATGATCTGGCCTTTTAATTTCGGAAAGAGCAATGAATTTGGGTTTTCTGTTGATCTGTAGGCAAATGTATGTGGAACATCATTGACTTGCACTTAGCTGAGCGATCCTGAGCTTGTCATAGCAGAGCAAATCCTTCACGTGTAACCAAAAGGAGGTATAATTCAATGTTAGGATAGCCATACAGGCACCTTTGTCCAATATAGCAAGCCTTTTGTAAATCTGTGGATGGGGGGATGTGCATTCTTTCACCCTATTGTAAGTCACAGGCAATGTAACTGTTGAACCACTGTGATCAATAGTTATGCAACCAAATCTTGCTCAGTATATTTGCTCTAGTGGCTTATTTAATCAGGGACAGTGCAAAGGGTATGTGGAAATAAAGGGCTCAATCAACAAGTAGCAAAGAAAACAAATAACAGGCAAGACCGAAGCTGGAAGATCAAAAGACGTTTGCCATGTATGATCCGTATGTTGTGCCCCTGTTTTTCTCTTCTTCAGCTAATACAGCTGAAGGAAAGTTCAGTGGGGGAAACATCATGGGGGAGAGGTTTTCCAAAGCCATTTTCCTTCTCACAGTATTGATGAAAATTAGAGCTTTCCACAATTGATTTAAACTTCTAAAAGTGGGATGAGATCCAACAAAGATTCCCATCTGTAACATCCAATTTGGTTCTCAGAAAACGAGAGCCAGTGCTCTGGAGCCTGGGTGAGTCTTTATCATGTCTCCTGACAGGATGTGAAGAGACCATGCCAGCTGCCTTGTCAATCAAATGTGGAGGAGAAAGGAAGAGGCCATTCCATTGGGTGGTTGGGAGGGAGGACCCCAGAGGGGCGAGGATACAAGTAAGGGATGCCTGTGTCAACGGGGCTCCATATGCTTTGTGGGAGCTGTCCATGGTTCTGCATCATGGTCAATCGACTTGGGGGTAAAACATACAATGGAAGAGGAGCCCCACTGAGGAAGAAGCCACCAGCCTGCCCTGGACACAAGCTATCCTTGGCCTCCTTCAGCTTCCTTCCTTCCTCTGAAGCTCCCTTGGGGGTTGGGCTGAAAAGCTCTCTAGAGAAAATGAGGGAAGGAGGAAGGTGGGGAGACAAAGACCTGCTCTGCTCCTGCCCCCACCCTGCCAGTTTCAGCCTGGCAGAACATAGGAAATGCAGGCGGCTTCCAAGCAGTGAGTGGTAGCGATTTTCCAGTCTCTCTCTTTTCAGAACGTTGATGGCATCGATATCCACAGCATGAAAATCGATTGCAAGATCACATCCCGGTTTGCACATACCATCATCACGAGTCAAGCTGTCAATCGTGCCAATGTGTCCAAGGAAGCCTTGTTTGATGTGGAACTCCCAAAGACGGCCTTCATCACCAACTTTGTCATGTATGGCAAACGTACTTTCTGAATGACTGTGAGGCGAGTGCCTAGTACAAGCTACACGCAACCTTGACCAACTCACATATCTGGTGCCAGAGTTGTTACATTCATGCTTTACTTTGTTTTATATTTGATGCATGTGTTTCAAGGAAGGCTATCTTATAGATAGATTCAGTGACCATGACCTGGAATAAAAGAGTCATTCAGGCATTGTGCAATTTGTGTTTGAACTTTCAGCTATACTAGGCAAATTATATACTAGGCAAATGGCGCTGTGTTCTTTCAACATACCCAGGGCCCCCATTCATCTGACTCAGCACTGGTTTCCATCTAGCCTTACTTTTGAGGCAGGATTTGCTCCTATATTTGGGGTCTGGTGAAAACCACCCTTTTCTTGCACAAGCTATGAGTCCTCCAGAGAAGGTCATAAGAAGAGCCTTTGTGGATTCAACCAAAAGCCTCTCCAGCCCAGCACTCTGCTTGTGCAGTGGCCCAGCACATGCCTCAATAGGAAGCCGGCAAGTAGAACATGAGAGCAAGTGTGCCCTCCCACTCATGCCGCCTCTGCTCCTGGAACTAAGAAAGAAATCTATCGCCATCAGAGCTAGCAACTGATAGCCTTATCCTACATGAGTGTTGACTGGTCTTCTGCAAAATTATCCACTTTGGTGGTCATCACTGCATCTTTGAACAGTAGAAGCATCCATCACACCATTTATTCCTTTGAATAAAAGTATCCTCACCTTTCTATAGACTCAATTGGCCATATTAGCTGCCTTTGATACTTAGCTAGAATGGTGATACACAAATGTTTTAAATAAAGTAATAAACATTTTACTGGTCAAACTACCATTTCTCATCTGCCTTGTGATAGGAAGTCACTGAGCCTTTCTCCGGAATTAAAGTTATCGATTTCATTTTCTTCTCATACGAAGCCACCTTCTTTTGGATCTGACCACTTGTCAGTGTAGCAGCCAGGTTCTAGCCCAACATTGCCTACACTGACTGGCAAGGGTCGGAAGAGCTTCCGATTTCTGGGACATTTCTTGGCCATTCAATGCACATGCTCTGCAACTGGGCCCAGGCTGCTCCCTTTCCAGGACAGAAACTGCACATGAATCCTGGGGAAAAATTACTCGGCTGCATAGCATCTAGTCCATCTGAAGTTTAAGAAACTGAAAATATCCACTATTGCAGTAGATACCCTTGTATGCACCAAGCAAAATTTAACAAATGTATAGCCTACACTACAAACTTAATTGGAAGCAATGTGATGAATGAGAAAAGGAAAAAGTAGAACGCCTGCGACCATATCTACATATGAATACCGCCATTTGTCTTCTCTTTTCTCTTGTAGGACGATTGATGGTGTCAGCTATCCGGGAATTATAAAGGAGAAAGAAGCTGCCCAACAGCAGTATCAAAAGGCTGTTTCGAGAGGACAGACGGCAGGTCTAGTAAAGTGAGACTGAGATCCTTCCATATCCTGCTCATTTTCTTCTTATGCAAAGAAAGAATGTGGTAGACAAATGTATGGATCTTTGAGGGGTTGACAAACATGTGCCCTGTTTTTGCCAGCAGTTAAGTTGTGTATGTGGTATCAGGGACGACAACTTGTGGTGAATGCAAGTGGTCACGCCATCTAGCATTACACTGCCAGATCAAAGTATCAGAGCAAAAGCTAGAAAGCTGTAGGAAGTTGTGCTTGCAGCTCATTCAAGCTCATCCTGTCTTAACCAGCCATGCTTCAGAGTCAAAGCCTTGTTGGTATAATTGCACTTGTGGGTGAAATCAGCTTGAAACTCAAATGGTTGTTGGAGCTCTCCAGAAGTGACTCCTTTAAGTGGAAGAATGACCACAAAATGGATGTTATCTTGATCAGGACTGACAGACATAGAGAAAGGCTTCCTCTCTGGTGCATTCATATTTTGTAATAAACTTCTTGGTTATGTGTGAAGGGCCTCTGGGAGAAAAACGGAAAAATTCAGCGTTTCAGTCAACATTGCAGCAGCCAAGAATGTCACTTTTGAGCTGAACTATGAGGAACTGTTGAAGCGAAGCTTTGGAAAGTATGAGTTGCTCATAAAAGTAAACCCAAAGCAGCTTGTCAAGCAGTTTGAGGTAATGTACCTGTTACGTTAAATGGCACCCTGTAAGGTCTGTTGGTGTTTCAGAATGGTCTTGCATGAATGAAAGAAGTTCAAAGAAACGCATCTTGCCAGGGGAGGTGCTTGAGAGAGGCTGCCTTCATTCCCTTCACTCCATATTTGCTCAAGCTCAGATGGCTGCCAGCCTTCCAACTGAGTGTTCTCTGATTCAGGCAAAGTTGTAGAAACAAGCATTCTGCAACCAATAGAAGGCCACATGGGACCTGCAGGCACCAGGGCTTCTTGGTGCCCACTGAGCTGCCCTACTCTTACCATAATCCATTTTGAACATGAATGGATCATCCGGCTGGCAGCTGGAATCACCTCAAGGTAAACTGGGAACCTGTATTTCTCATTGGCCGTCTTTATTTGTCCTGACGGCTTCTAGGCCACAGGCTGGGCTCAGAGACATTTTAAAGAAATGACGCAAGCAGGGAGCTGCAGACTGATGCTTTGCAGCATGCTCTGCAGGGTGCCTGGCCTCCAAGAAAAATAAGGGAATAGTAGTCCCAGAAAACTGAAGGCTTAGCATGTTAGAGCTCAGACCCCCGACTAAATCGTTTAGGCAGGTTTCTCGCACTTTGTGAGCAGCTACTTTTCCATGGCAGCTGTTTCATGGTGGTGCCATGACAGCCCTTCAAGTTGCCAGATGTGTCCATGGGCCCAGTGAGGTCACTACACTCACTGTTTAGCGATTACCTAAGAAATTGTATTCTTGTATTACCCGGGAGATTTGTCTAAAGTTCTCTTATCTCCTGAATGTTTACATTTGGGTGTTTGTCAATGATTCTATTTCTCTGTCTAATATTTCAGATTGAGGCAAACATCTTTGAACCCCAGGGTATCAGCTATTTAGACGCTGAGGCATCATTCATCACCAATGACTTGTTACCAGTCATGCAGAAATCATTCTCAGGAAAAAAGGTACATTTCAAAGCAACGTTAATGCAAACCAAGGATCTTATTTTTCTTCTGCAATAATGTATGGGTGTTAACTCTCCTGCAAATCATCCTATTTGTTTAGTAATCTTGGACCACAGAGCAGAACGAATGTTAAATTTAAGTTGAGGGATATTTGTCTTTTCAGGGTCGTGTGGTTTTCAAGCCAACTCTGGACCAACAACGATCCTGTGCAGATTGTCCAACGACATTGTTGAATGGAGATTTTGTCATTAAATATGATGTGAACAGAGAGACCCCAGGGAACATACAGGTAAGCAGGATTGATTGATCTGAATGGATCTGCTAGCAGCGAGCAGCTTTGATCTCAGCATCATCCCTCACAGATCCTTCTCCTGATTTTTCTTCCAGATTGTCAATGGATACTTTGTGCACTTCTTTGCACCAAAAAACATTACACGTCTATCTAAGAACATTGTTTTTATAATCGACGTCAGTATCTCAATGTCTGGACGAAAACTAGAGCAGGTAACTAAACACAGGAAAGTCGACCTGACATGCCACTGACTCTGAAGCCAGCGGAAAACAGGGTGCCTCAGTCATCATTTGGTCTGAGCGGTTCTTTGTCCGAATGCCTGTAGAACTGAGACTTGAGTTAGAGGCCATTTTCAGCTCATTTTAGTTATGCTGTCATGACCAAGTTTCGTACCAGTGCCATAGGCCAAGATGTCTTCAGAGAACGGTTTTATAGTCATCCCTGCTATTTCTTGTGTGCTCACTCAGTCTCTGTTTCCCTCTGTCCCCAGTCCCAGCAACACAAGAGGGAAAGGGCAGATGAGTGGACAGCAAGAGCGGCTGTTGCTCTTTCTCATTCCCATCCTTTGCTTGCACTGTGTGTGAGAAAACACCACATTAGTCTCATCCAGTTAGTGGCCTGCATGCATGGAGGGAAGCAACTGTGTGCGTGACTTTCAGCAGATGGGGAAAAGCATGCACAGATGGGTGTTGTGCACACCGCATCTCCATCCAACCCAAATCTGAACCCGAGTGCATAGAACTTTTTTTAACAGCTAGAATCTTGCTGATGGTTCATGAGAGCCCACAGAAAGGAAGGTGGATCAGTGAGATTTCCCCTTTTAAAAAAGGAGATCTGTGCATGCTTTATGTACAATCTGTAAAGTGGCAGGACCAGAATCTATATTTTTTTGTTCCATCCTCAGTCTGGCATTTTTGATTCTTGTAGAAAATTCTGTTTCTGAAAAGGTTTATGAGAAAAAACCATAAAAACCAGACAAAAGCATGCATCATTAAAATAATCATATCAGGCAGTGAATTAGAGAATACCATACCATACCATTATGGGATTAAGTTCTTAGAATCAAGTTCTAACTGACTGAAAGTTGCCATTACTCTTGGATGTTTTGAGCCAAGCCTTCCTACTTACAGTATTCAGTTTTTTCCTCCATTCTGTACAACTGCAGGCCATCTTAGGACAGAGTCTTACTATAACACCTGTTTGTTACACACCAGCATGCTGGACTCATGCTTGGATACAGACTCGCATGGGGAAAAGGCATGGGCACAGCTTCAGCTCTCATTCATTGGACCTTGAAGATGCCCTGCTGTTAGATTCACCTGAAATGGCTGTGTGTTATACAGTGGTACCTCAGTTCATGAAGGCCTCAGTTCATGACCAAATCGGTCCACCAACAAAAATTTCAGCAAAATGTTGCCTCTGTTGGCAAACTCCGCATCGGGTGATAACCACGATCATGGCCATGTTCCCACACGAACATGATTGCGATTGTGGCCAGCCTCCCTGCATGAGCACAATTGTGATTGCAGCCAACTTCCTTGCACGAGAGCGATCGTGATCGCGGCCATCTTCCCCGCTCATGGTCGCAGACAGACCTGTGGGCATTTGCTGTGAAGTGTTATTCAATAATAATATTGAATAATGGCTCCAAAGATAGTACAGAGCAAGCATGGTGATAAAAAGAACGTGCAGAGCGGTAATGAAGGTGACCAGAACGTGCAGAGCAAGAATGGTAGAAAGAAGGTTGTGAAGAAAATAACCATTGAATTGAAGAAGGAAATTGAAGAAAAGCATGAGCGTGGTAGTTGTGTGGCTGATCTGGCCTCTGAGTACAAGATGGCGAAGTCATTACTTTGTTGATGTTACTTTGTTTCAAATTTTTGTGATTTAAAAAAAATATTTACACAATGGATTAACCTTATTTACATTGAAACTTATGGGGAAATTTGACTTGGTTCGCGACCAATTCTGGTCGCTACCAGAGTCGTGGAACGGATTAAGTTTGTGAACCAAGGTACCACTGTATTTGTGTACGCCCTAGCTCAGGCAGGCTATTCCTTGGTCAACTGTGGGCATACACAGAGTGCCAAAGAGCTCACGCATCGGCAAATTGTGCCATGCAGGGCTGCCTTAAATGCCCATGACCTCAGTGCTCTGGCTTTAAGTCATTTGACCCTGTGTTTCTTTATTTTAGACAAAGCAAGCACTGCTAAAAATTTTGGAAGATATAAAAGAAGACGACTACTTGAATTTTGTGTTGTTTGGCAGTGATGTACACAAATGGAAAGATACCTTAATCCAAGCCACTCCTGAGAACCTGGAAGAAGCAAGGCGTTATGTTCGAGACATTAACATAGCTGGATGTAAGTTTCAAAGGGAAAATGAATGTGTTTGTTTTATTTACTTAACAAATCGAATGTACTGTCCCTCACTTTGCAGAACTTCAAGGTAGCTTATAAGTAATAGACATTTAAACTGCTTGTTTAGAAAGGCTAGGCAAATAAAATATTATTGCCCAGTGCTGAAAGGTCATAAGGTGCAAGGATCATTCCAGAGAAAGTATGCTACCGAGAGGGGGGGGGGAGAGAGAGAGAGTCTTTTTTAACCTTATACCTGAAGGCAGGAGCACTCATAGGAACATGCTGGAAAGGCCTGAACCATCCAAAAAGGCTATTCTGCCTGGACAAAATGATGATAAAAAACACTTTGCTTCCTTGCCACCATCAGTGTTACAAAGGAAATGTACTCTTGCTTAAAAACTTAGATAAATGACACCAATTAAAACCTCATGGAATTAAAATATAGATTAAGACACAGAGCAGCAGAGAAAACCAAAACAGCATTGCAGATCAAACAGCCATGTTGTAAAAAAAGACTTCATCTGCCAAAGAAAGATCATCAATGAGAGGATTAGAGGTGCCTTTCTGGGAAGAGAATTCCAAGTCTGACAGAAAAGGCCCTTTTTTGAGTTCCTGTCAAACATACATTAAGGTAGAAATAACACCTGTCATTCAAATACTAACACCGTCCCTGCTACAACATACTGAGAATGAACAGCCAATCAGTTGATCGCTGTTTAGGAAATAATTTAGGAAATAAAAAGACTACATGCCAAGAGACAGAAGTGTGGAGAACTGGGCTCCAGTCTGCACACAAAGATTATATGGCACAACTATTTGTCCCAGTTAGAAAGCATCGATTGTCTTGTCAAAACCCCCATTTTAAAGGAGACGTAAATCTCCCCTCCCTGTAAGATCTCCACTTCCCCAAAAAGAGGGTGAGATGCATCTTCCTGAGCAGCCAGAGTCTCAGAAGAAAGTGCAAAAGATGCACATGTGGACAGTTAGGGGGGAAACTATGCCGCTCTCTCCATGAAGGGAGTGTAAATCATACTACGCCCTTTTCCATGCACTAGGTTCACTCACGTCAAGGAAAACAAAGAGAAGAACCCTGTGTTGACCCTCTTCCAGACCCTGCCAGCAGCTGGTAACCATTGCCTCCTGAGAGGAGGGAGCCCTGTCACAACATTGCCTGACTGGGGCTCCCAGTTGCCACACTCACAGCACTACAGTCCCTATCAGGCTGATGGACACTTTTGCAGGAATGTCTCTGAGTCAAAGATAGGACAAATGTGACAACGCTTTCCTCCCTCAGGCACTCTCTGTCTCCTCTCTCCAGCCTCGCCATCCCATGCTGCTCTCGCGTGAAGGAAGCAGAAACACTGCTACATGCGTAGTTAGTGATCCAGGGGTTGTCTGTGTTTGGCTTGGTCATTGCTCTCCTTTCCCTATTTGCCCTGAAATGAATGGGCACTCGTAGTGTGTGCTGCGCAGTCTCCATTGGCAAAGGACAGGTGCTGCTCATGAGCGACACTGTCTGATCTTTAGTAATGTGTCAGATCCACTTCAGGGCCAGAGCATGTCCTGTTTCAAAAGGACCGTGGCATACTGAAGGGAAACATTTTGCCGTTTTCTTTCTAAAAGGATACTTTAGCTATGGCATATTGCAATGGGTTCTCTTTCCTCCTGTAGAGGTGTCGTTTGCATAAATGGATAACCAGTGGGCAGTTTGTTGTCAAATGTCCTTTCAGGCACCTTCTGCTTTTACATTTTGCTCTGGTGTTTGTTCCAGGGACAAATCTTAATGGCGGCTTGCTGGCTGGGATTGAAATGCTGAATGAGGCTCAGAGGAGTGGTACCCTACCAGAGAGAAGTGCCTCCTTAATTATCATGTTAACAGACGGCAGGCCCACTAAAGGTATATGTTGTGACAGGCAAATAAGCCTTTGCATGTCCTATAAAATGATTGTGGAAAATGACATATTTTCATGATGCTGCGTAAGACCTGAAGAGGGCAGTATTTCAGATTCCAGTGGCTGAGGAGCATAAGGGGGACAAGAGTCACTTTGGTGTGAATCCATATAATCAGTGCCTGGTCTTCAATACATTTGAGACCAGACCGTAAAACTATCTGGGTATTTCAAGCTGATTTGCTGCAGTCATTCTCTTTTCTATATCTCAGAAAAACTCGAGCAATTCTGTCAATGTAAGTCAAACCGTAGCATCTTCTTAAGGGATCTACTACAATAGTTAATTTAATTGGTATTACTGCTTATTACAATTACTTATTCAACCATTTATAGAATACTAATGATGAATAATCATGGACGGATTTTATATTTTCAAAAATAGGGGATCACACATGTTTCCTTTTCCTGCTTTCAGTGATTCTGCGAGCAATTCCAGGTTCAACCTGTAATCCTCATGTGACCTGTTAGGGCATAATTCAAATGTGTGCAGAGTCCCCCTTCCCACCTTCGCTCCACAGCCCTGTAGCCAGGGTGAAGCAACTGGCCCGCTGCCCTGACTGGAGCTGTGCTCCCCCCCCCCCGCTCCCCACCCAACACACACACCCAATTTCCTTTGGAAAATTTCCTGTTTAGGCGAGGACTGCCTTCATTTAAAGGATGGCAGCTTGCTTTAAGAACAGGAGCAATGAAGAATAGGACCTTGGGAAAAATTGCTGCCTGTGATCAAGACAGGGGAGCATAACAAGCCCCCACCAAAATCTACCCACTTGAGACTTTCCCCAATTGAGAGTGGATTTTTCGTGATCACAACCACTCTTATGAGAAGTTCATATTTTGGGCCTTTTGTCCTTGAGAAATGTATCCCACTGCTTTACTGACACTTCTTCCACTTTTGTTGTGGAAGAAACAGTTTTTAGATGCTTTTCCCCCTGAGGTTTTTATTTCCCTCCTTTCTATATTTTCTATTAATAAATCACAAGGTGGTGCAGCAGAATAGCTGCTGTGTGGTGGAATCGCCACTCTAAGCTGGTGTTAGGCTGGTTTGAATGCTGTTAGCTGACTTTTCTAGCCCTAAAAAAGCCACAGTGTGTCTGGAAAAGGCATGAGGGCCCAGTCCCTGGAGGATGAAAAGCCCCTTGAGCTTCAGTGAGGGAGGGCACACGAGCACTCAATAAAACCCTCCTATAGAGAAGCCCACATCTGCAGTGGCTCCTCTTTTGAGAACCTGATGGCAAAGGATGAAAGCAGGCCTGGAGAAACAGAAGCACTGCTGAAGCCGGCAGCCTCGGCTTGGTGGCCGATTTTCTCAATGTGTGCAGCTCACCAAGAGGCCTTTTCATGGTTTCTGGGCAGAAGGAAGTCGTGTATATTGTTCTCAGTACCACCAAATGCCAGACTAGCATTGCATTGCAATGTGCTCTTACTGTTTATAAAACCTGTTTCTTGTGGTTTTTTGTATCAGTGTTGCGAACAGAATGTTTGAAATGTGGCTGCCCAGCTAACAAGTCCTCTGAGACTTCAGTTATACAGACACCAGGACTCCACTGTTGTGTTAGTGTCATTGCTTTATTTCTATCCACCATCCCTGCCATACTTGTTTCACATTTGGCCTGATGAAGAGATCTGTAGCTCTCAAAAGCTTGTACATGTCAGTGACCTTCTATGCACCCAAAACTAAACTCTCTGGGTGGTTCACAACAATTAGTCATACAATTAACAATAATGTATTCTACCGCCAATACAAATGCTTTCAAGGTGTTTTCAAAATAAAGTAAGAAAGAACGTAAATGCCAAGTACTTTGTGTGTTTTCACGCAGGAGAAACAAACACCCAAACTATTATTGATAATGTCAGAAATGCAATTCAAGGAAAATACCCACTATACAACCTTGGGTTTGGTTATGATCTTGACTATGCGTCCTTAGAAAAGATGGCAGCTGAAAACAATGGACTGGCACGTCGTATCTATGAAGATTCTGATTCAGACCTACAGTTACAGGTAAATAAATGAATGTGCAGGCTCCAAGTGACAGCCAACCTTTCAATTTATTCTGATATTTATAAAGACACTGGTTTTTATTTTAAGACTGAACAAGATACTGCAGTGTTCTTTCCTGAATGGCTTGAGACAGCTCAGAGCTGTCTGATTTACTCAGTCCTATAGAGAGGGCACAAACCATAGCCTCTTTGTCCCTAGGGAGGTATATTCTCCTTAATTCATCCCCTATTTATACAGATGGAGGCCAGAATGTGAGACACAAAAGTGCATTGAATACCCTGAATATTTTACCACATTTTTAAAAAATCTTCATTCAGCACATGTGTGTGATTCTCCTATTGCTAATGTGCAAAGATTGATAAATAGCTTTCTTATAGAAGATGCATTTTTCTTTCTCAAGGCAGCATTTTAGCATCACAGCAAAAGAATCCCATGTAGCTAAAAACATTTGATGAGCTTCATTGCTGATTTGAACATCAGTTTTTCACATTGCCACTCAAAACCTTTGTCCTCCACTTCTGGTGATAATACTGGCAGTGTATGGACCAATTTTAGGGCATTTACAGATGATAATTTCCTCCACTCTTCCTTGTGCCCCTCACCCAACCTACCTCACAAGAAGTCAGACATGTGGATTGCAAAATCCTGCTAGTACTGCATTGAAGCCTCTTGGGGAGGAGCTACACAGGGAGTTTCATAGAGCAGAGGCCACCACTGAATAGGCCCTGTCTCTGGTGCCTACCAACCTGACTGATCTTACTGGTGAGCTTAAGAGCTGAGCCTCCACTGCTGTATTTAAACCGTGGGCATGCCCATTCTCACTAGCAATTTGCATATATTTTATGCATACTTTTGCTTTTTTAGAGAAAGTATTAAAACTGCACTGAAGGGTTGGAAAAGCAGTTTTAAATTTAAACCCTTTTCTCAAACAGTGGTTAAGTGTTTAACCTTTGTTGATTTTTTCATTTTTTATGGTTCCTTTTGTAGGGTTTCTATGATGAGGTGGCCAATCCCTTACTTACAGAGGTGGAGTTAAAGTACCCTGAAAATGCCATCTCAGACCTGACTCAAAATAATTTTAAGCACTACTATGATGGTTCTGAGATCGTTGTGGCTGGACGTATCACAGACAATGACCTCAACAGTATTACTGCAGAGGTGACTGCTCATGGGGTAAGTCTTTTGTTAGACCTGCCTGTTCAGCATGAAGTTTGGGTGACATCCTGGGGAACCTGGCCCAAGCCTCCAAACACCGAGGCTCCCATTCACCCAGTGTAAAGAGTGGTAGGGATGAACTTCCCCTCACCACTCATCCCCCTCTGCACTTCTGCCAGGGGGCTGTTTTCAGTTACCTAACAAAGGCATCTGGGAAGAGGAGGGAAGGAGGCCAGTGCTCCACGGGACCATGGGACAATCCCCCCTCCTTGCACAGAGATGCCCCCTTTCCCTCGCCTCCAGTGTTGCTTTCCCAACATTGGAGAACTGCCATCTGTAAGAGGACAGCAAAGGGGATGGAGCCCTGTCTCCAGCCAAGGCGAGTGGAATCCAGACTATCCCATGGTCCCTCAGACAATTCCTAGGGTCCACAGGATCATCCCACCAACAATTGGAAGCAAGTACCATAAACTAACCTATGGAGGACATGATGACTCATATTTGCCAGCTTGTCATTACCATCCCTGATTATGTACAGATCCGAATTTGGTTTTGGAATCAGCAAGGTGGCAAAGCCAGTTTGTTATTCATCATACATGCATGTTTTCATTCATTCATTCATGCTTTCATTGCATTTTTATGCCACCCATAGCCCAGTTTGCCAGTGGCTGGGCCCCCAGGGTGTTGTTGATGCTGCCTGCCTGCCCTTTTCAAATGCTCTATTATGCTGCTTATGCTACTGGCATCAAGATACATTTGGGGATCTTATATAGAGAACTGGAGCACACATATGCACACCCAATGCCAGAGAAGCCAGGAGAAACATATTTCTTATTGAATATTACCTATAAAGAAACCTTTGGGGTGATGGTGGCTGAGAACTATAACTTTGGTGAGGTTTCGAACTGCCACAGCAATGGACTGAGGGTATGAGTCCACCATCCTTGGGTCCCTAGCCATATGAACGAACCATGTCATTGTATCAAAAGTCATCCTTCCCCCTGGGCACTTGATGGGCAGAGGAAAGAAACACACCTGTCATCTGTATCACCTGAAGCCGGCTTCCCTACCTTGCTGTTTAAACTGTAAACTGTCTTGATTGCTTTGGTAGAAAGATAGCCTACGGAGGTTAGTAAGCAGACAAATAAACAGAAGCATTTCTGTGAAAAATTTCTAACAGGCAGAAGATGACATGATCTTTGCTGAACAAGCAGATGTTGAAGAAACAACTAAAGCTCTTGAAGAGAGGGAGTACATATTTGGAGACTTCATTAGGAGGCTCTGGGCTTATCTCACCATCCACCAGCTTCTGGAGAAACGGTACTGAAAAGTGCTTCCCAACTCATGAATGAGCTCAAAACTCTTGGAGAAACAGGCTACATCCAGTTCAATAAGTTAGCAATCCTATGCACGGTTCTGGAGGAGAAAGTCCCATTGAGCATAACAGACGTGCTCTGTGCATATATAGGTCTGCACTGCAGTTGCTCCATTGCTCTCAGAGCAACATACAGTCCACATATAGCACAGAACTGGATACAAGGAGGTTTGTGTTGAATCAATCTTGTGTTGATTCAGCACAAATTTCTACAAGGCAATTCTACTACATTTATCATGAAATCCTAAATCTAGGTATTTGCATTGGCCTCTTAATTTCTGTGTGATTACAGCCAGAACCCATGTGTCCAACTTGCCCTGAATCCACTTGTGGAATTCCCCAGTGGCCCAGAAGCAGTGGGATTTTCCTAGAGTGTCTCCCAACTTTGGGGGATTCAGTGCTATGATTGATATGGACCAAGCTGCTTGCAGGTGCCCATCACAACTCAGTTTCCTCCATCTTATACAGCTACAGAGAAGAATTATAAATAATCTGGTGTCATTCTCTCATTTAGCAATGCAGCAAAGGGAGAGGAAAAGGCAAACCTTACTGCTAAAGCCCTGGAAATGTCTCTGCAATACAAGTTTGTGACCCCTTTGACATCCATGGTAGTCACAAAGCCAGAAGACAATGAAGATAAGACAGCACTTGCTGACAAACCTCTGGAAGGTACAGCTTCATTACACTTATTTTTAAAAGAGTGTTACAGAAGACTAGCAAGCCCCAGCAAACTCCCCACTCAGCTGGTGAATGTAATCGTACTGGAAACGTATGTGGCACTGATGCGCAGTTTTCATACACTACTGAAATGTGCTTTACGTACAATGGCATAATTGCTTTCCTTTCCAGAAACATGCACATGACTTAGCAATTCTAGTCTTTTGGCCATTAATTGGTGGTAGGAAAGAACTCCAACAGCAAGTACACTAATCTTCAGAAAATACGACTGGCATTGCTGTATGAAGCGGTCTCCAGCCTTTTGACCAGTGGGCACATTTGGAAATTCAGTATTGTACGTGGCTGCCATGGCTTGCCTTGGGAGGGGCAGTGCCCATTCGTAAAACAGCTGCCATGCTGCAGTTACAGTTATGCATTTTCCAGGAAGCAGATTGGTGATACTCAGGTAAAGTAACTTGCCCAACAACCTAAGACAGAAGTGGGGTTGAGCTTTAAGCAGAAAATCACTCTTTTGAACCAAAACAAGTTTATGCTGGGAGGCAGCTCTTCACTTTGCAGCAAGTTAGGCTCCAGGGTATTAGTATTATTATTTTTAAAAAACTTAAATAAAATTGAAATCAGGATAGACAGGTAGTTTGGCAAGCACCAAGAGCAGTGCTCATGCTGGAGACGACAGCATTGGGAAACAAGGTTAAAGCTCAAGATGGTCCTACCTAGAGCAGACCCCCTGAAACAATTTGCTGAAGTACCATGGATTTCAATGTGATCGCTCTAAGTAGGACTAAGTTTGGATTTAATTCACAGTTACCTTACCAGCATCATGTATCTGGCAGCTGCTTGTACCCTACTTGAAAACTTAGAGGGAAGGGAAATGAAGGACTTGCGGAATTTGCTTACATTACATAGCTGGTAGTTGTGTGACAAGTCTCCTCTGGTAGAGCCACCCTCAAAGAGTAAGTCTGGTGTTATGGGGCAAAGAGGGCACTGTATGGGCACTAAAGCTACCGCATGGTGAAAGGCCCTTTTAAAAATGGCTTTTTAAAGTGACAAGTGGTCATTCCACAGTCCTGCCAAAAGATTTGTATCAGTTCCTTTGCGCTTACCTGAGCAGTATTTTGATGAGAAAATGTAAATGACCTTTCATGAGAATGGATTTTCTAAACATTTTCACTCTTTTTTCCTTTTTGTTTTCTTTCTCGCTGTTGGAAACAGCTGAGGGTAAGTTTGATTTAATTGTTGCTTTCCCTTTAAGTATAATTCCATTTTAATTATTGGATTACTAGGGCATGCAACTCATGGGAAGGGACCACTGCTTTCAGCAAGGCAGCCTCCTAACAATAAAGTCATATGTATTAGCCAGCCGGTTCCTCAGATTGAGCAAGCTTTTGTTGTGACCTTTATGTGGAGGTGGGCAGAAAATCACATTTCCTTAGAAAGCCTGTTCATGGAAAACACTTGCTGTGAAGAAATTGCTCCAGTAAGGAGACATTTGAAAGCAGCTGCATAGTTGTGGCAATTCTTTGTACACAGGCCCTTAATTCATTTAAGATTGCCCCCCAGATCTGTTGACCTTAGGGATAGGGGAGAAATTTGTTCAGGTTGCATTTTAATGTGAACTTGCTTATTTTTGGATTTTTGAATTGCTATGTAAATCAAAGTTCAAATATACTTCAAAATTTGCTCTTCATTGCAATTTGTAGTGGTGTTTTCCAGTCAAGAAATGCATACAAAATCCACATATTAGGGGAAGTAACACTTAAAGCAGGTTATATTAAGAACACTGCTTGCAAAAACCATATATATTAGGAAGGCAAACAGAATTACATACAGCAGGAGAAATGTACATAATAAATGAATTTTATTAATCCCCCCTCCTCCGCCCCAAAGTTCAATTAAACCAAATTTAAGACTGGAGAAATTTTCAAAGTTTGAACTAAACCAGAATGCAGGTTAGAAAAATGAGAAGCTGAAAGAAGCCTATACTGACAGATTTCATCCAGCTGTCATTGGACTGTTACCGAACTCAGCCAGTCAACAGCTAGGGCAAGCCCAGGTGGACCCCAGATCCCAAGTCAAAAGGAGCCTGAGACTAGACTCAGAGCCAAACAAACTTTATTCTAGTGCGCCATAGAATAAAGGGAGACAAAAGGGGATATGCAGCCCAAAGCAGTGTCTTAAAAGTTGCACCCCAGTACATGCATTTTATATCCTACATAAGCAATTAGGTCACCTAATACACATCTTATGCATCAGTACATCAATGCATGTGCTCCTCCTCCCGTGCTGGAGAAAGAGTCCTTTCTTCTGTCAAGGACTGGGTATTTCCCATGTCTATTTCTTATCTGCTCGAGATTCGCACAGGCTTCCCATCTTCTTACTCCCTGCACATTTGCAACTTTCATGGCGGCTAGAGCCAGTTTCCACTGTCCCCTTGATTACTGCATTCGAGGTCAGGCTAGCTTGTTAATTTTCAAGACAGGAAATTCAGTATGGCTGTGTTCTTTTTCCTATGTGGCCTCCCTCTGGCCAACTATTTTTGGGGTGTTGTGGAGTGCTGCAATTGACAACAGGACTGTAACTCACATATTGTTTTTATTGAGAGTTGTATGATTTTATTGTTATTTATATTGATATTTTTGTAAGCCGTCCTGAGGCTGCTGCAAAGGACGGTATACAAATGTCAGAACAGCAACTACTACTACTCCTAGCCAGTATGTAAATCTGGTTTAACAACAGAGTGGAATTTTATGCTGCTTAAGCTGGAACAGTTGAGGGAGCCTGTACAGTTCATGCAGTTGCCACCTGAATAGTTAATGCTGCTGTTTCAGTTTTGAACTACAGTTGGGTGAGAGCTGGAACTTGGATTAAAAAAAATAACAGGACTGCAAGTAAAGCAGCCCAAGTGTTAATGGACTGTGGCATCTGCGTGCAGGAAAGTACAGAATGAGAAACAGCCCTTCCAGCTGAAATCCCTCTGCTGCACAAACATGAAACTACAGGAACTGTAATCTTTAAACAGACTGATACCAAGGGAAAGATTTGTATTGCTGCACAGTCCTTGTGATGTGCTAGCTCATTAATACTAGGCTTTCCTGAGTTCAGTTTCTGACACTCTGCATCCTGTTGTCCTAGGACACCCATATTCTTTCCTTTGCATTCTTAATATATGAGAGCCAGTGTGGTGCAGTGGTTAAGAGCATGGGACTGGGACTCAGGCGATCTGGGTTCAAGTCCTCACTCGGCCATGGAGCCAACTGGGTGACTTTGGGCCAGTCACAGACACTCAGCCCAACCTACCTCACAGGGTTGTTGTTGTGGGGATAAGATGGAGGAGGAGAATGATGTAAGCTGCCTTGAGCCCTTTGTAGGAAAAAGGCAGGATATAAATCAGGGGAAAAATGTAAGTAAAGAATGATGAGAAAATTATGGAATCCATCAAGAATTGGCACCTCTTCCATGGATGTATGGATCAGAACTTGGCTAACCCCCAGATGTTGCCCTTCTCCTCAAGCAGAGACACAATCCTTAACAGTTGTGCAGTCTGATGGGATTGATACCTGCCTGAAGGGAGCCTCTAAGATTGGAAGGTGCTCTGCCAGAATCTTTCCAGCTAGGCAGAAGGAAAAATGGAGGCCTTTTTGCTTCTCCATCCTGCACTGGTTTATCCTAGAATCGCTTCTGAGCCAGCCTGACTGAGCTGTGGGGCCAGGGCCAGGGCCAGGGCCAGGCCAAGAGGCCATTGGATCCAGCAGATTGCAGCCTCATCTCTCGCTCATCACCCCAGCCGTCCCTCTTCTCCTGCTTCCCATGGTTGGAAGGAGGAGCCATGCAACTGTCCCTGCTGGATTTCCTCCTCTGACACTGAAGCTTTGTCTGTGGCCTGCAAGAGGGAAAGATCAGGACCTTTTGCCTGCTGGACTCTATCTGGGGGCCACAGGATTGCCCTCAAATGTTTCGAATTATGCAGATATTTTGAGACACAACATGCATCGGAGTATGTTGTAGACTGCCCAGAGAGCCCATGGGTGATGGGGCAGTATTAAAATGAAATGAAATAAATAAAAATGTGTTTTGAAGTAAAAATTAGAGAGAGAATATGCATTTAAATATTTATTTGTTCTGTCTTCTTTCCCTTACAGCTACCCGGCAATGTAAGTTACAATCGTTTTTCACATATACTAATCAATTGTATTCATAGTATAAACAAAGACAGAACAATCCTATATTTAAACTTGAATCCTGATTTTCAGTTCACTGTGAACTTGTGTTCCCAGTTTTTGGATGAAAATGTGAGCATTTTCATCCAAAAATGCTAGGAAGCATCGGGGAATTCATTTGCAAGTCAACTAGGAAAGTGTTGAAGATGATGCAATCTGTGCATTTGCCTAGTTTTGTGACATGGATAGTGGGCACTGCCCTGTTCTGAGTGTGAATTCAAATCCCATCTACAAGTGATGCCAGAAAGCTTCGAAGCCCAATTGCCTGTCAGCATCTGAAAAACAAACCGCTGAACTACTGGTACATCGGTCATCTTCTGTCTAGTTAGTTTAGGGGCTGCAAATCATGTGCAATAGCCTTTCCTCTAAAGGAAATAGTCCCCTCCCATGTGCAGGGCCCTCCTGAGAAGTGCTGTTCCTTTATTCGATTATAGCAAAAGCTTTAGTTTAGAACGACTGTAAAATACAAGTGAGGATCACCAAAACCTTGCTCATGTCTATTTGGAATACCACACTATCAAGTTATATCAGCGAAGTTAGATTATAAAGTTAGACTTTGCAATGGATGAAAATTCAGGTCTCACTGTTGGCAAAATATATAAGCAAGCCTTTTTTAAAACTTCTGCTCAACTCTCTCTCTCTTTCTCCCCTCCCTCTCTCTCTACATAGCATCACAATCTGTTGTCCCATCATATAGCGTCCCAGCAACATCTCACAGGTATACCAGTGGTGAGTTTTGTTTTGACTTGCTCACAGATACACTTCGGGTGGAGGGGTGAGCTTCAAAAGGTTATGATTTAACATCTGCTAGTGTGCATGCTCTATTATGCACATAAGATGGAGACACAGATCATAACCCATGGTTCATGCACTAACATGTCCCTGGTCACATGTAACTTTACTCCTCTATTCGTTGGTTTTCTTTAACCATGGTTTGCCATGACATCTGCATTGGTAAATTATGGTCAGCATTATCTCCAAACTTCTGTTTGTACACTCACTTGTAACCATGCTTTCATTTCATGATTTGGTTTCATACCACTAAGCAGTTGAGTCACATAGCATAACAAACTCTGGTTAGAAAGAACCATGTAATGGAACAGAAAACCCATGTGTGACAGGTTCATGTTGAGCAGGATTTCCAACTCTCAATGGTTCTACAAAGAAATAACAATACAATTCGCCAGTCTTACATTACAGGTGTGCAAGGCTATTATATCTATCCAATTCTGGTGCTTCAAGCAATTTACTGGACACAGAATTATTTAATTCCAAGTGTATGCACCAGGCTCTCATAGGTGATCTTGAAGTTCTGGTTCTTTTTACATTAAATTAGTTGTTGTTGAATACAGCTCATTTTTAAAAAGGGAACCTATGCCTAAACCGGTGTCTATTCACCCCAAAATCTGACTAGCATACTTTTCTTGAATGCAGGAGGGTTTGACCCCCCTAAGGGCAGATTTACTCATTGGGAGGCAAGCAAGTGGTTCCTAAAGCTGGATTTGTGTTGTTACTCTAATAGGAGGCCCAGGGGAGCATTTGCAGGGGAGACCTGGCAGGTGAGTGGGGAAGCGCATTCCCCTGCCACAAGCGATTTTTCCTATTCAGATCAGACCAAGCTACCCTGCCATTTCCCAGTGGTTCTGCTTCGCATGGCTTTGAGACTGGAAGCCAGCCTAGCCGAGGGAAAAGGAGTTGTCTTGGAGGAGCATTCACATGGGTCAGGCAGTTCCATTGTTTCTACCCTGCCAATATCTCACGGCCCCTGCATCCATATTACATGTTTCAGGAGCCTGCGCTTGCTGCAATAGCATGCAGTTCCCCTCTAACTCTGCGGACTCTTTCTTGAGTGAGGAATGGGCATTAAAGCCAAAATAAATTTCTTTACTCATTTTCAAGATGTGATTCCAAGTCGGATGAAAATATAATGTGTAATATTGGCTGAGAGCTTTGGTCAAGAGGCAGGATGATCTAAATGGAAATTTCTATTTGCAGTCGATGGAGATCCACACTTTATAATTGATGTGCCCCAAAAAGAAGATGCTCTTTGTTTTAACATTAATGAAGACCCTGGTGTAGTCTTAAATCTAATTAGAGACCCAACCACAGGTAAGTGGAAGTGGTACCATGCAGACACAGGTATGCTTTTTCTCATCTGCTGCTCTGAATAAGGTTCTTGATTAAGTAAGAGGACCAAAACCATCATTGTAATAATTTTCAATAAATTTCAGTTCTATGATACATTTTCATGCCAAGAGAAAACTATTGCTTTAACTATAAAGGTCTATTTCCCTTATTTTTTTTCTTAATTATATTCCTCTTCATGCCATCACTGTCATCACCCCTTCCTTCCTTCCTTCCTTCCTTCCTTCCTTCCTTCCTTCCTTCCTTCCTTCCATTCAGGAATTATTGTGAATGGACAACTTATTGGAGATGTGACAACTGATAATGATGCAGGGTTACATAATACCTATATAGGAAGACTTGGGATTATAAATACACAACTGAATTTAACACTGGAAGTAACTCCTGAGAAAATTGTTCTCCACAACGGCACAAAGCAGAAGACATTCATGTGGCTGGATGAAGTCATCTTACTACATCCAAGGTACAGTTATTGCTCATTAATTTCTTTTTTCTTCCTGCAACAATGAGCTTAGGACAGCACCATAGTCTGATTCTCCCCCGCTTCATTCTCTAAACCATGGGTCCTCAAACCAAGACCTGGGGGCCGGATTCGGCCCGCCATGCCCATTTGGACCTGCTGCGTGCGTGCCCATGTCCACACACGTGCCATCCACTGCCCAGCTTGCCCTGCGCACGGGGAGGCAGCAAGCCGCTACCTCATGCGCCTGCCTCAAGGCGCGTGCCCGCCCCCGCCTGCGCCTCGCCTCCCCTCGCCACAGCATGCTGGCCCACATGCGCAGCCCCTGCCCCCGCGCTGGCCTGCACACACTGCCGGCACCACCTTTCCGGCCTGCGCCCAGCACCGGCAGCTTTCCACTGGCCCCATGGTGGAAAAGGTTGAGGACCTCTGCTCTAAACAATCCTGTGAGGTAGGTTAGAGTGAGAAATGGTGATGGCTGGTCCGGTCTTTGGGTCCCTGGGTGGGTCCCTGGCTGATAAGACATCGGCTTCCTACTTGGGAGATTCTCTGTACCTTGAAGCTAAGAGGCGGGAAAAGTTCCTCTCTCTTTTGCTTGAAATGCAACAGTCACTGCACTTTAAACAAAAAGGCAAGTGAGTGGCAACAGTTGCCAGGCCCTGCCTCCATGGCCACTGACATCTGGTTGTGCTGGCCACCAGTCGGAGGACCAGACTGAGTCACAGCCACCCAAGACCGAGGCCGTGTAATGTGGGGAGAAGCTTCACGTGTCCTCAACCAGCCATGTCTGCTGAGATACCCTGTAAGGCTTGCAAGACTTCATCAGATCTCACCAGTGTTTGCCACAAGCTGGATGAAACCTCCCCGGACTTGGGCAAAGTCTCACAAGACTATGAAAGGCTTCATGGCAGCAGGGTGGAGGAGGCAGCAGAGCTGTGGCGATGATGGGAGCAAGCGCTGTGCTGCCCTTCCTCAGGTGGAAGCTAACTGGGGCTGGCCCTGCCCAAATGCATTCATCCCTTCCATTCATCCCCTTGTCTGTTTCTTGGGCAAACTAGCTTGACTTTGAAAATCATCCGAAAAAAGAGTTTGGAAGTATCATTGGGCGAGGGAGCAACATTTGAAGTGGTTTTGCACAAGAAGTGGAAGAAGCATCTCAGCCATGCAGATTTTCTTGGATTCTACATCATGGACAGTCACAGGCTATCTGAAAATACACATGGTTTATTAGGTATGAACTTAGGAAAGGATTTTGGTAAATGAAATTGAAATGAAAAAGGGATTGTTAATTACTGAACTCTGAAAGCCTTTTCATTGGTGAAATGTTATGAGCTTGCAAATCTTCTAGCAAAGAACATTGTGGGGGTGCGGGCAAATATAAGGCATTTGCTTCTCAGTATACCCTAATGAACAAAATATAGTTTCTTTCTGAGTCTCAGTAAACATTAATCAGGTCAGGATATACACCTGTTTGTTACAAGGTTATAAATGGATCCTTTTGTGCCAACACAATGCAGTTTCCAGATTAATTGAACTAATGCAAACCGTTTCTCTGCTCCCGCCCTCTGTGTCTTCCATAAGGCTAAGAAAGAATTGTTTTAATATTTTGTATACTAAGAAACAAATACCTTTCACAGTCAGTTTCTGTGATCATGATATAATACATGGAAAAACCTCCAGCAAACATGAAAGAAAGACACCTGGATTTCCATTCAGTGTATCCACAATACTAGAACCTCTTTACAATGCAGATTGTAGAAGCAATTGAAAAAGAGATTCTTTTCCTGCCTAACAATACCTGAGGAACTAAACTTGTCTGAATTCTGCTAAGAATTGATGTTACTACTAAATCAGTGCAATGCACTGTTTTCGACCCTGCTTATTTATTTTTTTTAATTTGTAGTTTAATTTGTACAGAATGAACAGGCAAAATTCCTTGCTACTGGCAATTTTGTGGTTTGCTTCTTGTTTGTTAGTTTAAGTGTCTTCTGCTCCTTGGCTACTTAGTTTCTTCCTGTTCATTCATGCAGCCTCAGCATTCCTGAACAGGTCCTTTCCTCTTGCTTCTTGGCCTGGGGAAAGGTTAATTACCATTTTCCTCTTTGCACTCTGAGCAATAGCTAATTTTTAATTGTTATCGAAGTGTTATAATGAATAGAAACTAAGTAAAAGAGCCAAAAGGAAACCCCTAACTAAAGGGCCAGGGGCAAGAGGGAAAAGACATTTATACAACGGGACATCAGAGAACACGTATCACTATTTTACTTATTTTTATAGACTATTTGCATTAAAAAGTAGTCTAGAAGTATTTTCAATAAATCAATATATTAGGTTCTTTGTGGGATTGGACCGGGGAGTTTAATATATTATGTGCCGCATGAAATCATCATTTTAATTCCAGCCCTAACAGCATGAAATTGTGTTGCTGTGGAAGCAATGCAAAACCATAGGGGTAACTGCTATCACTCTTTTTACCTTCAGGGCAGTTCCTCCACCCGATTGACTTTAACATACTTGAAGTCCATCCTGGATCTGACCCTGAGAAACCAGATGCTACCATGATTGTGAAAAACAACCAGCTGACAGTAACCAGGTAAGCAGTAATACAAATATTTATGAGATTGGATGTTGTCTTTACCTGCATGGACTCTGCACTTTGAATTTCACTGCTTTTTCCTTCCAGGGGATGGCAGAAAGATTACACAGAAGATACAAAACGTGGTACAAATGTCCCTTGTTGGTTTATTCACAACAATGCAGAAGGGCTAATTGATGGCACCTATACTGACTATGTAGTTCCTAGCCTGTTTTAGCACAAGATGCCCTCATTTTTGGCTATGATGCTTTGGAATAACAGAATATATATATATCTATTTCATGCCACTGATGTAGACTAAAACTGTAATTGTAGATTACTTTGAAATGGTTCTACTTTCATGTAACACTGTTATCCTAATGCCTACAAAATCACAAGTAGATGGAACTTGTATTCTATAAAACCCGGGGCTCTTTTTTCCGCATGTTTTCCACATTAATTGCAGGACAATTACCGTTTTTAAGAAAATTAACTTTGATAAGGTTTCTTCTCTGGGGATTAAATTAAACCATTATTTGCATAATTTAAAAGTAGCAAAGCTAGCAAGAGGTTCAATATAAAATAAAACTGCCAAAGCAGAGCATCTTATCTAGTAATTACAACTGCAATTAAACCTACACTTTCAAGCTCTCTCTGTGTGTTGTTCTGAAACATTAAGTGACATAACAGCATGCCTGCAGACATCTGCTCTTATCCAAAACACAGACAAACACACACAGGCATTTACAAAGGATTGTCCACACGATACATTCAACCTGTTATTTTATTGAGGCTTCCGCTTCTGGATTCTTTGCAGGATTAAGATTGGCTCCTTTACATGTGCTATTTTGTGGGGTGGGGTGCGGTGCGGTGGGGGTGCTTTCTCTCTTTCTGTGTGTTCCATTTCACAATCATGAGGTTACGCTGTAGCAGAGCAGGATTACAAAAATAAAAAAAGTGCTTCTCATTTTGGTTCATTGTGTCATTTCCCAAATATGGAACTCTTGACTCCTTCTAAAAAGTAATGGAAATGCTTGGAAAGCAGGGGAGAGGCCAAGGAGGATAACAAGTTTGTGTAAGGTACCCACAAACAATGATGAGTGAGGACTCATGAGTGCACAATTAATGCCTTGTGTAGAGAAGCCCCAAGTCACAGGAAATAGCCATGGGGATTCAGGTGGGGAAGGATGAAAGGAGACAGCCAGTCTCAGGTGTCTGGTGATGCAGCTTTTGGTACCTATAAAGTCATGGGCATGTCTGGGGAAATCTTTCCTAGTTGGAGGTATTAAAGAAGAGATGGAGAAAGATTGCCCACATAACTTTAGCATTTTTCATATTTATCTCTTTGAGCAGGTTTAGTGCTTTTGCTTTGCATAAACTCCTTCCAGACTGTTTGATAGGAGATTGTTGCATGACATGCAAACATAGACACTTTTATTCATTCATTCATTCATTCAGTTTGGTGAAAAGGCTAAAATTAACCAATGCTTGGTTCTTAGGTTAGAATTAGGATTAATAATCCCATAATGTGCCACCATGAAATGCGAATTTGGTAATTCGATGTAACTGGAAGAGAGGATATCTGCTCTGGAGCTCTCATTAGTGGCTTTTCTGAACCATGGATCTTCTGGCACAGTAGGAGACAATTATAACATGGAAACCCCCAAATTCCAGAGTCTACAGCAAGATCTAAATGTCCCCAAAGGCAAGCACTTCTCCCTACTTGCCACTAGATGGCAAAGATGAACAGGGTAAAATCCCTTGCAAGGACCTATAATGCATGCCAAAACATATGGCAGATCCTGTATTCCTTATATATTTCTTTTAAAATATTCTAAGCTGCCTTTCAGGACAGGAGCCTTTACAAGGCAACTTACAACAATAAAATTTGTATAATAAAACGAGATGGTAATAAAGCAGCAAACTTTCTGGACAACAGTGGACACCAGAGTAAAACAGAAACTGCAACACAGCTCCAGCTAGAACACTGAACGGTCCTGTAAAATACCATCAGTGGAATGTAAAACATGATTATCAGTTGAATGATTGGTATAGAGAAGTTTGGAACAGAGCTATTAATTGTAAATTAACTTGTGGGATTAAAATAAAAAGGCTATATAGATAAGAATGATTTTGAAGCTATTTGGCCATGGGGAGAAACAGAAGCCCCTGCCACCACCTTCTGAAGCCCCTGCTCCAGGAAGGTCAGAACCACTTTAAAACCACGTGTCGAACTCGGATACACACTCCAAAAGGATATTATGGTCGATGGGATCGCAAGCTGCTGAGAGGCCCGGAAGAATATATCATCAACCAAGGTGGATTCCATTATATCATCTAGTCTGAAACTTAAATCGGAATATCCACCGTGTGGGGAGAGGGGAACACGAGCTGCTGATGGTGATGATGCCTGGGGGAGCAGGAGTAGCACAAGCAAGCTTGGCCGCTCTCCCCTCGGTCCACTCCTCCCTTCCTCCCCGCCAACTGCCTCCACCCACTGCCCTGAATTTCTCATGAGTGGCCCTTCAGGAGCAAGTCACTGGCCACGAGGTGCCCAAGCATGGCAGCATGGCAGCTTCTTTCCCAAGCAGTTGCCCATCCCATGCCTCCTGTGGCATTCACGTAGGGCACTAAAAGCATTATGATCTCTGGCTCTCCTGTGGCAGCAGGCTGTCCCCCCACATCCACCATCTGGGGTGGGGATTCACCCTGCCTCATTGAAGGACCAGCCCTGTCCCTTAAGGAGGCCCCAACCATTTTGGAGATCCAAGGAACCAGCCAGCTCTGGCAGATCTTACAAACCAGGATAGACAAGAAAAGGGTATGAATCCTCCAAGCAGCTTGTCTATGTCTTGTCTATGAAAGCAGTAACAATCCAGGTACGGTTTAGGGAGTTCCTAAATTCCACCACACACTATGTCTAGTTGGAGAGATTTATAAAGCACTCCTCAGGAAGCAGGAGGGCTTCATGCAACTTGTTAAACAAAACATGTTAAGCCATCTTGTCTTAACAGCATGTCACACAAACCTGGTTAATGTGGGCTTTCAAACCCAGACAGTTATACATTCTGGCACTCCGAAACTTCAGGGGTCACTTCTAGGCAGTCATTACTTATTTCCTCCCTCATTATATCACCTGGGTGGCAACTTAACATACACACACCCCACTCAAAATGGAATAGTGCTCCACAATTCCTCACTTACCTTTGAAAAAGGCAGAAATACAGTTTCCATCCCTAGATGCAGGAAAACATGTGCATGGCCTTGATAAAAGAATGGGGTTGTTGCTTCAATCTTCTGGAATAATGCCAGTGAGCACTTTTGCTCTACAGGACAGCCCATCATGGCTTGCCAGGAACAATGAGTTGTCATGTCACCTGAACCTGCCCTGATTTCCCCAGGATGGCTTGGCACTGTCACCCCAACAAGCCCCCAAACCTTGTTGCAGGGGTTGCATTACTCCCAATAGGTGGTGTCATCTGAACTCAGACAACTGAGCCCATCAGGGAACCAGTCAGACAGCCCCATGGCAAGAACAGACAAATACCCTGCCCACTCTTGCCACGTGGTACCCGGGCAAGCGCCACCTACCCTCAAAGTGCCCAAAAGGCACTAGGTCACAGCTGGCACTGTCTTCTTCCACAGCACCTGCAGGAGCTGCTTTAGGCTTGCAAATGCTTTTTTTCCTTTCTCAACTTTTTAAGGAGAGATATCATGAAAGCTGGTTGTCAAGACAAAACCAAAAGAATGAGCAATCTTTTGCTGAGAAGGAGGGGAAGTTTCCCTTTGCAGCAAAATCCTTATCTTCATCCTCTTTAATTCCTATCAGGGTGCACATTTTATACCTTCTGCTAAGCAGCTGTCAAAACTTAAATTCCATTAAAAGGTGGGGCTTTGAATGGGTACTGGGCATTTGGATTAGAGAAAGAGAAAGACAATCCAGAAGAGTGAGCAGAGAGGGTTGTTTTACATTGGCTTGCATGGCAGAGACAAGGAAGGGTGAAGTTCATATATCATTTTCAATAACTAGTCAATATTTTGGCTGCCAAACTCCTAGTTAGGAGTGGGGCAGCTCAGCCCCAAGGCCAAATCCAGCCCCCCTCCAGGACTTCCCCAGTCAATCCATGAACTACCAATTGTTTGGTAGTTTCCCAGCATCTGGGCAGCGTTTTTTTAACATTCTAAAAAGCTGTAATGTATTCCTTAAAATTTAGTTATGAGAAAAATAAGCTGTAAGTTAAATATGCTGTATTTTTGGCCATTCTTTTTGCCTTTGGCCCTCCTCACTCCTGGACTGTGGCCCTGGAAAGCTTCTTTGAAACTGAATTTGGTCCTCTGGGTGAAAGAGGCTCCCCACCCTTACTGCAGCCTTTTCCTTCTTCCCGTAGGAAAGGGCTCTGTAGAAGCCAGCTCTTCTCTCAGCACCAGCCCAGTCTGTGGTCCTAAATACTGGTTTCCTGCCTGAACACCAGCCTTGCCATTTCCAATGTCTGAAGGCTACCTCCTCCCCAAACCCCTGGTCACAGCCTGATAAAAAAAGAAGCTTCTGGACAGAACCAAACCTATGCGTAGGGGTTTTTTTCCTCCACAGTGGCAGCATTCAGGCAACTTCTGAGCAACCACAACAGGAATTTCAAACAGCTCCTTCACAATAAGTTGTGACTGGGGGCTGAGTGTGCTTGCAGGTGTGAAGGCCTCTCTGCAAGAAGAGGTGGAATCACAGTTATATTTACTTGGACTAAATGTACCAGTGAATTTCCCAAGACTTTTTTCTGGAGAAACATGCATAGGATCTCACTGGGAGAATGTATACCCACCCTACCAGTATACAAAATTGTAGAAATAGTTCCTAGCTGTGAGCATGCTTTTTTTCAAGTGCACCACTGAAGAGGCATGTGGATTTTCACAACTGAGGTTTCTTTCAGATACGCCTTTTATGGTGTCATCATTCTGCTCATTCATGAAATTTTACCTGAGGTGCAGATATCATAATCCCCAGTGTTTTCCCACAGCTTCTTCTGTCTTTTTACTTACAGAAAATCTATTAAAGAAAATTGCTGCATGATGCTTTCTGGATAGAAGCATCCTAAGAAAAAATGTTTACAAGAGCGCACATGCCATCATTCTACAATGTAACTAAATTCTGCCATAACTTTGGAGTTTAAAAAAAAAATCTAGCTAAGAGAGTAGTGTTTCGGTGAAATCAAAAATAGTGAAAAAGTAGTCTTCTAAAGACTACTCAGCGCATTAGTGGCACTTCTATATAGACAAAGCAATCAATAGATTTCACCAGTAATTTTGCCAGGGTGGATTTTTATGTACTTCAAATGATATCATCCACAAGACTTACATATTGGCAAGTTTGGGGAAACTGAAATTCTGTAGTACAACAAACCTTCAGAAGGAAAACCTTACAAGGATGGGGAACCCCCAAACAGTCCTGTGAGTACTGAGTTTGCTCAGTGGGTTTGGAATGCTGACTGTTGGTGCGGGAGAGGAAAATGGGATGGAAGGAATGATGCATCCTGGAAAGGGGTAAGGCTGAATGGTACCCTGAGTTGCAGCCTTTTTTTTCGAACCTTTTTTTCCCAATAGTTAACGTGAATCGTTCGGACTACAGTCCAATGCACGTGGATAATCGCATCTAAGACTGATGAGACCAATATTATGTCAAGGAACAAGGAGCAACCCTGTGAAAATACTAGTCGCTTCAGTCTTACAACAAAATAAATACTTCGACCCAGATGGCCTTCTAGGATAAGCAAGTAACCTCAGTGAACTACGCACGTCTGAACCCCGTCGGCGTCGAGCATGTTAAGACGGCAAGAAACCATACGGTGCGACAGCACGCCAGCACTACGAAAGGCTGCCAATCTTACACCCACCAGCCAGGATGCCCACAACTAAAATGGCTGACACAGGTTAGGGAGAAAGCGCTGTAATCAAGATGGCCGCCTGCAAAAGCGGCGGACACTTGCCCTCACCCAAGATGGCCGCCCAAACGACTACGAACGCTACCATAGACGAGCGCGGCAGGTGGTGTTCTCTATGGCCCGCGGAGGCTGTGGAGGTCTCTATGGCACCGGCTGCGGCGTCTCTGCGGCTGGCGGGCGGGGGGCCGCTGTAGCCCCCTCCGCGCTCGGCGGCCTGTTAAGAGCAGGGCCCTGGGAGCATGCCCCTGGGCGAGTACGCCTTTGTGCGGGCTGTGGGCAAGGGCAGCTACGGGGAGGTGAGCCTGGTGCGGCACCGGCAAGAGAACAAGCAGGTAGCGAGGGCTGGGGAAGGGGCGTGAGCGCGGGGAGCCGGGGGTAACAGCACCTTGAAGCGACCGATGCCCTCCGCGAACGCGCGCTGGGCAGCTTTTCCCAACAGAGCGCCTTCCGGAGGAGGTGGACTACGACGCCCGTCATCCCCGCCCTTCATGCTGGGGATGATGGGTGCTGTAGCTCTGCACGCCGACCTGCAGTGGCGCATGGTTGGGAAGGGCTTCGGATCGATGGCCTGTCTGGCTTCTTCGGCTTTCCCTTTCTTCACCCGCTTGGCGGCTGAGAGAACTCGGGAACAAGAGCAAAGCGCGCCGAAAGCGCCGCGTCAGTTACGAAGAGTCTCTGTTAGGGCGCTTTTCGTGGAAAAGAGAAAGTTGAACCTGGAATCGCGGGTGCTTCACCTCCAGATAGTCCATGACCTTGCGCTCTTTTTGCGGGTTCTGGATTTGTGCTACGAAGGCTTGAGATTTCTTGCAGCTTTTGTGACACGTTGATAGAGCCGGAAAAAGTGTTTTTTGCAAGTACAGTGGGCCATCAATAGGACCCGTGGGGTCACTGGGCAATGGCAGATAGCCGAAGTATTAGAGAACTTTTAGGGAAAGCTGTTGTACATCTCTGCTTCATTTGCCCCCTGAAATTAAATATTGAAACCTTGCAGTTTGTGCCTTATTTATCAGTTACCAACAAAATGCCAGATGGGGTGTGTAATGTCAAAGTGATGGACAAGAGATGACATCTGGCCAGGGCTGTCAGAAAAAGAACCTCCTTCTGTCTTCTCGGTTCAAGCTATATCTGGAAATTCTGATCTCCAGCCCCACAGTCCTGCCCCAGGATATGGCTGGCACAGAGATTTCAGAACAGAAACATCTCATTAATTTAGGGGATTTTCTTGGAGTCAACCCTATACATAGAGGCTAAAAAGAGAGGCAGTGTGCTGTAGCAGTTAAGAGCATGGGACTGGGACTCAGGCGACCTGGGTTCTAGTCTCCACTCAGCCATGGAGCCAACCTGGGTGCTTTTGGGCCAGTCACAGACTCTCAGCCCAACCTGCCTCGTAAGTGTCATAAGTGACATTTGTCCTGATCCATAAGAAGTTAGCAGTGCAATCCTATGCATGTTTCAGCAGAAGACAGCCTACAACTCCCTGCATGTCCCAACCTGCATGGCTGGCTGGGATTTGCTGGGAATCGCAGGCCTTTTTTTCTGACTAAGCACAAGAACATAAGAGTTGTGCTAGATGAGGCTGAAGGTCCATCGAGTTCAGCATCCAGTTTTCACGAGAAACTCACAAAGGAGACTTGAGTGCAACAGTACCTTCCCACGCAAGCTCCCCAACAAGTGGCATTCAGCATGCATGGGACTGTGCCTAAAATCTGTAATCTTGTACCTGCTTCCCTGGGAGTACATCTCAGTGAATGCAATTTAGTTTACATCTGAGTAGGCAGGCTTGAATGCAATGGCAGTGCAAGGTGGACCATTTGGATACATATGAAGCATGACATATGCCTACCATTATTTGGATTAAGGTCAGTATTGGGATAACATTTTGTTAGAATGAACTGGAATTCTACAAAATAGGTCTGTCTACTGGAGTTTTAGACTTCACTAGTTCTGTTTAGTGTCCTGGATAGATATAGTTAAAAAAACAAAATTTATTTTGATCTCTCCAAGTATGTTATCAAAAGGCTGAATCTTAAAAATGCATCAAGCCGTGAGAGAAAAGCAGCGGAACAAGAGGCCCAGCTGTTGTCCCAGCTGAAGCATCCTAATATAGTTACATACAGGGAGTCCTGGGAAGGTGAAGATGGCCTGCTATATATTGTCATGGGTTTCTGTGAAGGAGGAGACTTGTATCATAAATTGAAGGAGCAGAAAGGACAACTTTTGCCAGAGGTTCAGGTGGTGGAATGGTTTGTTCAGATTGCCATGGCATTGCAGGTAACACTTTTGCATCTTTCCCTTTAAAATTTTTAATTTTGATTCTCTCTCTCTCTCTCTCTCTCTCTCTCTTTCTCTCAATTAGAAACAAGCTCTAGAATTTTGACATTGTTGACTCTGTTTTAGCTTGTAGTCTTGCCTTACTACTGTAGGTAATCTGATAGGAAAATGTATTAATGTTTCCTTATGCATGCTTCTAATCCACATAGAAGATGTAAATGAAAATTTGCCCTCTTGAATGACTCCTGACCACTACAGTGTTATTTCTAAAGGGGAAAAGTAGTGGTGGAGAGTTTGTTCAAAACTCTTAAGTAGTCTTGGTGCAGTCATCCAGCTTCATTTAGGGCACAATCCTAAATTTTGAGCTAATCATACAAATTCATTTAGAGCACATTAATGCACCTTCAATATATCCCATTCTTTCCCCAAGGAGCTCACAGGGGCATACATGAGTTAAATCTCATTTTGCGCATTCTGTAGGATAGAGACTTGTAAATGCCATTATTTTATTTTTCAGTATTTGCATGAAAAGCACATTCTTCACAGAGATCTCAAAACTCAAAATGTTTTCCTGACACGTTCCAATATCATCAAAGTGGGCGATCTGGGAATAGCTAGAGTGTTGGAAAATCAGTATGACATGGCTAGTACACTCATCGGCACCCCTTACTATATGAGTCCTGAATTATTCTCTAACAAGCCATACAATTATAAGGTAAGGTATATCATACATACGAACAGTGAATTGACTCGCCAGGTGGACTGTGCCTAGTTAGTCAAAACAGCACCAGCCACAAACAAGACAGAGGAAGAGTACTAGCATGCTCAGGGGAACCTCAAGGTTTGCAGAAGTAGAATTACCCTTCACCTGCACCCCCAGTGCATTGGAGAGAGCAACCCCTTGGAGAAGAGGGCATGGATGATAGCCTTGAATACTGAATAAGAGTCCTTGAGGCTGCAATATTTTGTTGCAGATCCAACCTGTTAATTACTAATTATTCTTTTACTGTGCCTGATATCCACCCCCGCTTGCACAGCACCTCCCAACACTTTATCAGTCTTGTGAAAAAAGTCTGTATCGTTTGGTAATTTATGGCTGAACTCATGACTGATACAGGATTGGTGCTCAGAATTAATCCTGCACACAACTCGTTGGCCCAAATGTGATTAAACTTAATGGAACTTATTTCATATTGAGCAAGGGCTGGGCTGATGGGGTGCATTCTTATGTATATTTAGCTGGGAATAAGTTCAGTTTAACTCTGTGGTACCTGTGTGCATAGAATTGCAGTGTTAAGCTGCAAATTCTGTACATGTTTACCTGTGATTAAATCTTTGGAACATAGCAGGCCTTGCTTCCAAATAAATATGCATCAGATTGTATTATTCATGGGTTCTTATTACCAGGTCCCTAGTGGAATAGAAACTATTATGGTACTACTGACTGTTGTAAACTACATTTGTACAGTGCACTTATGGGAAATACTGAAATAACTAAAATCTATTTCTTTACATCTTTCGTTGCTTTGAAATTACAGCTTAGAACAGGAGTTTAGTAATATACTTACATCACGGTATAATGTTTCATAATATAGGTGCAAAGAAAATGATCTGGTTAAATAGATCATAGGATAGTGGGATGAAAAGCTAAATTACCACATGGTCCTAAGATGTTAATTGAGAAGTATATACTATTGTGTCCAAAGGGACTTACTCCCAAGTTTAAGTCAGACAGTAACCTAGGATAAGTAATTGCGAACTAACTTGGCTTTGCTATTGAGTGGATAAAGGAAAGGAATCTTCTCCATACCTAATCTTTCAATAAGCTGCATTTCTCTGTTGGAAGAGATCTTGCTCATACACAATAGCCACAATGTAGAAGACTGCACAGGTGCACAGTTCTCAGAACTTTTGTGAGGTGATGGAGAATTTGTCCCCTCTGTTACTTGGTAATGAGGAAGACCCATAAATATTTGAAGTTGAGCTGTGAGTACCATGTCATTCCAGTTCGTGTCACAAGACTATTGCAGTGGTCAATGCTTGTAAAGTAACCTGATCATGAGTTTCCATTGACAATTACAATTCCATTGGCAATTACAATAATGCAATTAGTTTTGTCTGGTTATTTCATCCCTTTTCTAAATTAGGAAAAAGTCATTTTAAATTTGAGTACATTTCAATAAACTATTTTTCCAGATAGCTATGAAAAAACCCCTAAATTTTAATGAATACTTCTAATGGAATTTATATTGTAGATCATTTGTTATACAAGTAATTATTTTTATTTATTTATTTATTTAAAACATTTTTATGCCGCCCCCATCACAACAAAGCACGGCTCAATTAGACAGAGATATTAAAATCTATGGTTTACTCTAGGCACTCTTAACTGCAGAGCTAGGTTGGGTAACTTGTGGAACATCATATGTTTTGATTTACAACTGCATTCAGTCCCAGCCAGCATAGCCAGAGATTGGGGGATGATGGGAAATGTAGACCAAACTATCTGGAGGGCCACTAGTCACCTACCTTTACTATAGATGTTCCCAATGCCATGTTCACTTTTATTTTAAGAGTTGTTTAGAACATATTTCTTACTTTTTGCCTTGCTTTTATTTTTACAGTCTGATGTTTGGGCTTTGGGTTGCTGTGCCTATGAGATGGCCACACTGAAGCATGCTTTCAATGCTAAAGACATGAATTCCTTGGTTTATCGAATTATTGAAGGAAAGGTAAATTTTAATATAATTTTTGCCATGTTCATTATCAGCCCTAATCAAAACTCTTTAGGGAGTGATGGCACACATTAACCTCCATGTGTTCAGGAGTTGCACCCATTCTTTGGGGGGGGGGGTATGGTGGGGAAATGTATGCAGAATAGATAAATAATATAAGGATGTTCCAGTGCAGAATTTCAGTGGTATGCTTGGATACCAAAAGTGTGGTAACTAGTATGTTTTACAAAAAGTATGCACTTGTTATTGAAATCTTTGTATAAGGTCAGTGTTTTTATCATCTTATCTGATATAGATACATGCTGTTGAACAGCAAACTTGAAAAGCTCATCAAGGCTATTAAAATCTCTTCTGAGATTCCAGCATGTAAATTTGCACTTTTTGGATCACAGCTTTTCTATAGATGTCATGGTGAGCAACCTCCAGTGTGGCTCATGGGACATCTGCTTTCTGTACTTTCTGAGATTTACAAGCAGTTGTGATTGTATGTTAATCTTAGGCCTGCTATGGGATCAGAAGTGATAAACCAACATTTATATCCTGCCTTTTTACTTCCAGAAGCTCAAGGAGGCTTACATAATTCTTCTTCTCCTCCTCTCAGTCTTTGTCTCACAACAGCAACCTTGTGAGGTAGATTGGGCTGAGAATTTGACTAGCCCAATATCAACCAGTGAGCTCCATGGCTGAGTGGAGACTACCATGTTTCCCCGAAAATAAGACACTTTCTTATAATTTTTTTGGCTCACAAAAACACACTAGGTCTTATTTTTGGGGTAGGTCTAATTTTTTAATTTTTTTTAATGTGTACAACAATCCACACTTATTCATGTACAACAGCATGAATACATGCACATTTGGTATCACTCCGCCTGTGACAGGAGCCGGCGCTATAGAGGAAGCATCGGCTTATGCAGCTCTGCTCCCTCCGCAGTGGAGGGAACAGAGCTGCATAAGCGTGTTTTCTCTACACCGTGCATTAAGTTAAAGTTAAGTTTAAAAATAAAGTTTTAAAAGGCTCTTTATGTTCCCCACTGGCCCTGGGAATAAACACAGCTAGGTCTTATTTTCGGGGTAGGTTTTATATTTTAGCAAGTACAAAAAATAGTACTATGTCTTATTTTCGAGATAGGTCTTATTTTGGGGAAACACAGTAGAACCCAGATCTCCTGACCCCCAGTCCTGCACTTGTAAGCACTTCACCCCACTGGTTCTCTGCAATGCTACATCTGACTTAGAGCAGTCACACAGGAAATCATTGTGAGAGCCAGAATCTGGTCACCCTAAGCAGTAAAATTCTGCTTCGCTCCCCGTGTTTTCTTCAGAAAATCATATCCAGTATTTGTGATGTGTGATGTGATGTGTGATTCTGGATACATAGAATGCTGTTACCAATGAATACTTAAATGGCTGAGAGACTTAACAGCCTAGGAATGCCCCTTATGCCAGTTCTCCTCTTCTCTTCATAGCTGCCACCAATGCCAAAAGATTACAGCATTCAGCTGAAAGAGCTAATAAGGACCATGCTTAGCAAGAAGCCAGAGGAGAGGCCTAGCGTCAGAAGCATACTGAGGCAGCCATATATCAAGCACCAGATCTCCATGTTTTTGGAAGCTACAAGGGCGTAAGAGACATTTCAATGAGAAATATTTTTGGTTTGTTTTTTCTTTGCCATGTAGTTTAATGCAGTTACTGGAATGACTTCTTTTTCTGAGCGCTGTCAGCCTTTGAAAAGTACGGGGCTTCATATGGATCATTTCAGTTTATTTGAAAGACAGAACAGCTTAGCATTTACTAGAGTTACTGCTTATAGGATTCATTCTGAGAAACGCGTATGGAATATGTGCTTGTTCTAGAGGCAGGAAAAGGAAAGCCAGCTTCTTTGGGGGCTTAAAGGCTTGCTTAGCATCAATCTTAATCCAACACTCTTAAGCACTGTACCACAGTAGCGCCTGATAAATCTTTTTCTGCTCTTACTCAGCAGTGCATCTCATGCAGTCATTTATATGTGTGTGCAGATGTGGTAGAAGATGCAAAACTAATGAGAGTTTTCCTAAATGACTTCTGAGATTAGATTTAGACTACACGTGTATGGAATATCCCTCCACAGGTTTGCTCTACTGAAAAAATGTATGCATGGGTATGCAGCCCTAACCCTAACCGATTTCTCCAATGTCCCCTGTGTCTCCCATCCCCAGCTCTGTGGAGGTCATAGGATGTGGCTTCAGGGGATGCAAGGGAAGGGAGGGGGGCTGTCAAGGATCAGCTTCCCCACTTTTCTTTCAGTGGTGCTTCCTCTTGATCTCTGTCACTTCTGTGCCTGAAGGGGACTTGCCTGTACTGAAATAGTTCACACAAAAGGGAATTAACTTCTGGAGCTCACTGTTGCAACAGGTGGAGATGACCATGATCTTTGATGGTTATACACAATAATGGAACCCTCCTGGAGGAGAGCTGTGTTAGGCATGACAAGCCAAATCCAGCCTTCCTGCCTGGATGGAGTGAAGCTTGGATTGCTGTGTGCTGGGGACAGACCGCATGGCATGAGCAGAGAGCCAACAAGGCTGTTCTTTTACAGCCGACTCCAAGTGTATTTGAACAACTGAAATAAGCCCCATTCTAAATCTGGCAAAGGGGTCTGGTGGATTAGGTGGATTAGGTGTTGTTTTTCATACTTTTATTTATGTTTTTATTGTATTTGAATGTATTGTTTTAATGTTTTGATCAACTTTGTTTCTGTGAGTCATTTTGAATTGCAGTTTTTGGTAGAATGTTTTAATAAATATTAAATTTATTTAATAAGTAACTTATACATAGGAAGCAGAGATAAACTTGTGTTGCTATAAAACAGCACTTTCTAAAAATGTGCATCCTGTAAATACCATACCACCTGTATCTTCTTGGATTTGTCTTGAAGGAAAACATCCAAAAACAATAAGAAAATATCTGAATCTAAATCCCAGAGTGGAAATATAATACCCCAGAAGTTTCCTAAAGAACATTCAAGAAAAGCTAAAAGGGTAAGTAAGTTCTCTTTTAGCTCTGTAGTCAGAATATTGGTGATGATAAAGTTTTCATCATCAGATTGATGAATAAAAAGGGTGTAGAATTTGTTTCAAATTAAGCAGGAAGAACAATGTTGCCTTCTGTCCTGTTTTCTGGAAACATGCATTTCAGTTCTCTTAAAGCATGTGTTAAGCATGAAGTCAAAAATAAATATGTCATCTGAAGATGCACAATATTTTAGTCAGGTGTGTAGTATCTTCCCCAAATGGATATCAATAAGAATACTTTGTGAGTCACAGTAATTAGTTAAACTCTTTGGAGCACATGTGTATGTAGCCAGAATCATGCTGATTCTGTCCCATGTTCTCACACAAGCTGAGGAGGAAAAGTTTTAGCAGATTCCCCCTTTCCTGTATGTAGTGCTTGTCACTGTGTGGAAAGTCCCTTTGCTTCATAATATCCCATTGCCCGAGACCCTCTTTTTGAGATCTAAGGGGTGTGCAACATGCAGCCAGAGAGATATGGCCCCACACCGTGCACCGTATCATCTGACCTGTCGGTCCTGGTGGTGGTATGCTGTGCTGGATGCTGTTACGCCTTATCCTAGGCTCTGTCATTCCAAGGTTCCCCCACTCCACCGCCATGGACCTGGCATAAAGTTCTGTCAGCATTGTGGCATGTTCCACTAACACAGAAGCTTGTCCTAGTGGAAGAGCATATTTGAATTTCATTTCTTCTTTTTCTTAGCAGTGCTCTAAGCAGAGCCATTGACTCAGACAAACAATCTTTCTGTGAGTAAAAAACATCTCCTGAATGTAGAAGGACAACTGTGGATTCAAACGGATTGTATTTTGCCGGGGATAACAAATAACTTTTGAGCGCTTATGCTTATCCTGAAATTGAATTATTAATAAAATCAGTGAATTAATTCTACTTGCATGTGTTTTTTTTAATTACAGAATGAAGATAAATGTTTAATCAATAATAAAACCTTTGACGTTCCTTCTGAAAACAGATTGGTACCTGAGCCTGAAAAAAGTACAAACAAGAATGGTTTGAACAGCGCAAATGTATCTATGGCAACTTTGAGCAAAGTGGACATAGTTATCGTTCCATTAGAAAAGAGCAACTCTAAAAGTGAAGTTGTAATGGAAGATAAAAAATCCAGCAGTTCAAGTATTTCCAGTGAAGCAGAGTCTGAGAAAGCCCTGAATGGCCCACAGTATCAGGTAGAAAGCTTGCAGAAAAACACCAAGCAACACCTGGAAACTGAAAACATAGATATTAAGAAGACAGTTGCTGAGGCCACAGATGACACTATAAAACTTCTGCAGCCTCTTTCAGATGCTCCAAACACAACGGATGACGTAAGTCTGTTCTCCTTTAAATAAAGGAATCCAATGGAAGGTGCAAAGCTGTGGAAAATAGAACTGGACCATTTAACTACTGTCTCCTGCTGCACCAGCAGTGAGTGGTACTGGGTCCTTAACTCATTCTCGATAGTGAGACAGCGTGTACTCATGACTTCAGTTGGCATTGCCACTAGTAGCCACTTTCCCCCGGTTAAACAGTGTGTTGCTGATCTGTCACACACCACCAAGGTTTTGGAGGAGGTGGGACTGAAGACAAACAATGTTTTAGTAGACATAAATTCAGTTAGTTCGGGTATTGAGATCTTGTGAGAGTTACTGGAGTAATTGGAGGCAAAGTTTGAACAGAATGGATATTCCGAAGGGAAGGTTGCTGGCCCCGAACCTTGTCTAGAACAGGACAAAGTGGCATGGTAGAGAGGAGGAAGGGGACTCTTGCTATACTTTTGTGATGAGTCTAGAAAAAATTTGCTTCGATTTTGTCACTTTTTTGGCTCTTGGCTTTTGTGTGCTGTGTAACTAGTCATTTCCCCCTCCTTTTTGTGCTTTAATTTTGCTGTCATTTATATCACAGTTTACTTAATATGGTAAGTGTTGGTTGGTAAGAGTTAATGAAAATACAGTAAATTCTCTTTCTAGAGTCTGGATTCTACTGAGAAACTGCTAGCACCATTTGTTCCTGTAGAAATTCTCATGAGTGTTCAAATTGTTACGGTTCTGCAAAGCATGTGAAATTAAATGGTAGCTTCTTGTAGTGAAGTGCTCTACAAATGAACCTCAAGTGTTCATTGTTTCTGCCCCTTAGACAAAGGACTGTTGTATAATGCTAGAGCATGTAAGTTTGAGCCCTTCATTAAATGATTTCCCTTCACTCCTTTTGGAGTAAACAAGGGAATAAATAAAGCAACCTGGGGTGGGATCAGGGCAGGTGCATCACTGCATCCCACTCCTTATCACCTGAGCACCACGAGAGAAGCAGGTGAGTGGGCTTTCCGCCACTGCTGTGCCAGGTCCTGACTATGTACCTGAGCGGATTGAATGCATGCAGCTTGCCACTAGTGGAACTGTTGGGGTGGAGCTCTAGTGCCCAATCATAACCCTCTCCAGTAAGTTCCTCTCTGGGGAGCGTATTCTGCTTGTATTTCTATGAATTCTATTCTGTTTCAACTAGTAGATCTGTGGAAAAAACATTGCAGTATAACTGGAACTCTGCTTCACATTAAAATCCAAAAACTGGATGCAAGCACACTCTCAAGGTTTAAAGAGCTTGTAATATTTTAAGTGTTCTGCTCATGGTATTTCAGCAATGTTATTCTGATATGCTTTTTTAAAGGAAATTCACTGCTATCTGAAAATATTGCATTTTTGTTGAATATGTAGTCTTATTTTGCAGTGATCCGGAGAAGTACTTTAGGCTAGCTCCACAATTTGTGATTCCCCAGTTCTGTGGGTTTCTAATTTTGAACAGCACATCTGCTTCTCATATAACAAACTCCTTTTGAAATCTCCAGAAGTTTTAACAGAGTTAAAAACTCCACATTCGGTCCAGCAGGATGCTGACTGAGAACGGGTACAGTGTCGCAGGTAATAGTGCAGTCCAATGTGGCTGCCTATAACCCCCTGAACTCCAAGGTTTCTGGGCATCCTATTGAGCTTCAGAGGAGAGTGGAAGTGAACGTCACCTCTATGCTTTTGCCATCCTGCACTTAGACTTAGATGGCTGATTTGGCTGTGTGACTCTTTGCCACAACTTGCAAGGAGAACAGGATATAGTTGCTTCCAGAGCCTCACTCCTTCCCTCACCATCTGTCGGAACACCCCTCCCAAGGTTCAGCTCCAAGGTTGGACTTTCTGTACTGGCTGCAAGGGCAAATGAAGGGTGCTCTGAATTCAGAGTCCTGCTCCAACAGTGGTGCATGTGTCTGAAGCTGGAGCCTGGGACTCTAATTTTTCCTATGGCTGCCTAGGGTCTGCTTAGAAGTCACAAGATTGTGCCTTAAAAGACTGAGTTCCAAATCAGAAAATTCTTGGGTCACATCTTACCTCTCTCATGAACTCATTCGGTTAGCTTAGGCAAACCATTTAATCTTCCTTCTGTGGTAAAACACAGGGATCTGCCTAATACCAGCTTGGAGTAGTTATCTAAGCCCAGCCTTGTCACCTGGGACTGGCACCTTTCTTTCAGAGTCTCGGGCAGAGAAAGGTCTTTCCAACCACCTGATACATTTTTAATTAGACATGCCAGAGAAAGAATCTGAAAACTGAAACCAAGTGTTCTACCACTGACTATGTTGCCCTGTGTCTCCCCCAGCCCTGCCAGACCCTTTGGCTATACTTGTTTAGCTTACAGAATTGTTGTAAGGATCACAAGGAAAAGTAAGCAAAGCACTTTGAATGCTTGAACATTATATAACACCATCTCATTTTGTGATTTGGCTGTGGAGCTTTTGGGTTTGTGGGTGTGCACACATGTGCATGTGTGCTGTTCAGGTTGAATGCACTCTTGGATATTGAAAGTAGATGAGTGGATTCTTGTATATTTGATTTTATTTGAAAAGGTTCAGGTAATATAAGATATTTTTCTAGACTGATGACTACATAAGTGAATGTAGCTAATTTAGTTATGGTAATAATAAAAAGCTGATACTTGTTGGTCCTTGGTTGCTCTTTTCAAGTATATGTGTGCATGCACAATTTCAAAAGCATGGAAGAAAGTATTGTAAAGGTTCTGTGTTATTGTTAGGATAAAGCTTGCCATGGAAGTCGAAGAGAAGTGAAAAATACAATTCAGCGTGAGAACACTCCTTGTTTGCAGCCCCAGGATTCTGTTCACGAGCCTTCCCTGTCACGACAGCGATGGCAGAAGAAAAGAGAGCAATATGAGGTCTGTCCAGGCAACACGAAAATCTAAAGAAATTTGATTCTTCTATTTTCTTTACAATGCAGTAACTGTCTGCATTTAGCTTTATCTTATGTTTTAAGAGCATTTACAAAATGTGTTTACAATGCTGCTGTCTACACAGCTTTTTAAAAAGATAAGGCTATAAATTACATTTTTTAAAGAAGTTGCTATGATCAAACAACTGAACATTTGCATATTTAGCAAATATATCATGTGTTCCCTGTGATGTACAGAATTATATTCTTGCTATATGACAGCTAGAATTACCTAATTGATTATTAGTATTAATATGGTTTTGGTAGTATAATTGAGCATAAGGCTTGAGAAATCTTTACATCCAGTCTGGAAGACTTAGTACGTTCAGTTTTTCCCTTTAAGATTACAACATGTGTTTCTCGGCGTCTGCCTTCTCCTCCTGATATGGATGCAAAGACAAGAGAAGACAGCACGGACAAGCAGAATGCTGCAGTTGCAAGGGGTGTAAACAGATCTAGGAACATTGAAGTAGCAGCTGCTAAGGTTTGTTCCAGGCATCTTTATGTAGAGCTTATTAATTTTATCTGTTTCTTTCAACTCTCCCAAATGACATTTCACCTGGTATGCTAACACACGCTACCAAAATTCAGTAGATCAGTTTAAGATGGGGCTTGCAACATGGTTTTATGGACTGAGCACACAGTTCTTTATACAGCTTTATCTGCCTTGCAGAACAAATCAGCAGAGAGCTATTTAACCATCCTAGTTTTCAGTTAGGGTAACATTTCCTTGCGCATAGTGCCTTCTGGCCAAGCATAACAGAATAGAATGCTGAAGACCTTACTGCTATTATTTTCACTTATTTTAAAGGATCGGCCATTGTCAGCCCGAGAGAGGAGAAGATTAAAGCAGTCCTTGGAAGATATGCTTCCTTCTGGTAATTGGCTTCTTTGCCTCCTCCCCCTTTTAATGTATGGAACAACTGCTTAGCTAACATATTAGGAGGGTGAGTACCCAGAGGAGGGCTTTCTCTGCAGTGACGCCCAATCTATGGAATGCGCTCCCCAGAGAGGTCCGCCTGGCACCGTCGTTATATGTTTTTTGGCGCCTGGCCAAGACCTTTTTATTTAAACAACATTTTGATTGTTAGCTTATTTATTGATTTTATATCTTTGGCCAGGGTGTTTCCAATTATATTGTTTTTATATGATCATATCTATTTATTGTTGTAAGCCGCCCCGAGGCTTTGGCGAATGGGGCGGCATAGAAGTTTACTAAATAAATAAATAAATAAAAATATTTTCTGTTGTAATTGTTTCCCAAAGAAAATCTTAACGCTGTTATATTAACAGGGTTATGATTGAGACATAATCTCAGTCTGTAAACCTGTGGTCTTCTGAGCTGTAATACTGTAACCTTATCTATTGTAAGAAGCTTTATTAGTCAGCTAAATATTTTTTTTCAAGCATTCTATTGTTATGCAGTGTAAGGTGTTTATACAAAATTAATTCAGGAAAGAATCTATGAGCCTCTCCCTCAGGGGGCTCTAGGGATGCACAATGGCAGGAGTTGTTCCTAAAAATGCCAGTAGGTATGGCTTCACTCAGACAATGTGGATATAATGTGTCTTACTTTTGACAGCTGTGGGAGTTAGTTTGATTCAGCACAGTCTTTGAACAAAGAGCTGTTCTAACCGATGCAAAGCCAGGTCTGTTCATTAGTTTGGAGTAAGTATTGAATTCCAAACCTGTATTTGAATCCAAGTATAAATGACAGAGGGGAGAAAAGTGAGTCTGTTGCAGCAGAAGCAAAAAGAGACTGCTGGCACTTTAAAAAAAATATTTTATTGCAGCATAATGACTAGATTCACTTTGTCAAATATGTGAAATGTATAGATTTGTTTAACTTCTGATATGGAAAACCAGTGATGGCGATCCTGGAAGCCCAAGAACGGGCTTGTTTGCATCCAGAGAAATATTTGTGAAGAGATTCAGCCTATGGCTGCAATAATTAGACATACTTTGGTATAAGACAGAATTTAACATAACCTTTCCTCTTGTGGTCCCAGAATGTGGAATTCCCTTCCTTTTTGAGGTTCAGTTGTCCATTTGATTCTTCTTCTTAAGAAATGAATAAAACCATTTTTATTCAGCCAGGCTTTAAGAGGTTGATTTCTGATGTCTGGTGCGTTGCGATTATATTGCTTTGTTATTAAGTTTTCATTCTGGTATTTAATTACAAACCACTTGCACTGGCAAAAAGGTGGAACAGGAATGCCATATGGCGATTGTAATGTTGAGCTCTGAGCTGATGGAAAGGTATGCTTGCAGTTCGTCAAGCTCTTCCAGGTATACTCATCACTGTGGATAGTTAAAATAATAAACAGTATGTTTTTAACGTGCCCTATTTCAGGCCCTGCTGCAAGACGAGCATCTCACGGTGCATCAGGAGAAACAAAATTTCCAGAGGGCGATGGTCACGTTCAAAGTGCTCATTTTTCTGCAGAGCCTAGCATTTATGTGGTAAGCCAAAATCAGTAATATTTGAAAGAACCCCATTTTTAATGTTGGAAAGTATAAAAGAAGAGTTTAGTCAGCATTATACATATTGTTGGAAATCTCTTTAGACCACTGCAGTGTGGCCTATTAGGGGATAGTTATGAAGAGAGTGATTAAAAACTGTGCAAAACCTGACATACACTTTGCCCTTGATTTGCAATTGTCTTGGGACACATTTTAACACAACTAGTAATTCAAAATATTGAAGGTAAATGAAGGAAGAAATCTTCACTGTTTGGTATTGTAGCATTTAAATAAGTGTCAACACAAATAAGAAAGCTTTTCTGTTATCATACAGTTTTAACACTATGCTGGATTGCTTCCTAATATCACTACCCACAATGTATCATTAGAAACTAAATGTGGGCCAATTCACAGAGTGGCCCTTCTCTGCAACATGTTAAGAACTAGAAAAGATAACAATTTCTGTGATGTGTATACAAAATATGTATATAGGGGGCTGGGTCATATGGGGCTATGGACAGTTGTATCTATATTTTTGTTTGTTTTGACACACGTTTTATTTTCAGCAGAAGAGGAACTTAATTGGCTGCTCTACTGAGGATGAGCTAAGTTCTTCCACCAGCTCCACAGAGAGATCAGATGGAGACTGTAAAGAAGGGTAAGTGTTTTGTGTTTCGTCTGTAGTCATGCAGTGCATTTGTACATCTACACACCATGTGTGGCACACTATGAACATGCTCCTTCTTCTAGTAAAAGAGTTCTTCTATATCTAGCTTCCAGAAGTTAGAGGTTCTTGGGTATAAACATAGCTTCCTAGAAGTTTGGGTAGATCTGTCATGTTCCTTAAATTGTAAGAATTCCAGGCTTTTTTGCCAGGTTCCTGATCCTGTGCAATTATCAGCCCTGCTGTTCCTTGGAAAACACTAGGCTAGCGCTTAGCGGACAAGCAAAGGGCCAGGATCTCTCTCAGTCATGCCGGGGTGCAAGCCTTGGAATATTCTGACTGGACATAAGGAAAAACTTCCTTTTCGAGAATAAAAAATCCATGTTGTGTAGCCTATCCCACTATTCATCCAGTCAAAATTAGAAATTTCCCCCTCTTATTATACAGATAATTCTTGCACCTTTTAAAGCTGATATCCTTCATGTTTGATGTGGAATTTTAAAAGGAAGGGCTTTCTAGGGAACAGAAACAGGTTGTGAGGGGGATAAGTAACCCTAATTAAAGGGAAAAGACTAAAAGAAATAGATGCAGAAAAAGAAACAACTTTTTTGAAAATAAAAGCTTTAATATTAATTACTATTATAAGTGGCAATCAATGTGGAGATTTCTTTCTGTGACCATATATAAAATTACTGTTGAAGATGTTCATTCAAAGTAGGCAATTACCTCTTCAAATTACCACTCTACTTTTCTCATTAGCATTTTGTTAGTCACAATAAACAATATATTTTTTGCATGGTGGTTACTGTTACAGAGCTAGAAGAGCCCCACTTCCCATTTAAAAACCATTAGCACAGGAAAGTGAGCATGCCTGATGTTAAAATACAGTGCTGCACTCTTCCTGCATTGCTGTTTATTGGGTCCAACTCCATTCATGAAAACTCTTAGGAATGCTACATAGATGCATATATCTGTATGCAGGAGGAACATGTTTACCCCACTCTTCCACTGGTGGCAACATTTAAGACGGCTTTTCCCACAAATGCTTGATTGCGTACTGGCCAACCCTGTATGAGTCTCTCTCCATCCCACCCTGTCTGATTCTGTAGAAGTGATGAGAGAGCTTTCCTGGAAGTTAAGATCCAAACTATGGTGTAGATACAGTCCTGCGTACTAAATTGAGAACAGTATACTACTGCATTAAACCATGGATTAAAAGCTGGGATTTAAGTAAGCTGGTATTTATATTCCTTTTTGCAGAAAAGCAAATGAAATGAATGACTTGCTACAGTTGATGACACAAACACTTAAAATGGATAATAAAGAAAATTGTTCACATTCTGCAATACCAATTCCTGATTCACAGTTTAGGCTTAATAGGAAATACAAAGACACCCTGATCCTACATGGCAAAGCATCAGAAGAACCAGATGAATTCTCATTTCAGGAATTTCCTTCAGGTCTGTATCATGCTTGAAAGCAGTGATGCTTAAGTTCTATCTCCTGCTGTACCATTAAAGAGCAGGAACAGTTGTTAAGTCTGTAAAGAACACTCTCACCTAAAGAAAGAAAAAGTCATGGGCTCCCATTTTCTAGCATGGAGGCCTGTCTGCCACATCCTTTAATAAGGCAAAAAAACTTATTTTTGTGTCAAGGCTTCAAACCACATTATGTGGGCATAAAATACTAATATGATATTGAGGAAAGAAACTTGAAGAGTACATATACACTGAGGTGTTTATTTATAAATAAATATAAAATTTGAGATTTATAGTCTGCAAAGGCCCTCAGAAGGATATTCACCAAAACCTAAACAAAAAGGAAAATATTCTGTCATCACCCTGAGTTTCATCATTGATCTTGGTTACCTGCCAGAACTCTTAACACAGAGCTCAAAATACTTACGATAATGCTTTTTACTTTAGATGTTTTGTCTGGTCCTGAAAAGATTAAGAGATTGATTGAGATCTTAAGAGCAGATGTGGTTCAAGGACTTGGAGTGAAGCTGCTAGAGAAGGTATATGATGTCATGGAGGAAGATGATGAACAGAAGAGAGAGGTGTGTTTCTCATAGAGCAACTTACAAGCTTTCTTTTCTTTTCAACACTTTAAAACACAGACAAATCACTTTCAGAGAGAAAAGTACAGTAGTTGGCTGGCTTTGTAAGCCACCTGTCTGGACATTTTCTAAGAAGCACAATATTCCCTTGCTTGACTCCAAATCATGTACTACTTATGAAAATACATGTACCCTAGTATTTTTAAGGAGGTTGGCCCTTAAAATAGAGAATTTTATTCTCATTTAAATCCCACTGAAATAATAGAGCAGGGTAGCTGTTACTAATATGTGTCCTATTGATTGCACAAATTTGAAATAAACTGTCAGAAAATTCAAGGTGGAATATGTGCATATGCAGTGAGAGGAAGATGTTTCCATACTTATATTAACTGCTACAACAAGAATAACGCAAGTATAACAAATCAGCCCTGATTTGTGCAAATATTTCAAACAATCTCACCAAAACTGGTAACAGAAAGCAATTATTTTGGCCATTGAACAGAAATGTGTCAAAGTCCATCAAGCTACAATGGACCAAGTTTTTCAATGTTGTACATTCTTACAGTGGGTTTCAGAAATCCTTGCTGATGTACTTCAAATTACACAAAGACCAATCAGCAGATGCAGATTTATTTTCTGCCTACTGTGTGTTTTCCAGAATTTGAAAGTTTGCACAGTTCTGCAGAATTTTGGTTAGTTCTAATAATGGTATTGTACTACTGTGTGAATTTTGGTATGACTATGCATGACAAAGGCCTGACAGCATGCCCACCATTTCTGATAGACCTGGTGACTATGCACTGATAAGGCCTGGCTACCGGGTCTACTTTGAATAATTTCTATACCAGATCTAGCTCTGTAGTTTCCCAGTAGGTTTCTGACTGGGCTTTCCACCTACTGGTGAATCCATCAGTTCTTTCCCTAGTTCCCCTGGCCTAGTTCCCCTTAAAAACTTGAAGGACGTGGCTAATATGGGGCAGGTTTTGTGTGTGCATCTGTGTGTGACCTGCTCAGCTTGCAGTTGACTCCTAAACTGCTGTTTGCAGGTAATGCACAATAGTTTCAGGTACCTTTACAATGGAGTTAATTTTTGTTACAATACATGAGAAGCCGCTAACTTCTGAGGAGCTCTATGGTACATTGCTTTAGCTTCAACAAGGCTGACACAAAAAGGCTTACCATTCCTCTGCCCTGCAGTCCTCCCAGTTGTACCCTCCAAATCTGTTCCATATGGTCCCCATTAAAATTAATTTAGGGAGGATGCAGTTAGGAGGAAAAATCTACTTTGCTGATGGATGTGAATTCTTCTGCAGTGGACACACCTTGATTTCACCTGAAATGTTTCATATTAGACATATTCATGTTTTCAGTGACAAGGTAGCTAAACTTTCTCTTCTTTTATCTTAACAGCTTTATTTGCGGGAAGTCATGGGAGAAAAGTACACATTTTACAGCATGAAGGCTCGTCATTTAAAGTTCTTGGAAGAAAATGTGAAACTTTGACAGTTAACCTCTATTGAACTACTCCTCCTTGAAGGAAAGAACAAAACTTTATTCAGTTCATTGCAGCTGAATGGATTTTTATTTTCCTACTCACAATGATTTTGGGGGTATTTTACAGTACCAATTTTTATTGTTTGTACAACTTCTTTAGTTTATAAATAGCAACACGTTTATTAAGTTAAGTTTGGGTACATGTTTCCTTTTTTTTAACATATATGATAGCACTTTCTAAATATTTTGGGAGTAGTGTCCTATAGTATTCCTTTTTAAATTACAAACATCTTCACTGATCATCTCTAATACTGCTATCTTGCACACAGTTACAAACAAATAATTCCACAAATTTTATTAGGCCTTGCATGTTAGTAACCAAGTGCAGGATTACAACCCAAGCATAGAACTGCCTCTAGAAATAGCTGAACCTAAAAAGTGTAATTACTGCTCCTGGTGCCCTGTACTTCAAGCTAACAATAAGAGTAATTTATGTGTAGATTAAATTACTACTGTTGGTTTAAAACCAATACCTGACTCCTGTAATGGCAAGGCTCTCTATGCACATTTCTAACAAACATATTAGTAAAAGACCCTTTTCTGGTTTTAGTGCTTATTTACAATGAATGAAGGATTTCTTCTCAACACCTTTTTGGAATACAAGGATTAAGAAATACAATGGGAAAATCTACTATGTAATTTCTAACAGTGCAGTCTTGCTGCCTTTTACAGAGTATTTAGGATGGTATACAATTTATTTAATTGGACCAATTTAGGTTGGTGTAGGAATATATAAACTTTTAATCTTCAGATTTTAATATAATGAACTCTTAGAGAATCTGTGAACTGATGGAAAGATTCTAAGCAGCTCTTTCTAGACTATGCAGAGTTTTTCTTGTGCTTTCCTGTACAACTTTAAATTAGGTTTAGAGAATGATAGTTAAACCATGCTTTGCAACTAACATGAAAAACTGTGCTATATAGCTCCTTGTTAACTTGAATGGGTTGGGTCTATTGTTTCAGCTTCTGGCATTAGCATGCCTTATTCAGAATCCTCCTGCCACTGGAAAGTGGGAGGAAGAATTTTTATTTTTCTCCTTCCTCTGTAACCTTCCATAGGCAGGGGAAAAGGACAAAATTGGCATCATTCCCCATTCAACTAGCACAAATCCTCTACTGAATCAGAAGCCTCCCCACAGATGGAAGACCTTCTGTTTGCAGGAGACAAATGCTGGATCCAATTCAGAGTACTGTAGTATTTTATCTAGCTGCACAAATTAAAAACATGAAATTTACTTTTGATAAAATGAGAACCTTTCATCAAAGAATTTACTTTGCTTAGGCCAAAATATCCCTCCATTTAGTATATGTTGTTGTTAGTCGCCAAGTTGTGTCTGACCCATTGCGACCCCATGGACAACATTCCTCAAGGCCCATTTAGCATATGCTGACTATCAAATTAAAGGAAACAGTTGTGCATGGGATGTATTTTTTTCCTTTAGCTATACTAAAATGTAAGGAACTCAGTTCTGTTAGAATAATCAATCTAACGTAAAAGAATTCCTCACGTAGGTAAAACTAGGTAATAACCTGGCAACAAGCTTAGTAACAGCATCACTAGAAGATGGGTGTTCCTTTTAAAATTGGACAGTGGTGTCTGTACACACATTCAATTTGTTGCTTACTTTTGGTTTGGCTCCTTTTTGCCTTGCTTGATCAATCTAAACATATTTATCCTATGTACAGCTGAATGAGGTAAGATGTAGTTTTGGAGCCTAAAAACCCCAGCATTTTCCATACAGACTGGCCATTCACACAGAGTTAACCAGTATGCTAAAGAATCCTGAAATACCATATTCACAACCTGTTTACTCCCTCCATGCCTTCTCCCACCAGGCACTAATCAGGAATTGAAGGCATGGTATGCCAGATGATTGACTCTTGTAATCTTAGATCCCATTCAAGCCTGAATTGCAAAGCAAAGGGAACTTGACAGATGCTGGAAGAATCTTCTCAGCAATGGCCAGTATGCATTTCCCCCATGGGGATGATACGTACTATAGAAAGCCAGGAATTCATGCAGTGTATCAGCCCAGCTCCTTTCTCCATACTGAAAGAGGTATGGAATTCCATACCCTTCTCAGCATAGAGAAAAGTAAAAGACCACTGCCATTAAATGAGGGAAGCATAGTAGCAGCAGTTTGGCTGTAGAAGTAGTCAGTTGATGAACAGTAAGATCCAATTCTCTATGCGAATGGAGGGATTGTACTTTCACAGGATTTGTTCCAAAGTTTTTATTGTTGCTTTTCTACAGCCATAGTTTGTAATATGGTTTGGGAAGCATACTAACACAATATAAAACCAGCTCAGTCTTGTGGCAGATTCAAGGCTAATGGGTTTATTATGGTGTAAGCTTTCTTGGAGCATATGGTTCACATCAGATGCATTTGAAGTCTTAGGTGACAGAACTGAATTGCCTAAAATTACAACTAACCAATTTCATGGTGGAGTTTTTCTTCTGTAGTTCAGGGATGTTCACCTTAAGCTCAAAGCATCCTGGTGGGTTGGGATGTTCTGCTCTTGGCTTCTGGGTTGTTTACAATTGTTTGCTTAAACTATATGGATACAAATCTAGAACTCAGGATAATACTCCATTCAACTGATGACGTGGACTGTAGTTCATGAAAGCTTATGGCAGAATAAATTTATTTTTAAGGTGCCTTAAAGCTTTGCAGTAAACTGACACCGTTTCATCTCTGGAAATGCTTGAATATGCTCATAATATTCAAGGCAAATCACTTTGTTCAACATAGGTTCAGAATTATAATCCTGCTTTGAAATCTTCCCAGGACATCAGGATGGCTACTGCTAGAGACAGAATTTGGACTAAAATATTATGACTTAAGCAACATTTGTACCAGATGCAGCTACTTTACTAGCAATGACACAAAAATAAATCAAGTGCTACCTATGCTCCAGGTTACTGTAGTCAAAAGTTCCATATTTTGTTATAACTCATTCTCAAACTGCAGAGTCAATTTTGGAATACTGTCAGATTCACATAAATATCAAACCAAGTAAAGAAAGAAAAGTAATAGATTTTAAAGCAAATTTAATGACAGGAAATGAAACAAGATACATAGTTTCTCAATTTTTAGGGTGCCTTTTTACTTTTTTGTCTGTCGGCTTCTTATCATCTGTTGCCGATTCCTGGACAGGTAGCCACTTCAGAGGATTGCGACGATATATGGGCCATGGAGGGAGTGTGAGCTGTAACAGAGGACACTTCTAAGAAAACCCAGCATAGTTCTTTGATAGACAAGGTTTTTGTAAGGCTTGTTTTTTGACTAGACTTCAAAGTTAAGAACAGGTACAAGGGAAGTTAAAGCTGAAAACAATCTTCTGGAGTAGTATTGTCATGTTTACAGTGCATTAGGTACAGAATAAGAGCAGGATCAACAGAGATCTCAAAAGGAAAATAAATATCAAGGCAATGGTATTGCACAGCCTAAAAGCATTGTAGTGTATTGTCCAAAAAACATGTCTTGTATTAAATTTGCATGGACTGTGTTTGCATTACACCTGCAATCCACCACAATCTTTACAGGATTCTTTGTCTACAATGCATATATGTGTCATAAAAAATAATGTTCTTACCATGCACGATAAAGCAAATCCAGCCATTACTATGTAAACTGTCCAGCCAAACTGTTCGGTAATGTACCCATAAATAAAGCCAACTACCTGCAAAAACATTTAAAACAAGTCAAAGAAAATATGATGTACCCCAGACCCAATAAGACAAGGGCTTAAAAGGAAGCACTGTTCATTTTAGGAATTCACAGCAGGATAGCATCAAAATCTTTAATTTATTTGGACTTCTGGACTACTCAAGCCACATTCAAATATGAACATACATGTTTGGTTCTACTTAGTCCTTTCTGAGAACAGAAGAAACTGAAATCCAGTGGAGGTGGCAATTTCTGCTTATTCCCCTTATAATATTTCACAATGCTGTGAAGGGTCCCCAACCCTCAACAGCTTTTCACAGAGGAGGAAAGAATGAACTAAATTGCTTTTCCCATCCTGTAAGTTTTCAGTAATTCTGAAATAAAGTCACACAAAATAGGAACATAAAAACCAGACAATTTAAAACCATAGGTTGAGATATGAGCTTCATGTTAGTTCTGAACAGAGAGCTTTATTTACACTTTGTTGCTATGTTCCATCAACTTGTCCCTGGCTTATGGTGACCCTATGAATAAATCCCCTCCTCCAAACTTTTCAGTTCTGCTCAGCTCCTGAAAACTCAAGGCTGTAACTTCCTTTATAGAATTAATCCCTTTGTAGTGGGTCATCTTTTTCTGCCTCCCTCAGCATTACTGTCCTCTCCAGTGAGTCTTGTCTTCTCATGATAAGACAAAACTGAAGCTGTTGTACTTTGGACATTTTTGCTTCCAGGTCACATTTTGGCTAGACCAATTTGTTTGTCTTTCTGTCAGTACAGGGTATCTGCAAAGTTGTCCTCTAGCACCATATTTCAAATGCATCAACACAACACTCTCCTGTCAGTTTTCTTTACTGCCCAACTTTCTACACAGTGACTGGGAATTCAGTAGTGTGACTGATCATGGCTTTGGTCTGCAGTGAAGTGCCCTTGTACTGCACAATCTTTTCTTGTTCCTTCACTGCTGCCCTTTCAAGTCTCAGACTTCTAATTTCTTGGCTTCTCTGTTTGAGTTGACAGAGCCATGGTATGCAAAATCTTTCATAATTTTGATTTTTTTCATTGTTAGTTTAAAAGTTGTGTAATTCTTCTGTTGTCATGCTTTTTCTTAATGTTGAGGTACACTCCTGCTTTTACATTTTCTTCATTCAGTTTCATCAGATGTTGTTTCAATTCATTGCTGCCAGTAATACAGTATCATCTGTATATCTTAAATTATTAATGTATTACTCTTCAATTTTCGCTCTTTCCTTTGAGCCTAATCTAGCTTTCTTTATGGTCTATTCTGCATACAGACTGAATAGATAAAAAGCACCCTTGTCTGATGTCTTTGCCTATAGGAAACCATCCTGTTTCTCATATCAGTAGCTTCTTGTCCACAATATGGGTTATACATCAGGACAATTAAGTGCTGAGGCACTTATTTCTTTCAGAACTATTTACAGTACTTATCTTAAAATTTAAAATGCTTACAGCTGCAATTGTAACCACATTTACTAGGAAGTAAATTCCACTAATCTTTGTTGGGCTGAATTCAGTTAAACTTTTTTTGTGTAAACTTTTTGGGGCCATATGGCAATTTGTTCTAGGCACAGCCACTAGGTGGGGTGGGACAATGGAGGTGGGACAAAGGACAAGTAACATGCCCAAAAGACAAATTACAAAGCAGAGGTGAGGTCTGATTTCTATCCCATAAAACAACTCCTCTGAACCCACAGTTTTCAGCATCAACAGAAAGTTAGTTCACAGTAAATGCAGCTGCTAAGAAAATGTTAATTTTGGAAATGGAAGGGGTAGGATACTTTGGTACATTCTTCCTTGAGGACACCATGTTGCCGAATCCTGATATAGATCACACAACAAGCATCCATATGCTATATTTAATGTATAGAATAATTCCAAAAGGTTTCCAGGTGAAATCCCTCAACATGGTGGGGCTTTCTGAATTGCACTCATAGTGTTATGTATGCTTCATTTTATACATAGTGGGTATCATTTTGATTTCATTATACTTACAGCAGAGAAAAGAATTATTCCCTGAAAAATCTGCTCAGCTAGTTTTTGTCCTTTATAGTCCTGTGGAAAAAGAAAACATTTGATAGCATTGCTACTTCCTTTAACGCCAGCACTTCTTGTGGTTTTTGGAATGGTAACATATAGACAGACAATTCTGATAGTATAGTAAAAAAAGAAAATGTTTTAATGACAAGCTGAAGTGACTTTGAGTAAGTTGAACAAGCTTGAGCAACCTGAAGAAATCTTAACTGGCTATTTCTGTTGCCAGATAAGCAGGGGAAGGGAAGAAGAAGAAAGTTTATTGCCAGATACTGTTTCAATATAGTGCAGAGATCTACCTACAACCTTAATGTGGCAGCTACTGCTGCTGTTGCATTTCTGCTTGCTCCTGTCTCTGCTTTAACACACAAATGTCATGCTGCATATTTACACAGCATTGGCAGGAGACAAAGAATTAGATCTCAGCTGACTCCTTTGTGGCATCTTTGCAATGAAATCTCTAAGTGATGGCGTAATCCTGCATCTGGCAGGTTTTGACAATATATTTGTCAAATGGTTTTGCCATGACTGTGCTCTACATAGCAGGAAAACAATCCTGTTTGTGCTGCATAAGCTTTGTACCATTATTCAAGTAGCTGCTTCAAGTAATATATTCATAGTTACACTTCCATTATAATTCGGAATAATTGTTAACAGTCCTTCCATAAGTGTTACAAAGCATGCAGAAGCTTCCAAAACTTTTTTCCAAAAATAGGCAGGAATGTGGTGTGTTCTATAGATCTACGTAATCAAACTTAGCAGTGTATGCACATCACAGCCAAGCAGTTCTTGGTGGCTTTTTAAAACATGGCACAGTCCTCAGTACTTTACTTTTCTTAGTGGAGTACTCCTATTTGTTAACATGATCTTTAGCTATCACATTGGAAATCATCAGACTTAAATTCAAAGAATGTACTTGCTAAATGGTATAGTAAAATTAATTTTATAAAGCACTTTAGATATTGACAAGATATTAAATTGCATTTAAAGCCAAGGGCCCGTCTGCATAAGCTCATATAACTAACACAGAAAATCTAGTGCAGTTAGACCAGTGTAAGTGCTATACATGCTTACTTAAGACTAAATCCCATTTAATTCATCTTGGGAAATTGCTTGAGTATACCAACTGGATCAAGCAGTAAAGGACCACTGACCACAGTAAAAGCTGCAATCCTCAACATACCTTATGTGTGAGTGCTTTTGAGCTATAGAGGCCTCATACAGCTTGGACCCTGACAGAGCACTTTCCCCCCATATGTACCTACATATGCCCTAGGATCACCACTGGGGACTCTTCTCAGAGCAGTCCCCTCAAATCTAAGGTATACAGGATGGCGATGAGAGTGAAGGCTCTCACAGTGCCTACCTTAATATCATTTTTTCACCAATTCTTTGTAATTCTTCCACATCAATGAAATATAACTTCAATATTGTCTGCCATCAAGTCATCTCCAACCTATCAGTGAATGATCTCCAAAATGTCCTGGCCTTGACAGCCTTGCTCAGCTCTTGTAAATGCAAGATTATAATTTCCTCTATGGAGCCTATTCTTCTCATATTTGGTCTTCCCCATCTAATGCCTTCAAATTTTCCCTAGCATTATTCTCTTCTCCAGTGAATCTTTCCTTCTCATGATATGCTTGAAAATCAAAAGCCCTGATTTTGTCATTTTTGCTTCCAGTTAAAGCTCCTGCTTGATTTGATTTAGGACATTTAAAATATTAGCTCTTTATATTATAGTAATAAAATCATAAAGCAATTATCAGAGATGGTTTAACTGTTGACAGTTTCTTTATTCTTGTGTATTTCAATGCTGTACTTAATTTTATTCTATTTTTAAATTTATTTTATATAGCCATTGAAATAGGCTAATAAATATAAAACTAGTTCAACTAAAATCAAAGGGACTTGATGGTGAGTAGAAATAATTAAAACATCGAGTTTTAACTTTATTAGGCCAATAATCAATAAGCTTAGCAAGCGACGGTAAGATTTCTGATTCTCATATTTCCTACAAGGCCCTGCTGAACAGGGAAGGGTCTCCATTTTGTTGCAGAGCATGGATAAGGGCCATCCTCTTTTCTACCTAGGACACGTCTGCTTTATTACTTGAGCAGTCAGGCAGTTCCCCGTCCTGCGGTCCGGCGCCTCAACACTTCCTGCCCGACTCGAAAGCAGAGAGGAAGGCTCCGCGTCCCTTAACGGTGCCCTGCAGGCGGCGAAGAAGACAGGGCTGCACGGGGACCGTCCCCCCCGGGTGGGCGAGGCTGTCCCGGAGCCTTCACACAGGCGCCCACCTCCCCGTCCAACCCGCTCACCATTTGTGTAGGAATAGATCGGAATATGTTGAGCATGATGTCCGGCTGAAGGACCGAGCCTTGAGCTCCGTGGCCGCCGTCGGGGGAGAGGTGCGCTGGCGCTGGTGGCGGAGGTGGCAGCTCTTGGGGGTCGGCCTGCAACGCGCAGTCCCAGTCCGAGCTCGACAGGGGTTCCTGAGCCCCGCCGGGACGGCTCCAACTCTCAGGCAGCTGAAGAGGGTCGCCCTGCAAATTGGCGGCCGAGGCGGAAGAACCGAGCGAAAAAGAGTTAAAAACAGACACTTCCGGTTCTTTGGCTAAGGCCGCTCTGCGCCGCAAGGCGGGCACTGAGCTGACGGGAATCGAGGCTTTCCTGCCTCGCCTCATCGTGCTTGGACTTCCGGGGCAGCTCGGGCGAGAAAAGGCCCGCTTGGCTGCTCACTCCTCTGCACAAACAAGCATATTGGCTCGAGCTCTCGGCCTGTCGCCTGACGAGTAGCCGCCCACTAAGGCCGGGGAAAGCTTCTCGGCGACCCCCGGCACGCTCCCCCGTGTCTCCATGGCAACCGGGACGCGAGGAGCGCTAGGACCCCTCCCACTAATCCGAAGGGACCTTAGCAATACCGATCCCCTAACGTACTGCCTGCCCGACCTCTTTTCTCCACCACAGCCACAGTTTAGCCTTGGTTAAGCACTTGGAATTAAAAAGCTACGCTACACGCTACATCGTGTTCGCTCTTTTTGGATTTTTTTTTCCGATCAGGCACTAAGATAGACACCCTTTCCTACTCCAGCGGCTGACAACTTGCTGCTGCTGTTGAGTTGGCATTTCGCTCGTGGCTGCCAGACTCTGCGAAAGGAGCAGGAGCAAGTGGAGGACCGCTTTTTCCCTGCAAACGAGTAAGGCTGGTGGCAATAGAAGGACCTAAATCACTACCTCTTCTGCTTATCACTCCGCGTGTGCTAATCTGCCCTGAAGAGGCGTCTTAGCTAAGAAGCAAAATGCCTCACTGTCATTCCCTTTGCGTCTTCTTGCTCTCTGTGGCGCTTCTGCCGTCCGCTGCCCAGCCTTTTTCAGCTCGCGGCTGGCAGGCAAGCGAGCCGAGCGGCTACGTTTTGGAAGGAATAGGCAGTTGCTGTACCTGCCTCCAGAGACCTTTAAAGTCAGACCCGTACCCGACTTGACCTGCAGCGAATTGTACCAGCAGTAAAGGGAAAGAAAGTGTAAGGTGAAAAGCTGAGAGGACAGATTAAGAGAGATAAAAAATATTACGAGGTTATGCAAACTGAATATTGCAGCTGAAAGTGGATGCTCCATCTGGAAAGGTTTGTAGGCTGGTGCACTGGTGAATTAAAAAGGCACATCCAGCAGAGGATTGCAAAGCAGTGAATATACCTTCTGAATAAAGGAATTTCTTTCATTTACTGTGATGTTTTGGTGGGTCTACTAGAAGTGGACCACTTTTTGTAAGAGAAAATGAATTTATATTAAGACTTGTAGAATTCATAGATAGTGGCCAATCAATTTGCCCTGCAGATGGATCAAATATGAATAATATATAGTGTCATGCTTATAAAATTGGACTTGGTTGTAGTCAGTAGCTAATCTGCATAGGAATAGCTTCACTAAACACTAGTGGCTTTGCCCTAGATTGTAAATTGTGACTTATAAAGATGGTTTATTAACTGAGCTGTTACAGATGTACTAAATATCTACCTCAGAAGTAGTTATTTCTTACTGTGTAGGTTTCATAATCCTACAGCTCATAACACAGGAAAACTACTCTCCGTTTATCAGTGAGTTATCAATGACTGCTTTTACTACTAAAATAACAGTTGGCTTTGCTTACTAAGATGCTTACATCAGTTGCATCAACCTGGTTTATAGAACAACAGAGGCAGAAGTGTATGCCACTAGAAGGCAGGAGGTGCTCAGACACAAAGGAACTGACAGATTGCAGCATATGTTTTTAGAAGGCACCTCTGTGACAGCAATGATAATTTTGTATGTGTCCAAAATACCACGCAGTAAAAATATTCTAGGTGGTGAAGGGGTGATGAAGGGGTCTAGTAAACTTGGATGATCTGTTTTGAAAACTAAGCTTTCTCCTTAGAAAGATTGCAGCCTACCTTGTAAACAAAATTAGTTGGTGTTTATCTTAGCTTTGGGGCAGATGATTTAACTATAGAAAAAGGAGTGAGGATCTGAGAAATAGAAAATGCCTTTAAATAAGTAGAAATTCATTTTTCTGTGCTTTCCTTTCTCCAGACCTCTGCATCTCTAATCCTACATAGATGTTTACTTTGTTGCCCTTAAGAGTACTTCTTTTATCTGAATACTTTATCAGTCCTTATTATATTTTTTCAGGTTTGCAGAGTAGCTTGGTTGTAGAGGTTCTTTGTTTTGCAGGCATTTAAAGGAACTCATCATTTAATCCAGAACAAGCTGAGGAAATGACATTCAGAAAAGGTATTTTTAAGTCACACTTTTAAAAGCAGTTTTAAAAATTTGAATATTCAACATATATTAGGCCATTATTATCTTAACCATCTTTTCTTTTCTTTTATTTCAGTAAATATTTTTATCCTAGTACTTGTCATTGTTATATTTTTGCTAGTGCTGCATCACAACATACTAGGTCTCAGTGACCTCTTGAAGGGAGAGTTATCAGGTATGGTGCCTTTTCCTTATTTTAGTAACGCTGTATTTCAGTAAAACTATATTTGGTAGGATACAGATCAGCAAGTTAATGAAAGGATTTTACAGGCAACTTTTTTCTAATTGAAATACATATTTACTGGCAGGTACTTTTGTTCCAGTTTTGAGCCATATTTAATGAAAATACTTTACTTGTAGACCTTAATAATTGTGCACTGTTTTTATTGTTAGTTAACCTATCTCACTAAAAGCAAAACAGTGTCTGCCTGGTGTGTTTTTATTTACTATATGTGGAACATGAGTCCTGAAATGTAGTTGGTGCTCTACTTTTTACTGCAGCTGTTCCAGAAAAAATGTTACAGCATTTAAAATCTAGCTTTCATATCAGCTTGATTTTAATTTGCCCAAAGTTATTAATGATCTTCTTGTCTGTGAGTAACTTTGTTCTGCTCATCACCACATTACTAGGAAGAGATTAAAGGTTTGAATGAAAATCTGTTAGTTTCATATTAGTTTAATGGAAGTATTCAGAGAAATTAAGGAAGTTCCAGTTCAGCACTGAAAGCTTAGATTAAAAAGTTAATTATGGAGTTAAGTTTCACACTTAAATCAGCTAGTCTTAAAAATTATTGACATGGGCTGTTTCTTGGTCCCAGTTGCTGGGGCACATGAGTGGGAGCACACAGTTGCTCTTACGTCTCGCTTGCGGGCTTCGCATTGGGGCATGTGAATGACCTGAACAGAGATGAGAGCAGAATGCTAATTTAGGCAGGCCTTTGATCTGATCCACTGGGCTGCTTATGTCTTCATGACCATGCCCTTCCTTCTGTTTATCTAATGCAACGTGCCACATTCTCCTCCTGCAGATTCAAGTCCATTAGGACTCCAACCAATAGATTTTATACCTGAGCCTCCTCAAAGGTTGACAGAAGGCCAAACTGGCATGGAGATTCCTGTGGTCATTACGGCATCTGATGATAGGCTTGGTGGTGTAATAGCAACTATGAACAGTATTCAGCAAAACACTAAGTCCAGTGTGGCCTTCCACATTGTCACACTGAATGACACAGTGGACCACTTGAGGTAAAGTATGCTTGTGGAATGTTGTTGCCTGCAAAGGTGTTCCTATCTCTGTCAGTCCTGTACTCTCTTAAAATAGTAAATGCAGGTAAGTATCAAACAGTTGTTTGAGGAAATGTCCCACTGACTTGTAAGACTGTGAGTGAATGCTGTACTTGGCATGAGTGGTTACATATAATCAAACAGAAGTGAGAGACACCAAAAGAGACACTGAACATTCTCCTGACAAATACTACTTGCTGCCATATATTACAAGACCCATCCTTGCATGAGATTGAAAATTAAGCTTTCCTTGTGAATGGAAACATGAATTACTTAATTTTTGAATAAAAGCTATAACTACTTTTTAATCATTACTTTTGTGTTAGAAATTCATGCTCTTGCACCAATATTACGGTGCAAGAGAAAATATTGCTTTGAATCCTCTAGAGCAGGGGTCTCAAACTCAACTTCCCTGGGGGCCGCTGGAAGTAGAGTCTGGGTGAGGCTGGGCCGCATCAAGTATTCCGCCACTGCGTGGTGGTGGGCCACTCATCCCACGTCGCTCCCAGAGGCCGGCGGTTTGAAGGCCGCAGGGCCCCTCCCGCGAGTGGGCCGCGAGTTTGAGACCCCTGCTCTAGGGAGGGGAAGGCAACTTGTGACCATTCAGATGATTTGGCCTGTAACTCCTATCAACAGCATTGACAAGAGCTCTCTGGTGGTCCATTTGCTGCCCACCCCTGCATTTCAGCCTTGCCTCTGTTATTGACCCACTGTAAGCAGATTTGCCTGTAAGGAATTCCTCCCTATTAATCATTTTTGACCATCTGAATCAGGAGAACATGGTGCTTGTTTGTTCAAGCCCACCTCACTCTAATGAAGCCTGGTAGCTTGCTTACTTTACTTAGCATCATCAATGGGCAATATTCTGTGCAGTCCATGTTACTGCTAGTGCAGGAGGGATCTAGGAGTAGTTAAATGAGCAGAAACACTTATTTCTGCAAATAAGCAGATCAGCTGAGTTTGCAAAAGGGAGCTCTACTGACCTGTGCTGATCTGGACAAGAGGGATTCCACTCATTTCCAGGGTTCTGTTACACAGAACTAACTCCTCCTAAACAGGCAGTAGGTTCTACGAGTGCAACACTGTCAATGGGAAAGAAGAATTCCCCACTGGAATTGTGGCATGTCCTTTACTGCCCTCTGAAGTGGGAACATCAGTATTCCAGGTTTACAGATGAGAAACTGACACTAAAGGTTATATGCATAGAGACTTTGCTGTCAACAACCCAACTAATGGGAAACCATGAATCCTATTTTTTCAATAACCTCTGATGTTTCCTTTACAGAACATGGCTCAGTAAAACTAGCCTGAGAAATGTGAAATATCAAATTTTGGATTTTGACCCTCGTATACTGAAAGGAAAGGTTCAGGTTGACTCAGGAGTGCCAGACTCCCTAAAACCTGTGAGTAGTAGTGTTGAATTATGCCATTGTAAGTATAACCTGCTTGTAGACTGCTAACGGTTTCAGTGAATATAAGCTTGTATATTAGGATCATGAAAAGTCTGGCCTGTAACTATTGCTGTGATTAAAGTTCTTGTCCTTACAGTATCCATTTAGGACACAAGCCAATGGGGCTGCCTATAACCCTCAGACTCAGAGGATAATGGGCATCCTATGCAAAGTGGGAGGAAAATTGCAAAGGTCCCATCCACATTCCTTCCACTCTGCAAAGTGGCTAGATTTTGGCCATCTGGTAACTTGCACTCTGGAAGGGGAGGAAAGGAAGCTGGGAAGCCACCATGATATACCACATCTTGGCAGTGCCAGCCTGCTTTTGCCTCTGCCCTTTGGAACATCCCCTAAAGCCTTTTTCCAAGGTTGCTCTTATGACTCTGGAGATGCAGCTGGCACAGTTCTTACGAAGCCAGCTGTGGATGGTGGTGGGGTACTCTAAGTGTGAATTCCTAGGTTAGGGCTGCTTTTGGACCTCAGAGCTGGGACTCTGAAAAGTCCTATGACCTTCTAGACACAAATTCAATTGGCTCTGATAAATGCATTTGGAAATTCCACCAACTTAGTTTTATTGTTTTAATTTTAAAACATTAGTTTTAATGTTTTTAGCAGAAGGGATGCTTTCACCAAGAAGTATGGTTATTAGGAAAGTTATGCTTAGTATGTCAGTTTCTTTTCATTGTTTGTTTACACCTAGCTAACCTTTGCAAGGTTCTACCTTCCTAACTGGGTCCCTAATGCAGAGAAAGCCATTTATTTGGATGATGACGTGATTGTGCAAGGTATGAGAACCGTTTTTTCCTTTGAGGCATAGAAATTGTCTTTCTATACATCATTTTTCCTTGAGGAAACAAGATAAGTTATATACACTTAATGGAAGTGTAACATTTTAACCTGCATTGATATTTTAATTTGTTTTGCTATACTAATTATAATACTTAAGCCATCTAATAAGTATTTATTGTAATCTTCTGAATCTAGTGTCCTCTGCCAGCATGACTACTGACTTAGTGGGATGGTTCACAACAGAACTCTAAATAATGATTAATAGTGTTATGTATTTGAACAGAAGGTCAGGGAAAAACCTTGGGTTCATGCTTGCGTCTCTCCCATTTCTTCCCTGCTTTCAACTGGTAGGAGAAGTAAATCAGGACTCTTTTCCAATTTAGCTGATTCCTTGACTCTGTGTATGAATCAGGAAGAATGTTTCATAATCAACTATATTCAGTTACAAAGCAAGCTAACTTCAAAGCATAGGTTAAGAAAGACGGGGTGGGGAACATGTGGTTTTCCAGATGATGCTGAATTGCAACTCCTTTCACCCCTGCTAGCATAGCCAATGCTAAGAGATGGTGGGAGTTGCAGTTCAACAATATCTGGGGGCCCCACATTTCCATTCCTTTTCTAAAGTGAAATTGAATCCAGCCTCGCCCCCCCCCCCCCCGCAATCCTGGATGTACTGGAGAAAGGAGAGCACAGTGTGTAAGAGGCTAGCGCTTTGCATGACTTCTTCCTTCTGGTACATTGTAGCATTTAAATTGTGGTTTAACATTACCCATGAACACACTTAGCAAAACTTTTACCAAGTTGTAAGCTGTGATTTGAGGATCCAGGTGCTTATAATGCCTGCAAATTATGGTTTAATTTACACATGATTTTCCAGAATTCATGCACAATTCATGCTACTTCTGCTATGCATAATAAAGCTGCGGGTTGTTTAACTCATGAATAAACTATAGTGTCTGGGTTTGCACATCACAGAACATCATGATTGGACCAGTCAGATTCTGATTTTACAAACTGGAAGCAACAAACACCAAGCATGCAGTCCAGTGAATTGTTAGGTGGTTAACCCAATATTTTGTGCCATTATGTGCAAACTGGATAATTCTATCGAAGATACAATATCCCAGTGTTATTTACCTGCAAAGCATGCATTGGATCCAGCATCATGATCTCAACCTGCAGGGTTATATGAAGGGGGAGAGGTTGTGGAAGTCCTGTTCAATCAGTGGTATCCTTTTGGTGGCAGCACCATTGGATTGGATACCATGGCACTGGTACCAAAACAGACTTCTCAGGTAAATAGCATACATATTTGGAGTGGAGAAAACACCAATAGAGCATCTTAAAGAAGAAGATATTCCATGCTGTTTTAGAAGTTTCACTTACAAATCCTGTTCCTCTTTACTCAGCACTGGTTAGTCCTCCTCTGGAGTACTGTGTCCAATTCTGGGCACCATATTTTTATAAAAATGTAGACAAGCTGGAAGGGGTTCAGAAACAATGATGATCAGAGGACTAGAAACAAAGCCTGTGAGGAGAGATCCACAGAACTGGGCATGTTTAGCCTTGAGGGGAGATAAGATAGCACTCTAGAATATTGTCATGAAGAGGAGAAACAGGATCTCTTTTCAATCACCCCAGACTGCAGGACATGGAATAATGGGCTCAAGTTACAGGAAGCCATATTCTGGCTAGTTATCAGGAAAAAAATCCTCACTGGTAGAGCAGTTTGAAATGACCTAGGAGGTTGAGGGCTTTCTCACGCGAGAGACATTTAAGATGCAACTGGACAGCTATCTGAGACGGCTGGTTTAACTGGGAGTCCTGCACTGAGCAGGGGTTGGACCCAATGGCCGTCTGGCTCCTTCCAGCTCTGCTATGATTCTATGTAAGTAAAATTTATTTTAAGAGATGAAGCTGCCCATTTTCTGTATTTCATAACTTGGAATGTGATATTGAATTGAATTTCACACCCCAGTTTCACCTCACAATAATGTCACTAGATTTTTCCCAGCATTAGAGACTGAGCTCAGGCTTCTTTTAAAGTACGTCAGATGTTTTACAGACAATTATTTCTAGCTGAAACTATCTTCATGCAAACCAAAATCATATTACTTTTTATAGCGCTCTTAATTATAACACAGTTATTTCTTTTACACATGAGAATAAAGCCCCATTTTGAATGAGATTAAATGAAAGATTATGGCTGGGATCTGAAGAGCTCATGGTGTGACTTATCCAATGATATCTGTAGATTTTTTTTCTTTAAATATCACATGCCCATGGCACAACCATGGCCAGTCTGGTGTTCTTCAGATGTTTTGAGCCCATATCACCCTTAGCTGGCATAGTCAGTGATGCTGTGAATTGTAGACCAAAACATTTGGGGACACCAGATTGGAAAAAGGTGTCATAGCATATTAGAACTTGCTTTAGAAATCTCCTTGGACAGACTGAAATACTTTGATCATGTTCTCTGTCACTGGAAAATGTTGCAGAGGACACACTTGCAAAAGGAATGCTTGGCATAATGTGGGCCTTTCTGTTTGTTGGTTTTTGACAGCATGTTTTTGTTTGGGTTGGATTTTCAGATGATATTCTTCAGCTTTACAACACCCCACTGCAACAGGGCCATGCAGCTGCATTCTCAGATGACTGTGACTCTACCTCAAATAAGTTTGCAGTCCGTGGAGCAGGAAACCAGGTGCAAACAGTTTTAAATAAAGAATGTGAATGTCACAGGCCTCTGTTTTTCAGAAGTTGTCTCTGCTCTTGCAGTTGTGTTCCTGATTTCAAAGTATTATGAAAGTGCTTTATGGCTTTGCCTTTGTCTAAGCATTGAATGAAGCTAAGCATTTCTGCTTCTTGGGTTCGAATCTGAGAACTTTAGCTTTCTTTGTCCTTCCAGTCTATTAGCAGGCAAGAGCCTAAGTAATTTTCTTGAAACAGTGAAAGCATGTAGTTTTCTTCCTGCAAAGACAATGGCATGGACTACTGGGAACCAGGATTTTGTTCTACAGGTGTTGAGATGATCCGATTTTTCCAAAAGAAGAAATGCTTCCATCTCCTATTCACCAGCAAGCAACAGCTGTTCAATACGCCGAGGAGGGTGGTAGTTTTCCTTTGCATACTTGAATAGCCTAGGAAGGGGGAAGCGGTGACTGGCTCTGAGTAAATTTAAGTTTTCAGGCCCTGTCTGTTGGATAAGAAGGCAGTCCTAATCTTTCTTTGTGTACTAGAAATACATAATGAGACATAAGACCATAAGCAAAGTGTTAAATTTTAAAGTAGCAAAAGCAGTTCTTGCAACTAACTTCCCTTGCTTCAGTGCATTTATCAAAGATACCTGTAAGCCGTCACTTAATAACCACCATACAGCCAAATACCCTAATTGGTGATAGGAGGCTTTGGCATTTAAAATATGTCATCTTTTTCATCTGTTGATGAAAACAGTTTGATTTTCAGTGTAGAGAACAGAAACTTGGCAAAGGAAGGGTTTTGGTAGGAGGTATTTGAAGCTGAAATCCAATTTCTATTTATTTTTCAGTATAATTACATTGGATACCTTGATTATAAAAAAGAAACAGTTCGGAAGCTATCCATGAAAGCAAGCACTTGCTCTTTCAATCCAGGTGTTTTTGTTGCAAACCTAACTGAATGGAAACTTCAGAATATCACTAGGCAGTTGGAGAAATGGATGGCGATTAATGTTGTGTGAGTATGTCCAGTCTGAGTTTAAGAGTTTGATACCTGATGATTGAATCTAACAGGAGAGCAGTGGGAGAGGAGAATGATGAAAGACCAGATGAACTTCTACTATGTTGCTGATAATCCTTTTACTTGATCTGGATCAGCCCTAAAAACAGCCTTGGGCTTGGCACTGCTCCTATAAAGCTGTTAACCTATTGAAGAAGCAAACTGGTGAAGGTGACTAATATCCCAAAATGCTGATCAGGTTTCTGTTTTGATACCAGCTACAAATGCTCAACAATTAGGCAATGCAAGAGAATAAATCAAGTTGTATAGTATGATCCTTCAATACCAGAAATGACCAACTAGTTTTGACCCTCTTCTGTGGCTAAGTACATAAAAAGTTACACATACTCTTATATGCGAGTATTTCACTCAAAGCTTCTCACATCTGTTTAGGATATAGAACACTGCATGTCAGAGTCACCACATGCAATTATACACTTTTTTAAAGTGGCCTGCTGCCTAAAAATATAATAAAACGTGGAGATATACATAAACAAAAACTGCTCAGCACTTTATGCACAAATTCTCACCAAACCAAAATTAATTTATGCAGATGTTACTATTTAAACTGAAAGTAGCTTCAGGCTCCACTATGAATATATTAATCAGAAAAAGGCCAAAAAAAGAAAAAACTGCAGAAAATAAGTTCATAAAAGGAAAGTGATCATTTACAAGCATGTTAACCTTCACTATTTTCCATATATAAAAACTAATATATTCACATATACCAAAAGGTTATCCTAAATAATAATGGAAGCTAAAAAAACTGAGAAAGCTTGGATCCCTCTGAATGCTAGCCTTGTAATCACAGGCGTGGTGAATAGAGCCTTAAAACTGCAGCAGGTTCCTGAAAGGGCACCCTACCAGAAAAATGTGTTATCAGAACGTTGTTAGGCAACTTCACAACATAAAATGACCACACTTCTCAATATATACGTATCACTGTAGTTAGTGGTTTGCATTCATATATAATCGTTCATTCTATCTACTCTCTTAAATCAACCGGAGATGTAGTGTTTAGAGTGTGGTTACAATACAGCTCCTTCTGAAGAGGTTTACATTGCAGTTGTCCTTAACCATCAGATTTTTCCAAGTAGAAGAACTTCAGGTCATTCAGGTTATGTCTGCATTTGATGAAATGCTGAACTGGCTTGCATTTCTGATTTTTTTAAGCAAGTTTTATGTTCCCAGATCCTGACTTCAATAGAGTCATAGAATAATAGAGTTGGAAGGGGCCATGAAGGCTATCAAGTCCAACCCCCTGCTGTTGCAGGTCACCAAATCATACCATCCCACTCAGATGGCTCTCCAGTTTCTTTTTGAATGTCTCCAGTGTGGGAGAGCCCACCACCTCTCTAGGCAGCTGGTTCCACTGTCATATTGCTCTGACAGTGAGGCAGCTTTTCCTGATGTCCAGCCTGAATCTGGGTTGCTGCATCTTGAAATGATTATTCTGTGTCCTACACTCTGGGATCTGCAAGAAAAGACCTTGACCTTCTTTTTTGTGACAGCTTTTGAGGTACTTATAGAGGGATAGCATGTCCCTCCTCAGTCTTCTCTTCTCAAGGCTGAATATGCCCAGTTGTCTCAGCCTCTCCTCATAAGGCAGTGTTTCCAAACCACAGATTACTTTTGATGCCCTCCTCTGGACCTTTTCTAATTTTCCTGCATCGTTCTTAAAGCTTGGTGCCCAGAACTAGACACAGTATTCCAGGTAAGATCTGACTAGTGAGGAGTATAGGAGTATAGAGGAGAACTACTACTTCTCATAATTTGGAATACTTCTGTTAATGCTTCTCAAAATAGCATTTGCCCTTTTGGCAACTGCATCACATTGTTGGCTCATATTTAGCCTATTGCCCACAATTACTCCAAGATCTTTTTCTTTTTCAGTTCTGTTGAGCCACATATTCCCCATCTTAGTTCTTGTCATTCTCACATACACATTTCTAGAAGGGCATTTGATAGCATAGCTAAGCCCTTTGGTACAACAGGAAAAGAAAGAATGATCTTGGTATAAATATTGTGCATTATATGTAGGATTAACAAAAATATTAGCACAAGTAATTAGTACATGCACTGAAATGACCACAGGAAAAGTTACCTTTCCTTCTTCCCATAAGAGGGTTCTATCATAAATTAGGGCAGAGGTTTGCCAGTATTGTACACCAATCTCTCTCTTAAGGTTCTGTTTCCATATATATGCAAGCATAGGACCACTCTGACATCCCTGTATATAAAAGTATATTCTTTTAATAATGCCAGGAATTTTACTAATATATTAAGTCAGAGGGGTCACTGTCCTTTCTAACTTGAGTCCTGAGCACCTCTTTAACAGGTTCAGTGGGTATACTCTCCTACTCAGCTGAGTTATAAGTCTTTCCACCTGCTTATGGAAATCTTTTCTGCTAGTGTAACTTCTGTAATAAGGCAGGTTAAGTTTCACATGGACAGGATGCTTCAGAAGTACAAATCAATAGGGATCTTAACTAGGACTGTAACATCTAGGAAGCTTAGTCTATTGGAGTAACTCACAAAGTGTCTCCTTGATGCTGCTGCATAGCATAAATGTATCATTCAAGCACTGCTTGTAAAGGATAATATGTGGTTTGAAAAGATATCTAATTGAAGTATGTGCATCTGCTCAAACCAATCCATATTAATATTGACCAGTTCTGGGCCAAACCTACAGCCCATCGTGGTGCCTGAAAATTTGCTGATACAACTTTATCTTGGAACTGTAGGATAAAAGATTTAGTTCTAACGAGTATAAAAAAGCTGTAAGAGGAGCAGATGCAATTGCTCTTTTGTCCAGAGTAGATTAATTTACCTCAATAGCCTCATGTTGTATAATATTCATTTACAGTGAGGTCGCATCCATTGCTACTAGCCATTTTGTGATTCCTTAGATGCATTATCCAAGTTGTATGTAGGACTCATTATCATGAACAAAGAGTTTAAAAAAGGAATTTACTCAGGTTGGCATAAGCTCTAAATTGGATCCATAAATGTATAAATGTTGCACAAAAATGTTCTGTTCATTAATGGAATGATTAACTTCAATTAAAATAAAAGCATTGTCCCATAGATATTAACCTACTGAAATGATTATCCACATTGTTTTCAGCTGGTTAATTTTCCTTTCTCTCTCTCTCTCTCTCGCTCGCTCTCTGACTAGAGAGGAGATATATAGCAGGACTCTTGCAGGAAGCATCACTACACCCCCTCTGCTTATTGTATTTTACAAGAAGCATTCAAACATTGATCCTATGTGGAATGTGCGCCATCTTGGTAAGTGTGCCAGCAAAGAACTTGACATTGCTGGAATTCTACCCTCTTGCAGCCAGCATGGAGAGAACTGTGCTGGCTGCTTTTCCAAGGTTAGGAAACCAGTGTTGGAGAGGTGGGAAAGAGGGCATTCAAGGGGTGTGGGAGGAAAGCTGCCAGTATATGAAGCATTGTGGTGATGCTCCAGCTTCCTTCCCACCTTCTGAAATGTGGGGTGGAAGGTGTGGGGAGGTGGAGAGTGCCTCCATTGCTTCTCCCAGTCTGCACTGCACGCTTGTAAGCTGAGCTGTGGAGCTTATGAGCATGGAAAATGGAGTTGATAGGCTTGTACCCTTCCTGGCTTTTGGTTTCAAGGTCAGGCTGAATCTTTTCAGATAAGACAGGACTGTAATCTAAGTTCACTGATGTTTTTGTTCTTCATTTCTAGGCTCAAGTGCCGGCAAAAGATACTCGCCACAGTTTGTGAAAGCTGCCAAACTCCTCCATTGGAATGGGCATTTCAAACCCTGGGGAAGGACAGCATCTTATGCAGATATCTGGGAAAAATGGTACATTCCCGATCCTAGTGGCAAATTCAACTTGATTCGGAGGCATAGTGAGTTCTATGAAGCAAAGTAAGATGGAGCTGACACCTGTGTCTCTTCTCAGGAAGCTTATAAAACCACAGAGCAAATTGAGTATTGCTACTTGAAATGACACGTTTAAAGAGGAGGCAGCTTCCAGTCTTCTACTGTGAGAAGCAGAATACCTCCATGAACTAGCATTTTTGCCTAGACAGATTGTTCAAGGCTGACCTTCTAGGGATAAAATGTTACCAAACTCACTTAACCCAGTAATATACCAGTGACTACTGGGTGGTTGCCACATACCTTGCACAGAACTAAGGCTGAATACTAAACACACTTCTGTGGGAGTAGGTCCCATTGAATTCAGCTGGACTTAAATATGTCTACTTAAAAGTATTGTTCATATACTAAAAAGCTGCTATTTTTCCGTTTGCTTCCCCTCTGAAAAGAAGCTTTGTGTTAAGCCTTTTTTATCGCTGAATTATTCAAATTTGTACAGCTAGTTTGTTCATTTGATTTAATCTGCATTTTCAAGGAAACAAGCTATTTAGTATTTTTGTTCAAGAAGCTACCCATCAACACTAAAACAACCTTCAAAAATTGTGGAGGAACCACTCAAAATGTCTTACGGATTTGTTGTGTTGGACCAGTCTGTACTTGATCATTGTTATGCGAATGATTACTTGTTTTTCATGCCATGTTCTTAATAAATGAATCTAGGTGCTTCAGCAATTACAAGTTTGGAAAAAATGAGGCAAAGATAAATTGTAATGTAAATAGAAAATTATTCCCAAACACTGGCTTTACCTAGCAGGATTTACAGAATACTGATGAAAGGAAATTTTTAGTATAACTCACCTTATTGAGTGTAGATAAGCTTGGAAGTTCACATTGAACATCAAAGGCAGGAACTTCTGTCTTTATACAGTATCACATTCCCTGGCCAAAGTTAATCAGAACTATGCTAAAATCCTGTAATTTAACAGGATTTTTACCTCATTTCCTTGGTCAGGTTTTTTTTAAAAAACATGTCTAAAGGCGAAGTCAGGTAGACCATGTGAATCAACCAGGTCTATAGTTAAGACATGTTGGGGATGTTTTCAAACCAAGGGAAATGGACAGTAGGGCAAAGGAGAAATTAACCTGCTAAAGCCATGCGCAACTTATAAAACCTGGTGCTGGAGAGTAAGGGTTTGGGACATAAACAACCTTTCCACACTATACAGTGTGTTTCCGCAGGGATGAAAATCATGTGCTAGTTTGAGGTGGCAGTGAAGGAACGTGGAGAAAAAGGTGTTCTTTATCCCCTTAGGTGCCCTGCCATGCAAGGCCTGAACAGAATGTTCCTGGAAAGAAACAGGAACATTCCTCTTAGCGCTGTAAGCAGTGTAGGTGTGATTCCATCAGGAAAGCCTTCAAAAGACTTGGGCTAACTAATGTGCAAGGAAGTGGGACCTCAAAACACTATACTGCATCCCTTAAAGCACTGCAGTTTATAGCAATCATTTTTTGTACAAAGCTAGCCCTGTGCCATATTCTTGATAATATGGCATATTCCACCAACTAAACCTTCCACATACTGATTGGGGGTGGGGGAGAAGAGGGTATTTTAAAACTTAGAACAATTGTTTTGGATGCACTGAACAGTTTAACTGGTCTGAACAAGCCAGTTATGTTGTCTCTAAACAGACAGCATTTTATAAGATACCAAAAAATAATTTCTATAAAATCTGCAAATCTTTTATCAGTTACTTTTTGGAAACACAGAAACAGAGCGAGTCAGAAGGGGTCTCCCGGGCCATCTAGTCTGATCCCCGGCTCCAGCCAGCTCCGCTCACAACATGCCCACCAAGCACATGTCCAGCCTAGCTTTGAACACCCTCACCGATGGGGCCTCAATGACTTCTTGTGGAAGCCCATTCCACACCCTTGGGGTCCTGTCAGGAAGTGCTTCCTGGCATCTAAATGGAACCTTGGTTCCCTGAGCTTTGCTCTGTTGGAGCACGTCCTGCCTTTATCTGCAGGGGAGAACAGATCTCTACCCACCTCCATGTGACATCCCCTCACATACCTGTATGTCACCAACATACCCCTCTGAGTCTCCTCTTCTCCAGGCTGAAGAGACCCAGTTCCCTCAGTCTCGCCTCACACCCCATCCCCTGCAAACTGGCCACCAACCTTGTGGCCCTACGTTGCACTGACTCTAACCTGGCTATATCCTTTCTGTAATGAGGGGCCCAAAACTGAGCACAATAGAGTGGTAGTAATACCTCTCTTGATCTAGAAGCCATGCTCCTGGCTATGCAACCAAGGGTAGCGTTCACCCTCTTGACCACCACATCACACTGCTGACTCATGTTTAGCCTGCAGTCAACCAGTACCCCCAAGGTCCCTTTCACAAGTGCTGCTCTCCAGCCACTTGTCACCTATCCTGTGCTTATGACAGCTATTCCTATGCCCCTGTGCAAGACCTTGCACTTATCCACATTGAACACCATCCTGTTGTCTCCTGCCTACTTCCATAGTCTGTCCAGATCCTTTTGGATCTGGAGTACCTGCTCCTCAGTTGTAGCCACTGCTCCAGTTTTAGTGTCGTCTGCGAATTTGATCAGCAGACTGTTCACCCCTTCTTCCATGTCATTTATGAAAAGATTAAACTGGATAGGCCCCAGGACAGAGCCCTGGGGGACCCCACTTGTCACTGGCCGTCATCCCAACAATTCCCCACTAATGGTTACCCTCTGCTTTCGGTCAGTCAACCATGCCCTAATCCACCAGACAGTGCTTTGGTGTATCCCAAAACTCCTGTTTCTCCACCAGGATATCATGGGGCACTTTGCCAAAGGCCTTGCTGAAATCCAGGTAAACCACATCCACTGCATCCCCTCCATCTAGCCATCGCAAAATCTTGTCATAGAATTCCACAAGGTCCGTCTGGCAGGACCTGTTTTTGTGGAAGCCGTGTTGTGTGGCTGTCAGCCTCCCTTCCTATCTAACATCGCCACATCTCTATTACGAGCCTTTCCATTTTTTTTCCTACAATGGACGTAAGGCTAACAGGTCTGTAATTCCCCATGTCCCTTCTACTACCCTTTTTGAAAATTGGGACCACTGATGACACCCAATTTGAAACTGAAAGCATGGATTATCTTCACCATTGGTCATATGCTTCAGTATTTTTTGAGATAATCTCTTCTAGAGTTAGTCATTTTAGAGCTCATATACTGCTGTCAAGAATGTACAAAAATGAATTATCTACCTGAGAACATAGGGTTGGTCGATGAAACCAGCTGTAAACCATCCCTGAACTTCCTTTGCAATACTTATGTTCACTTCATCACTCTTGGGTGGACTTCTCAATTTTGCATACTGCACTGGCAGGCCCGTGTTGTGTGTCTTAGACACTGCCAGTCTGTGACATCAGAGGTCCTGGGGCAGGACTAGATGGGCAACGATCTGGTTGCCACTGGCTCAGTTGTGCTAGGCATTACAAGAGACAAATGCTGGGAGGTTTATGAAGAACATTAAGGATTCAAAATATATTCTTTTGTTGCTGGAGAGGTTTGAATAATCACCTCTTGCTGCTTTTGTGTAAGACTTTGAAAATTACACAAATTCATCTTAAGTGTGAGAAAAGGTGTGTTTAGCATAGGTAGCTTGCTGAAGCAGGAACCAATTATTACTTCCTGCGTATGATGCACCCTTGTGTTCCAATTTTTAAATTCCATTTCTGCCCAAAGGGGAAAGGGAAGCCGAGATGGAGCGGATATTTAAATAGTGCACTTTGGTGTTTTTGTGGCCTCTTATTGAATAACCATGCCCTTCTAAATACCAGGCAAAGCATGCAGTGGGTTAGACAGGAACACTCCAGCTGACAGATAGAAGGGAAGCTGTAGTCTACAGATTCCTTCTACAGCCTGAAGTGCCACTTCCCCATGTCCCTCTTCCAGAGGTACTCCCAGGCCTCCAGAGAATGGGGGAAGGCAGGAATAGGGGATCACCATCCCCTTCATGGAAGGCTTATGCTAGGTCCAACTCAATGCATCTGTTTTATTTCCACTAATAATGTAACTATATTGTAAGCAAGCCAGTGGTACTCATACCCTGCCTGCACAGAAGCTTAAGAAGCACGCTGTGACTGCATTTGAATTTTCTCGCATGATGGGAACATGTGGCTCAATTCTTCCTGCTGCAAAACTTCCTGTGGATGCTTTGGGTATCTATCATAAATGAAAGAACACCACAGGCTAGAATTTGGATGGTTACCTCATCCATTATTGTAGATTAGTAAAAACAACTTTGTATCTATGTTTATGAATTGCTATGAGCTGCCTAAACAGTCTCAGCTATTGGAAGGTAGAGAAATGAAATTAATAATAATTTAGAGAAGACATGTCAATTGAATTACTCTATTTGTTTTTACAGAATGGATGCAATTAGAACACAGTAATAAGAAAAGCTATTTAATACAATTTACAGAGTTCAGAGTATTTTTTTCTAGCCAGCTGTGCTGAATTCTTTATTTTATACAATATTTACATGGACCTGGGGTTTACCATTTGCCAAAAACCTCCACAGGAATTCAAAGGCTCCAGAGAGTCCTACTGTTAGTTCCAGAAAGCGATAGTTAAAACTTGTTGATCTTTACATATAATCTGTGTTGAAGTCATATGCATCATCCAGGTCGTTCGCCTTATCCATGTCAACTTGTTTACCTTTATATAAGAAAAAAGAAGTGTTAGACTAAAACAGCAGCTTATTACTTAATAAATGCATTAAATTCAGTTGTTTAATACATACCTGCAGGTAGCTTCACCCCCTCTGCAACCAGCTCTGCAGAGGCTGTTTTTCCATTTGCTGTTCTGTTGTTTTTCTGAAACAAAGTAACAAAGAATACAGATTAAGGATGTCATCATAGCAATGCTTATATATAAACACAGGAGAGGGGAGAAAACACACCTGTTGGGGCAATGTACGCAGAGTGAGAAATACTCTCTGATAAAAGTTAACTCCATTTTGGAGAAGGGAATTAGAAGCTGACAGAATAACTTGACTGTGCAACACAGACTCAAAATGTCACTGCTTTTTCCTCTTTACTGAGGATCCACAAAATGTGATTTAAGAGCACTAAAAGAAGACCACAGCTTTACCTTTTCCATACTTTCAGTGTCACTTTCTATTTCAAGCTCCTCATCTTCCATTAATAATTTCTCCTCCTCCTCCTCCTCCGGTTCCATGTTCTCTTCTCCCAATATTTCCTCTGACAGTTCATCTTCTATTATGCCATCCGTGAAGCCAGGAGATTGAAAGGTAATGCTGCTCGACTGATTGGGGAATTTACTCGCTGTAAAAGAAATGTTCATGGTCAGATTATATGCTTGAGCAGGAGCTTCTAGGATATTTTCCCAAAGGGCAAGTGGACAAGACACTGCTCTGTTTTCTAGGCAAATCACAACACTCACATATTTGAAATGAACTCTATGGCAGGAAACAGCAAGGTAGTTCAGTCACTGATAAGAAGCAAAAAGCTTCATCTATGCAGCACTTCATGGACTGGAGCCAGGACCTGCCTTCTACAAGAGGAAAGGGCATGAAAAGTCTTGCCTGCCAAGTTTTGAGAATCTGCCTATTATCACAGCTCACTCCATTCACAGGCACCTGTCTCTGTAGAGCAGTTTCAGCTGAGAAAGAAGAGCAGGGGAAGCCCACTTCCACCAGCACTATTGAGCCAGCCTAAATCTAGATCTAATCTTTGTAGCAAGACATTCCCATGGCACCTTAAACACTAACACATTTAATGTGACACAAATTTTACAAACAAAACAAAAGCTGACTTCAGCCTGTGCAGATGTTGGATGTACGTTTACGTAGAAGCAAGCAGAAGGCAAAAGATAATCAGAGCTGTGCCCCAGCAGCATGAAACACCAACTTGAATACCTAAGAAGACTGGGTAATGAGAACAAGGGAGATCTGGCCCTCAAAGTTCTTATTATGACTCCTTGGGATTCAGTGACAGCTGTGCGCCTTTATATCTCCTGCTGAATTATAAAGCCCAGGCACAGAATTAGGTATGATGGCAGAAACCCAGATTTCTAAAAACAGGTCAGCACCACAATCCTGTCTACAGGAATCCAAGAGAAAAAGCAGCATTTCACCCCACATGCTACTTCCAGTTGAGTTGTAGAGTGTGGAAATAAATTTGGCCAGGAAAAAAAGCAGCATGTGGGAGAGGAATCAACACTAAATAATTTTACTTTTTGGGGTATATTTAAATTCCTGTTGTAAGACCCTTTGTTTTCTTCTAAGAAATTTGCCTAACAAGTTTAATAAACAAGCCATCGTAACATGAGGATTATACAGGGAATGAAATAAACCTGCTCCATGTCTTTGGTGTCCCAAGTACTTGGGTGAGGGTTAAATTCTCTTCTTTTTCTACTATGTGCAGGATGGTAGCTGATTTTCTCTGCCCTACAGAACCTGACTGCAGCCACAGAGAATCAAGCACGTTGTCAACTACAGAGCCCAGACTGGCTCTGCTCCTTGGTCACATGTGCCAGAGTATTAACAGGCCACTGGAACAGGCTCTTATAAATGTAAAAAGTCTTTCTGTCACGCCAGCAAAAAAACTGGCATGACAGAACCAACAAATGAGCATCACCTCTCTGGGAACCATTTGGTACATTAGCCTCACCTTTCACAGTGCTTTTATTATCTTCTTCCAGGTCCTGCAAATTAAAACTCTGCTGTGCTGCTGCTACAACGTCACTGGAAAGGTGTGGTGACAGGTTCCACACAGCAGGGGGTCTTGAATGGTAACTCACTCTGGCACTAAGGGAAGAGAAGTCCTGTTTACAAAAGGCCCAAACATTTTCCTTCCCAAGCAGGAACAGAACCTCCTCTCCCAACCTGACTTAGAGATGGTATTTTTTAACATTCCTCAAACATTCCCCACCTTTTCCATCTTGGACTTGTACATATTAAACACTTCCATGAACTTTCAGAATTGGGCTACTGCCGGTGATACCCTTTATACCTCTAACACTAGTCACTCAAAAGAATTTTGTATGAATCTCTGCCATGAGGTCTTGACATGAAGACCTTAAGTATCAGACATTCATTTTGTGGAATTCAAAGAATTGTGAAACCCATACCATAGCTTGTAACCTAGTTATTCCTAATGTCACAACACAGGTGTATACGTGCACAATTCAGGCTCATTTCAAGAAGCACCAACAACCCGTGTCACATTACTTTAAATCTTTAACCAGCTAGACATGCAACAGCTGTCAAAATCCCATGTTCTAAAGGCTTTTAAAAAGTAACCCATCACACCTTGCTGCACTTTAAATCAATGCAAAATTTCTCCACTGTTGTAATTTTGCAATGTACCAGCTGTGTGGTACACTTGACACATGGTTCTTCACATAATTTTGCCCACATTTTAATCTGTGTATCAATCCACAAGATGTTTCCAGAATACAGGGGAAGGTAAAGTTCAGGCTTGGCATTTGGTTTGGAAAGGTTCCCCAGAAACCTTTTCAACTCAACACTGCTGCGTGCTTGGCTAGCGTGTGTGTACTTCTGAACTTGCTCCCTTTGTTACCTGAGGGAGGAGAACTATAAATTTCACAGGAACAAGCTTGCCATTATGAAATCATACTAATTTTGAGCGGTGCCACACTTGGCACACAAGATGTAGCCAAAGCATAAACAAAGTAAACTTGTATATATGCTTTCCATACAAAACATTCCCAGATCCAAATCCTGACATTGGTTAGGAAGTGTGCAATGCAAAACACCCTTCCCTGTCAGAGACAATATTGGGCTAAACAGACAAATAATCTGATTCACAGTAAAAGACAGTTTCAAATAAGCTACTCATGTGTGTCAGCAAAAACCACCAATTAATTTTACATTTACAGAAGTTATATCTGTATTTCCCCGGTTTGTACAGTAGCTACGAAACACTGTTAATCTGGCTCCCACATTTCTTCAAGCACAATCCCTATATCTGACTAGTAAATATCATGACTGCAGCAAAGGAGAGTTCATATATTTACCCAGTCCAGTCAGAAAGCAATAATTTAGCTGCACCCAGTGTATCAGCAAGTCCGCCTTTTTTCAGCATTCCTCTTTTCTGAGCTAGCAGAGTTAAAAATTCAACAGTGTTTCTGTAGTCTGGGATGTTGTAGTATAGCATTATCTGAAATTAACAAAGAAATCCTCATGAAATCATAGAACAGTTGGATTGGAAGAGGCCTATGTGTAAATCAGAGTCTCAAAATCCTTGAATAAATCAGTTATTTTATAGTTGTGCATCTGTTGCAGTAAAACAGCATGTTACTGAACTGGATCAGAACTCCTTTGGAAGCACCATAAAAGCTTACAGCAAGATCAGAGTTGGATCTGATGTCTTCAGTGTAAAAGTAAGACATTGTAAATATCCTCATTTCTCACTTTGCTAATATGGTAGTATGGTAGCAAATAGAAAGCCATTCAATTTAACAAGGCAGCATATTCATCTTCCTGAATTTTATCAGAGTAGTCCATTTCACTTTCCTGAGATGAACCAATCTCTTTGGGTGGAGAAACATCCCACAATTAGGCACATAATTAGGCAGCATTTTACTTGGACCCCTTTAGAATGGCTACTCCAGTTGACTGGAAAGTAAAATTCAACACACCAGAGGCTTAAAAAGGATTGGGAAGCTATTTAACTGCTTTACCTGTTGTTTGTTGCAGTGCTTCAGAATAGTATCTACTGAATCAACCATGTTTTCAGCATTAATTTCTGTAGAACTTCTCAGTGCCAGGGCAAGAGGATTGCTGGAAGGTGCTGCAACAATACATGGACTATCTAACATCTTAATATGCTTGTCAATGTGAACTGTTTGAATGCACCTTTAAAAGAACACAAACAAAATGAAAAATACATTTAACTAAACCAAACACATGGAAGTATGTGATAAGCAAAGTGCCAGGGTTGGTTAAAAGGAGTCACCTTAGGAAGCCAACCAAAGATGACTTAGACAGCACAAATCCACATCAGGTGTTATTGTTGGGGTAGGCAAGATCTGTTCTCCAAAATGCTACTGCTTTAGTCTCAATTCAAGAACCTTGATCTCTTCTTCAAATAAAAGTTCTGACACAAGGAAACTTTCACCGGAAAACTAACATACCTCCCTTGAGCCAATTTAATAAAAAACCTTTTAGGAGTTGCGCCAGATAAGGATGCTTGTATTCTAAACCTTACATTGGTGACACGGAAGTGCCACTAACTATTACAGCTGCAATGAAAACTGTGTTCAAAGTGTCTGTACTTAATGGGATTATTCCTCTTCCCACTAATGAAGTCATCTATTTTGTCTTGAGTATAGAGACTGAATCCAGCAGCCAGTTGGGGCTACAGTGTACAGCAGAAAAGAACAAGGATAAGAAAGCTAAAGGCACAGAAGGGATTTTGAAGAAGTGAAAGCACAACCTTTAATATACATGCTTGACATAAGCAGACTAACTTAGTAAGACCTCTCACTGGTCCCACGTTGCAGGCACGCACCTCCTTCAGGCTATTGATTATGCTGCTTTTCCCTACATTAGGAAAACCTGAAGACCAAGAAACAAAAAAGTGAAGATCAAATTAGTTAATCCTTATACTGCCTATCAAACATGTAACACATACAGATTTTACATGAGGTAAGAAAGATTTAAGTCACTCTGTCCAAATGTAAGCCATCCTCTGGCCTTCGCGACAGGATGGCAAATAAATATTCTAAATAAATAAATCAATCACCTCAGGGAGAAGGTGCAGCAATTTGCCTGCTATTCCAGGAAGACACCTCATTTTGGGGAAGCCAGTGCTATGAACTCAGTCACCTCTTCCTCTGCCCACCCCTGCAATACTGCACAGAAGAGGCTGCATGAGAAGTGGTGGCAGATGCAGCAACCTAGTTTGCAAGCAAGACCAACCCTCCATGGGTGATCCACCACAGTGGGCTGCCATGTTTTCTGAAGTCAGTGTGGTTTCTGCAGTGACTTGAGCCACACTGTCTTGTCTTGGGAGTGTTGACATCCACGCTGGCTTGCTCCATCGTCCAAATCTAGCAGGGCAATTTTGTCGGCGGCTGCCAGGAACGGCTGCGAAGCTCCATCTCCACTCTTCATGATCCTGTTTGTGCTGCTGGGTTCCTCCACCATCCCGTTTCAGGGCCTTCCTCTCCAGGCCCCTAGCAACTGGAGAATGCTCTGATGCAAGTGATCCTGTCCAAGTACACAGGAGCGCATGACACCTGCCTATAATTTTTGTCACTTTCACCTCCGCCTACTGCACTGGTATTTGTGCAATTTATTCTCCATTTACTGCCCTGACCTGCAGAGCCATGCAGATTTCCTCCTCTGTAGTACTGCTTGCCATGGCATTTCCATATCAAGATGCGACTGCTGGCCAGCAAGAGGGTGGGAGGGCACAGCAACTATCTGTTGAGAGTACCATGGGTGGTTATGCAAAGAACCAGCGCATGGTGGCTTATGTGCAGGGTGGGCCAGTGTAACAGGCAACAGTCCAAAACAAGGTGTGTTATCTTTGGTATATTACATCCACCCTTTTCAATGCTGCCTATAAAGTGAGATCAGAGTTGGATCTGAAGTCTTCACAGCAACAGTAAGACCAACATATACATCCTCATTTCTCACTCCAGGAATATAACCCAAGAGGAACCACCATCATCATTATTCCCACCTGAAAATGGAGGGCCTTCCCAAGTGCCGCTGAATGTAGCAAAAGGGTTTGTTACTGCCATACAATACCATTTAGCTCCTAACACATCATTATAGGCAAGTGTCACAATTCAAAGAAGCCCATATGGACAAAAGCAGACTTACCTATCACACCAACCTGTATAGCTTTGTCTTTGTCAGTACTGTGCTCTCGAAGCAGTTTTAGGAGGCACTCACTCCCAAAACATAAGCTTGCTCTTGATAACTCAGTATACACATGATTTCTTTTAGTATTTTTCTTCTCTTGCTGTAAATTGAGAGTTGACAGTTTTAAAAAGCCAGTATCAATGAAATATCAATTTCACAAGAGAATGAATTTCAACAGTCACTCAGGCTGAGCCCATGCAGCAAATTAACTGGGAGATATATTTGAATGAGGGGACCTGCTTCAATATATCTAGAAAATGGGTGGAAGGGCAAGAAGAATTCAGAACAGAGATTTGACACTGAAAGAATCGAGGCACGACAGAAGGATGTGTTTCAATCAGATGTCTTCCAGATGTTTTATACAACTCCCAGCATTCCTGGCAATTTATTAATCACATTTATATGCCACCTTTTTCCTTTCAAGGAACTTGTGGCAACTTACAAAATTTTCTTCCTCCTTTCAATCGTATCCTCACTACAACCCTGTGAGGTAGGTTGGACTGAGAGTCTGTGACTGGCCCAAATTCTCGCCCAAAGCTATGAGCTCCATAGCGAAATGGGGACTAGAACCTAGAACTCCTGAGTCCCAGTCCCTCACTCTTAACCACACCACCAGACTGGCTCTCTTGGCCCTGTTGGCTGAGGCTAATGGGAGCTGAACTCAAAAAGACATGACTTCAAGATTCAATAAAGGTAGAAAAGAACAGTAGAAAATTTCAGTAAAGCTGTAATAGAAACAATGCCACAAATGCCTAGCACTTGGGTTAGGTTGCAGTGGGAATGCAGCCATATTTGGATTTACCTGTGGGAGTACAGGGTTCCTCCACTCAGTGGCAAACCCTGAGGAGGGGACATGTGATGAGGGCAGGCAAAATGTGAGCAGAGACATAGGATGGGAGAAAATGGGCTTGCACAGTATGATCTTTGCTCCCTTCCCCCACTCCATTATGTTCAATACAAATGACACACCTTTCAGTGCTGCAGTAGAGGAAGTAGGAGGCTCTTACCACAGTTTTGTCTTTAAGCTGCATTGAAGATTTAAAAGCAACAGTTGGAAGTTCATTGTTTAAATAATTTAGCCATTTCTCCAAATTCTCTTTTGGTATAAGATCTGAAAAACAATAAGCGCCTAAGTTCCACTGTACAATAATCACACTGAGCTGACACTATGTGATTTCAGAAACACCTTCCAGAGTGATAGCTCTATTAAGTTTACATCAGTTTAAAGGTAGCATAAGCATCAGATTTGCTGTAGTACAAGCTTTTGGAGACAGGGCGGCAAAAGAAAGACCACAGCCCCTGGACAGCCTGGAACACTCCATACAGTTCTGAAGTATGATGAAGCATGTTATTTATCTGCTGCCTGAAACTGCCCAGCCAGGCCCTTAAGTAGACTATGAACTCCAGCCATCACTGACTAGTTGAAGCACAGCTTCTCTTTAATGGAAATGCATACAAACAGAGCAGATAAACACCAGAAAATGCAGTTTCTCAGATGGCTCTGCAGCAGCTAGGCATGCCGTAATCTGCAGGTGAGGCTTCCCACAGAATGGCTGTAAGCGTTATGCCTGCAACTGAGGTGGCGTTAAAGACAAAGGAGAGAAGGGACTCAAGAGATGAGAAGATGCTCTGCTAAAGAACAGTGAGCTCAGAGTTGGATCTGACAGTCTCCAGAGGTTTGTCAGTGTGCTTTTGTGTCTTCCTCACCGCTCACGACCTAGTTGGAACATTATTTGCATGACTGATGTGCTCCACAACCTAGTCAAATGGTGCCTGAATACAAACCAATTAACGGATGTCTGAACAAAAACAACTCAATATCAAACATTTCTGGAAGCCAAGGCTCAAGTAGTAAAGCAACCTCCTTCCAAGCGGGCTTTCCACCAAATCCTATGCAAACTTATGCATCATTTAAGAGAGAATGCCTTCCTTCCAAGTAGAAACTGGACAATTTGGTCATTTCTATTTCTAGGCTTCATGTACTATTATGAACTCACTGAATATTCGAGCTTAATTTGCCTATGAAGGGAGCTGATAAGTATTGGGAGAATAAAGGGTTATTCCACTTACCAATTTTATTTAAAACCAACAATAGTTTTTTCACTCCCCCAGACTGACACACAAGCTGCTCCACCTGTGGACACCTGCAGCCAAGAGGATCTCTGGCATCTAAGACTTCCAGCACTATATCAGAAGCCTCAATCACCTCAAGAGAAACAGGGAAATGATACACATCTCAGGCCACAGTTTCAAATTCACACGCACAACATTTGGAAGTCATAACATCTCCACTGCCATTTTAATGTCAAACTTGTTTTAATAAATTGTATTTACTAAAAAGCCATGCTCTCCAACATAACCAATTCTACTACGATCACTTTCATTAATCAACACTGTATAAAACTATTGACATCATTCTCTAGGATGGTAAAAATGAAAAGAAGCGCCACCATTTTCAGTACAAGTCCTGTCCAATTAAAATGGGAATGCTGAGATCAATATAATGTCATGGAGCATTCCTGAAATGGAAGTCAGGCGAAGGCTGCTTGGGTGGGACATTACTAGGAGACTCATGTAAAAAGCAGTGTAAGCAGCAGAAGCCCCCCAGTTACGAATGTACGAGCTAAGATTAACCCCTACTTATAAACAAGTAAACCCCAAAGTCCCATCTTGTCCTCAAGTGGCAGGCGGATGCCTGCAGCTGCCAGACAGCAAGGAGAAGGGCGGGAGGGTCTCCGAGCGAGCAAGCCGCCGCCTGCCTCCCATACGCGCTCACTGCTGCCTTGCAGCACGGGCGGGGAGGTGGTGGCTTGACCACTCAGAGATGGTTCTGGACTCGCTTGGAGATCTCCGAGCGAGCACCCCCGATGCTGCCTTGTGTGCGACCAATGGTACCTCACCAGCCCGCACCCCCAGGCACCACCTCACCCACCTGCGACAGTCACTGCAGCCTTTCAACTGGCCCTCTGTTGAAAAAGTTTGAGAACCGCTGTTCAAAGGCCTCCAACACAGAGGCTTTGGGTCAATGAGGGAGCAGCAGTTAGACAGGATTTTGCCCAGGCTTGTGGTTCTACACAGCATAGCCTTATTCTGCAGATTTTGCTGGTCCTCATTAAAATTCCCCTCAAAATACAACAGCTGCAACTGAAGTGACCACTGGTATGCAAAGAACTGTCAAGCACATGGCTCTTTTTTTGTACAAACTGCAGTGCAGCTTCCACATGCACAAATAGCACACTTTTATCTGAAAAAGGTAGCATGGAAAAGGGAAGTGAAATTTATGAAAGTGAGTATCAAGAAAAGGAGGCTGAAAAATACCTTTTTAAGCTCCGAACAAAGGGATTTTTTTGAATTCTTGCCCACCTGTTGAACTGATTTGGCTTGCCGTTCAGTGGCTGACTTCTAAATAAGATAGAAAAATGAGAAGAAAATGTAGATGTCAAGAACTTCTACCTGCAAAAGTTGATTAAAGTAGGACTATAATCCTGTTAGCTACACAAACAGAAAATTACATGGCAAAAAGTCACCTTCGTAAGTATTTGGAGCTAAAGTGATTGGAAGGAAAAAAACAGAGCTGCAAACTGGCTGTGAGCCAAAGGAACACATTATGCTCAAGCAAAGAAACCACAAGCCCTGTAGGAACTCTTCTCTGCAACAAAACATGCCTGCCTCTTCCATAGCAGCAGTTGCTCATGTGAGTTCTTTATTTGCACTCGTGACTTCTTACAATGAAGAAAGATATAAAATAATTTAGGAAAACGATAACATTTCTATCTTTGCTACTAACTACATTAATCTAGCAACCCCAACCCTTGTTCCAAGTTGTTAAAAATCCAGGAGAGGTCATGCTGATTGCTTATGCACTCCTTACAGTGCAGCAAGCAAGCAACTGTCAACCTCAGTTTTCTTCTCCTCTTAGCACCTATTTATCACTCTCAACCTGAGGTTCTTCAGATGCTGGGGAATATAACTCCCAGCATTCCTGACCATCAATCCTGCTGGCTGTAGCTGACATGAGTTGAAGTGTAAACCACCTGAAAGGTGCTATGCTGGGGAAGGCTATCTATCCAGTCATCCCATGCAGTGTGAAGGACTGCTGGAAGCTGTGGATGGACTCATACCTGACCATATCTAGGAGACAGGGGTCTGCTGCCAGTCCACCACTGCCTCACTGGGAGAAAAGAGCTGCTAATCTGGGAACTAATGGAACTGCAGATACCTAGATTAGTACAGATATATAGGCTTATCATACCATTATCCCAAAACTAACAAATAGGATATATCTCTTGCTCAATCTTGCTCTGATTTAAGTACCTTCTCAGAAATACATACCTTTTCACTTTTTCCTTCACTCACATCCTTTTTATTAGCTTCTTTTTTACGTTTCTTTTCTAGCTCCTTCTGCCGATCAAGTTTTTGCTTTTGCTTCAGTTCTTCACGCTGTTCACAAGACACACAAAGATATATGTTGAAAAGATCTCCTTCTACATTCAGAAAAGCACCAATTGCTCATAATTCTGTTACTATGTTGGATTATCTATTGCAGACATGCACTGATGTGAACCCTGAAAAATACCTAATCAGAATGACTGCATGAGGAATAAATGTCTGACACACATGCATGAAGTTATATGGAAGCCAATACTAGGTGTCTATAAATAGTCAAGATCTTTGCACCATCACAACTAGAGAAAATGCAACACAACCCAAGTTCATTAGTCAAGTTCGACTATTAACCACGAACCTTGCTGAACTAATTAAAAAATAAGAAATGTAATTACACCACACTTCCTAGTTAGACAAGGGTGCTGAGAGTAAACAAAGATTTATCCTGCAAGTCCAAGGCAACATGCCATGCTGATAGTTTTTTACCCTTTGTTTCCTTTGTTCAGCTTCCCGAAGAACCTCCTCCTTGAAAGGTGCCGTATTAGGAATTCCAGGATCTTTCTTTGGCTTTTTATGCCCACGTTTCTTGGCTTCCTTCCGGAGTTTTCTATTGTGTTCACGTACCTGAAATCAACAACGGTCAGATTTTGCTATTAATGATGCACAAGCTTGCTCACCAGTTTTTCATCCATCTCTAGTCTTCATACCTAGAACTGCAATGAGGAGCCTAATCTGGATTTTAGGTACTTAGGTACTTAACAGTTATATTCATGCCATCTTGACATCATTTCCAAAAGTTAGATAATGCCACATTTGTACTGGATAATATAAAAAGTGGGGCTATCAAAGTATGTCTATGTAAATATGGAATAATCAGTATCTAAGTATATTGTGAAGAGGAACAGAACACAGCTGTGGCAGGCAAACGGGCATAAGGGTAACAAGCACTGAAAATGGGAAGGGCATAGAACTAATATTTTAGCCCCTGAGTGTATCTTTGGTAAGACACAAGGCATGCAAGAGAAAGGGAAGGCAAGGGGTGGTGGTATGCTGTGTTGTGGAACTGCTGGCTGGGTACCTTTGCCAAAATCCCACTTCAGCGCTTCTAAAATTAATTGAGCTTGTTAACAGACAATATTAAAAACATAGTTCAGATTGCCAAGTAACCCAGAG